GAAATGGAAATTGAGGGGATGCCCATCAGCTGAGGAATGGCTGAACAAGTTGTGGTACATGAATGTAATGGAATACCATTGTGCTACAAGAAATGATGAGCAGGCTGACTTCAGAAAAACCTGGAAAGACTTGTATGGTCTGATGCTGAGTGAAGTGAGCAGAACCAAGAGGACTTTGTACACCATAACAGCCATGTTGTGCAATGACTAACATTGATAGACTTAGCCCTTCTCAGCAATGCCAGGATCTAAGCCATCTCCAAAGGTCTCATGATGCTGTCCACATCCAAAGAAAGAACTATGGAGTCTGAATGCAGATCGAAGCAGACTATTTGCTCTCTTTTTTTTAATTTCTTCTTTCTCACAGTTTCTCCCATTGGTTCTAATTCTTCTTTACGACACTGACTAATGTGAAAATATGTTTAATATCATGTATATGTAGAGCCTATGTGAAATTGCACATGGTCTTGGGAAGGGGGAGAAAATTTAGAACTTAAAATCTCATGGAAGTGAATGTTGAAAACAACAACAACATAAAAATACTAAAACCCCCCCAAGTATAAAGCCTGTCTGGGCAGTACAGAAAGCACTTAACTATTTTCTTTAAAAAATGTGGAACAAATAACTAAGCTATAAGCTTCCTGAGAGAAAGGCTGTGTCCCTGACACAGACCAAGATAACTACAAAGCTAAATGGGTGCTCAGTGGTCCTGGAAGGGGCCAAAGAGACCATCTAACTCGACGCCCTCATTTTGTGAAGAGGCTGATGGCCCAAACAGTTTTAAAGTGACTTTTCCCGAGTCCCATGCCAAGAGCATTGAAGAGCCAAGTCTAGAATTCCTAGGTTCCAGTGAGCATCTGAAAGTGAGATCCCTGCTCTGGCCCTTCTTTTCCAAGATGGGGGGGAGTCATCCCAGAACCAGTGGAGCTCTGGTGCTTTGCCAGGCTTCCCCCATTGGTAAGTCGCACACCAGGAGCATGGAATGTCACGAAGCCCATCTCTGTGCTTCCCGGGGGCCGGAAGCAAGCTGGAGCGTGAATCAGGAACAGAGAGGCTGTGGCAGCAGCCAAGAGAGGATGTGGTGAGAGACAAGGGAGCCAAAGAAACTGAACCAGGGGAAATGTTTTCCAAGGGAGGGGTGTTAATGAAAACGTACTAACCCAAGTGGGGTTATATATAGTTACACAACAAAGGGCCATTTCACTGGCATCTCTCGATTCTGAGGCACAGAGGGAGGGAAGGTATTCCACAGCCACTCCAAGGTCAGGATCCTATACGCAGCAGATGCCCAGAAAATGACACCAGACATGCCTTACAAGAAAATGCAGGCCTGGCAGGAGGTGCCTTGGAAAGGGTGCATGTGGTACTTTTCAAGGGAGGTGGAGAGGAGGGCAGTGGAGGAGCCAGCAGTTTGCACGAGTCCGTTTGTTTGGCATTCGAAGCCAGGCCAGACCTGGGTCATCAAGTACGCTCTGGGGATGCTTCACCCCTGCTCCGTGTCTCCTCTTCGAGCTCTGGGGTCGGTCACGCCAGGTCTTTGCCTCGCTCCAAGCCCTGGAACTGGAGGCAAAGACTTGCTCTGAGATGAACTACCAGGCTCAGAAATGCGAGAAAGCTTCCTGCCGCGCTGGCCTGCCTGTTGCTGTTGGCCATTCTCTGCATGGCCTGCTCCTCCTGTGCTAGATTTAGGGGACAGGGCCAAACCAGCCACCCAATCCGCCAACCTGCGCCAGCCTGAGCTCCCCATCACCATGGAGCTCCTGGGGACCTGCCACTGCTCTTCCCAAAAAATTAAGATATTCTTTCCCTTAAGTTGGACAGGCCAGGCAGTGTGGTTTAATCACTTAATACAATTCTCCAAGGTTTAAAATTCTCTTCTGTGCGAGGAAGGAGAGGGAAAAATCCCTAAACAAATGCTAGCAGAAAGATAGAAACTAGCAGCACCCCAAGAGGGAAAATTCACAAAATGATTGTTTAAAAACCATGCATCTGAAACCTTTAGGGTCCTGATCAGCGCTTGAGTTTGAAACTGAGTCAGTGACCGTGACTATTCCACATTCCAGAGTTTTGGTAAGCGTGATCAGAAAACATGGGAGAATTCTATCACCAAACAGGCCATGTCCCTGTCCCCCAGCCCTATCCCCAAGAGCTCTAGAGGGAGTGCTCACCCGTCACTGAGGAAACTTTTTAGGTTTAGACCAGGCCACAGGCTACAAGTGTTAGGATTTTGAGCTGCAAAGGATCTCAGAGATCACTCAGATCATACACTTTTTTTTTTTAAGAGAAGAAAATGGAAAGCCAGGGTTGACTGGGAAGAGCAAAGCTAGCACTAAGCCTGACCCTTCCACCCTGGGCTCCGGATGAGAGCAAGGTGATGATGAAGGGGATCAAGGACAAATCTGAGAGCATCAGGCAGGAGAACCTGCGCCTCAGTTTCCTCTTTTGTCCAAAGAGGTCGACTTAGACAAAGCTGCAGAAGCACAAGTCAGAGCTGGCAGCATGTTCCGGCTTTTGGAAATTTTCTGTGAAGGACGTGTCAGCAATGGTATCAGACCTGGGCCAGGGCTGCAGGTGGCCCACAACCCCAGAGTGTGGCCAACCGAACCAGGTTCAGTTATAACTAACGCTTTCACAGACCAGGCATTACCTGCTTCCTACTCCATAGGGGCCCAGCTGGAAGCCATCCTCCATCAGTATTCTTGGGTACTTCTGAACAATGACCTATGAACTCACCTAACTGGGCTAACATCCAGCCCATGCCTTCCTGTCTTGTCCATGAGGCTACTGGGAAAAACCTCGTCCAAAACCTTCCCAAAACTGATCTGCTCTCCATCTACCATAAAAGGAGGCTACTGTCAGATGAGAGGAAGCGCCCTGTAGGCAAACCCTTTTGTTTTCTTACATTCATTTTCACACACAGCCTTCTGAATAATCACACTTGTACTTCTGATGACACAGGGCTCTGTAAGAAGCACTAAAAATGTGCCTTTTAGAGGAGAAGTGGGTCTCTCGTGGCGAGAGTCAGAAAGTCCTGGTTCCTGTTGCAGGCCTGTTAGCTACATGACCACGGGGGCCTTCTCAAAAGCTCAGACCCTGATTCCTCACCCATTAGCAGCAGCCCAAGCCCATGTGAGGGTGGGCAAGCTAGAATCTCATTACAACGCCTCCTGGAGAAAGCCCAGATGCAGAGAAAAGATCCACAAGGGAGGAGGGTGATTCAGTCACCAAAGCTGCGTCACAAGATGCTCTGAGGCAGAGGTTACTGTGGCTGCAGCCGCCCCCTGCGGACAATGCCCACCTACCACCTCCCCTTTTTAGGCTCCCCCCAAACTGAGTTTTTCACACTGGGGCCCAGGGATGGGGTGGGGGAGAGGCATGGACAAGCACTGATTAAACACTTACTATGGGCCGAGCATTAAACTAAGCACTTCAAAAATATTATCTCACTTGACCCTCACGACAACCCTGGGAGGAAGATGCTGTTATTATCTCCATTTACGGTTGAGGAAATGGAGGCAGAGTTTAGGTGACTTGCCCAGGGTCACAGATCTAGTAAGGATCCGAGGCCGCACCTGAACTCAGGTCTCTCGATGCCACTGCTCTAACCACTGTACGCCTAGGTCAGAGGCTTTAGAGCTGGGAGCCTTGAGGCCTAGTACCTGCAGGAAAATCAAGTTCCCAGCTGGACTCAGGCACACCGAATTTGCTCCTGGGTAAGAAAAGGTGAACCCGTCACGGGGTTCAGAATGCTCAGAAAGACGCTGTCCCCACTGGGGTATAACAATGCTGAGAAGAGCTGAACAGGGTGGAGGTGTCAAGCAGTTTCCCAGTTCAGATATCGGCAAATCTCTCCATTCTTGGGTCCCTTGAGTCAGTGGGGCGAGGGAGAGGACGAGGACAGGGGCGCTTGCCGCTGGCCCCAACCTGACGCACCTGAGCAGGCAGGGAGCCGCAGCTCCCAAGCCCCTCTGAACGGCCCTACCATGAATGAGCCCTTTGACAGTGGCCTCTCTGCCATGCATGGACGCTGGAGGCCTCCAAAAAGCCAAGGTTTATCACTGCTGGTCCATTCAGCAGCTATTGTTAGCCGCTTTCTTGTTTAATTTCCCTCAGGAGAACAGACTTATCTATGTGGTGGAGCAGGTGTTTAAGGCAGGTGGGTTTTTTCCATGGATTAAGTAACAGTTGACTGAGCAAGTGCATTATTCTTCTGTGCACTCAGGGAAATCTTAATGGTGGGAACTGTGCTGGATTTAGTTCTCCAGGAGCTCTGACGTGGAATGGGACGGAAATGCTTTTATTAAAGACTTCCCATGTGTCCCAGGGCTGGGGGGACAAGCAGGAAAGCCCACGGAGAAACCTCCCCCAAGACAAGGCTCAGGTTTCAGAGGCGAATAGCTCCCATTCAAGATGGTTGTAGCACAGGAAGGTGAAAAGATCTGGGTCCTCGCACAAACCAGAGCTAGAGAGCTGCAGCTCTCTGAGCTCTCGGGTCAACTGCATTGGTCATTTTTCTGTTACCCACAGTTTACGGGAGGTCAATGCAGTGGGAGCGACCAACAGAGTCCTAGGTGTAACACAGCAAGCTCTTGTTTGGAATCCAGCTGCAGCTGCGTAACTCACGGCTGCGTAACAGTCAAATCCCTTAAATGCCCAGGGCTTCAGTTTCTCCATCTGTAGAAAGGGCTGAGGACCCTTGTCATCACTGTCTCCCCGGGAGACTGAGAGGAAGGGGCTGTTCTGTACAAGTGAGTGTTTACTATGCCCCCCAAGGCTTTAGAGGGAGAAGTGTTAATACAGACCCAGCTCCTTGGGACCTCAGACTTCAGGAGTGCCCCCCCCCACATCTGGCCCCTGGCTCCAAACAGCATGGTCAACAGTGACCTACTCTCTCCCATCCAGGTCTGCCACATCCCCTAATCTATCCTTAGTCCTCAGGCCAAGCCCTCCCTCAGCTTGAGGAGCTCCTGCCCCTCACCCTCTTCTGGCTCTCAACTTACCTTCAGTTCTGTTGCACAGCAGAGGAATGGAGAGGAGAAAATATTCGGCAGCACATTTCCTTCTCTTTGTCCATGTAGTGTCTGTAACAGCTTTTGGAAGAGAGAACAAAACGTTTCTAAAAGGCCTGTCTGTAGGCAATGACACAGACGAACTCCCAGAGCAAAGACTCTGCCCTTTCTGTCACTGAGTACAGGGCAGGAGCTTTGGGAATGGTTCCTGCCGGGCTCTGTCCTTCTCTAACACTCAGGCCAACCGCCACTGGGCAGGACCTGAGCTACAGGGCCGCCAGCATACCTGGGCCTTCTGAACAGGGCAGCCTGAAGGGCCCAGAGGAGGCTCATCCGAGGCTGTCACCGAGGGGCGAGCCGAAGGACACCTTCTTTTAAATGCACAAAACAATTAACATGGCTACAAAAGAAACCAACTACTGTGACATCGTCGTCAAGACAGATTTTCTTCAAGTTCACAGACCCTAGGTGGAGAAGGTGCCTTTCTTCACCAGCCTATAGGTTCCACGGCTTAACAGCCCTTGAACGCAATGGCTTGTGCTAGGAAACTTTCGTGTAAAGAGTCATCACCTAGCATCCCTGACCTGAGACAGTTATTTTTCAACATCAGAAAGGAAATATCTAGAATGTCCCCAAATTTTTAGCAATTTTGGGGATTCCTCTGCAACCCTGAAGCACAGTGAGACTGAAATCCTACCTTTACCTCCATCCCTGGGCACAATGAGCACTCCAGGAGCAAGCCTCCCAATATTTCCTCATGACAAGGAGACCCAGAGGCGACATGTCCACCAGTCCACAGGTCCGTGACAAGTCAGAAGGAGGGGCACTTGCCTGGCTAGCTTCTTCAGCTCCTTGTTGATGTCATGATTTAAAGGCTGTTCTCTCTGGGCTCGGACGAGGAAATCCCGGGCTCTCTTGTATTCAGTCATGATGAGACAAGCCTGCCATAAAGATGGTGAGAATTACAGCACTGCGTGTTTGGGAAAAGAAAAACAAACTGGGAGAAGTAAAATTCTTGAAGTAATCCATTTTAGTAAGGGAAGGGGGTCAACTGAGTTAATCAAATCACCTAACTTCCCTTAAAGAAAGGATAAGAGATAAACTCTAAGATCTTTGTTAGGTGAGCATATATCTCAACTGAATAAAAGGTGTGAACAAGGTCTGGATCCTCATGCCATCCCCCCCACAATCAGCCAATCAAAGACATTTCAACTAGGTTGCAACAGAAAGTCTGTTTGGAGGACTGATGGGGGGACTTGGTCACACCCTCTGGGGCTTGAGAGTGAGCTGGCATTGAATTGACGCCATTTAGCTGCTCAGTGGAGGAAGCTACCCAGCCATGCCAAGCTTGGCATGGGGAGAGTAAGAGTGCCAGCTTGGGCTAAGTCTTGATTTCCCATCCCACACTGGCCAGGGGAGGACCAGAGGATTCTGGTGACCTAGTCCAAGCATCATTCCTGGAACAGCAGATGCTGCTAAGTCTGCATTAGAAGCCAAGGACAAATTAGATGCACGGGGGAAAGGCGTCCTCAGGACTCTCTGAGGAGCTGGAGAAGGTGCTCCAGGAGTGGTCTCACAAAGAGGAGAAAAGGACTTCTAGCAGCCAGAAGGGGTTCTCCTGGACTAGGTACGTACTGGGGGGAGGACGTCCCAGACTTTTCGTCGATGTTTTGCGTCAATTATTTTTACTCTACTCCCTCAGCAAATACTCCTTGATAGAAGCGAATTAAATCTGGTCGGCTAACTGCTGTGAATGGACAGTATCACGGGCAGGAGAAGCCCCTTGGTGGAGGCTCCTGAGTCACAGTATTAGAAGGCCACCTCCAAGCCCCTGGGCTTCTGCTTGAGCCCCGAGGGGAGATGGAGAGGCCACACTCTGGAGATCTGGCTGGCCAGGACGTGGACACTGGAAGAACATGGTCCTTGAGAAGGTTTCTGTGTTAGGGACAGCACTTCCTGAATCTCTTCCCGACAAAAGGCCAGTTCCACACTCACCTGTCCACATCTGAAGAGGGCCTTAGCATTCTTCTGATCGATAGCCAAGGCTTGCTCTCCATAGACCAGGGCCCGGGTGGGTCGTTCCAACTTGAGGTAAGTGAAGGACAGGTTAAGGAAGACGAGGAGCTTGGCGCTCTCTATTTGACCCTGTTCCCCAGGGTGAAAAGGCCTTCGGCAAAGAATCGAGGAGGCCTGTAGGGGAACAAAGCAGTGGACAGAAAAGTCCGAAATCGCAGGGAGTGAGCAGCCACAACCAGGGCCAGAATGCTTGACCCCGTAAGAGCCCGAGGGCAGGGCCTGCTCATCTCTGCCTGTGTATCCCCCTGCACACAGCAGCTAGAAACACAATAAAGTCCAACAATACAAGTTAGGAAGAGAAGAGAAAACGTCGCCCCCGGAAGAGCAAATGCTTTTCCACTTCTGAGTCCAAAGAGTTAAGTCCTTTGCTTTTAAGGGAACCTCATTACTACCATAAGGAAATAACTCCCTCTTGTAAACACATAATATTCCTTAGCAAGTTGGAAAATTAAAGCTTGAAATCACACAAGGGAAAACAGACAGATGACACGAAATCCAACTAGACAAAATAAAGGAGCAAAGGAGTCTCTGCTGGCAACAATTTTCATGGCTAAATGGACCTATGGGGTCTGACCCACAATGGCAGCTCTTGGCAAGTTGCATAGTCCTCGTTTAACAAAGGGGGAAATATTACACAAAGAAAAGCAGTGATTTGCCCTAGAAAAAACACAGCAAGGTGATAAAGCCACGTCCATTGTATTTGTGAGTGGTGGAGGGTGTGTACTTGTATCCCCAGTAACTAGCCAAGCACCTGGCATACAGTAAGCACCTAATAATTACTTGTTGACTGATGCTCGAGTCAGCTACAGTGAGAGCCCACAGACCAGCATCCTCCCTCCCTAAGCCTACAAGGCAGTCACTACAATTAGTGTGTGATATGTAATTTCCCCACCAGGTGGTGCTATGCTCAAGCGACCAGCGTGCATGTGCACGTGTCCTGTGTGCCTCACCCTTCCCTCCCCATCGGATTTTTTTCTATGCTCATGCACATACCACTTTTCCCACCAAGCTGCACAACTTCAAAAGGACTAGGAAAGCGTGAAACCCTCTCAACTGTAGGCTAAGGGTTAACATTCAATACTCCTTGGGATGCCCATAAACAGCCATATCTATAGCCCTAGAGGCCCCCTCCATACCCAGGCGATCACCTTTCTGTTGCCACATGGTTTTTATTAACATAAAAGATCGCAAAGAAGCCTGCCAAGTAGCTCCTCCTAGTGTTCTCTCTCTGGACATCAGCCGACAGTTCCAGGGTATTCACCTTCCTCTGACCTAGGAGGTTATGGGAAAAAAACGAGGGAATGGACTGTGAGATTGGAGTCCAATGCGGGGGCGCTCTGTGTGCACAGGAGGGCCTGGGGTGAAGGGTCTCCTGCCTTTCTCACTAGGCCCCAAGCATCCCTCTAGGAGCTGAGCTGGACTCGCCTCTTCACGGTCTTGTCCCTATTAACTACTCTCTTCTCGGTCCAAGCTCTCTCGGGAGGCAGTAGGGATGGCTGCCAGCATGGTCTTCCCTAGAAGTCCTTAGCTCCAAGGGCCAAGCAGCAACAGCCTCTGCTCCTTGAACTGAGAGGGAAGCCTGGTTTCAAGGTAGGCCGTGCGTCCCAGCCTGCATCTGCCATGGTCCGACAGCCCCAAGCCCCAGCTACCGTACGTAATTCACATAGTGGTTGCTCTAGCTTCCTCTGGGCAGCTAGTTCCCTGATCCTCTACCTTAAAATGCAGAAAGAAAAGCATCCAGTCAAGCCCACTCATTTACAGGGAGGGGCTAGAAGGGTAAATGAGACAGTACAGCTACACATCCTTCTGGGGTGTGATGACCAGAAATGGCCATTTTAGATAAGGGCTGGTCTTTGTCTTCAAGGCTTTTTGATACTGCCCATCACATTCTTTCCCCTAGGGAAAGCCAAGTTGCAAGAGATCTTTCTGGAATATAGGCTGAAAAATCAAGACAACTGAGATGGAGTAAATCCTGAAGATTGACTGAGACAGCCCCACAAGAACCACAAAGGTGAGAAGAGGAGATGGGAAGCTCAGGGTTCTATTGTTGGTGTTGTCTGCTCTTTTACAGAGAAATGAGTCAAATTTATAAAAATACAAGTCATTCCCTAATTGATAAATGGCCAAAGGATATGAACACGCAGTTTTCGGATGATGAAATCAAAGCCATAAAAAGAAATCTATAGCTATAAGAAAAAATGCTCTAAATAACTATTGGTTAGAGAAATGCAAATTAAAACAAGGTACCACCTCACATCTATCAGATTGGCTAATATGACAGAAAAGGAAAATGACAAATGTTGGAGGGGATCTGGGAAAATTGGGACACTAATGCACTGCTGGTAGAGTTGTGAACTGATCCAACCATTCTGGAGAGCAATTTGGAACTATGCCCCAAGGGCTCTAAAGCTGTGCATATCCTTTCATGCAGCACCAGCACTATTGTGTAACCCAAAGGTATTTTTTAAAAAAGGAAAATGAACAACATATACAAAAATGTTTATGGCAGCTTTCTGTGGTGGAAAAAGATTGGAAATTGAGGGGATGCCCATCAACTGGGGAATGGCTGAACAAGTTGTCACCATATATGACTGTGATGGAATACTACTGCTCTACAAAAAATGATGAAGGGGATGCTTTCAGAAAAACCTAGAAAGACTCAAATGAACTTGATGTGAAGTGAAGTGAAAGCCATTCTCAGCAGTACAATCATCTTAGACAATTCTGAAGTACTCGTAACAAAAAATGCTGCCCACCTCCAGAGAAAGACCTGATGGAGTGTGAATGCAAATCAAAGCACACTTGTTTTTAAACTTTATTTTTTTTTTGGTTTTGTTGGTCTGTGTTTTCTTTCACAACATGATTAATATGACAATATGTTTTGCATGACTTCACATGTATAACCTATATCATACTATTTGTATCTCAGGGAGGGGATAGGAGAGATAGCAAGAGAACCTGGAATTCAAAATTTTAAAACATGAATGTTGGAAATTGTTTTTACGAGTAATTAGAAAAATGATAAAATTAGTAAAATACATGGTAATAATAAAAATAGAAAATGATGTTAAAAAAAAGATATGCACAGTGACTGATACTAATATCAATTCTGATGTCAGAAAGCAGACTGAAAGAAAGAGCAGACACAAAAAGAATTCCTCTCTCCGTAAGGAGCCGTGATGGTGACCGGGATGCTCAGGACACAAATCCAGAAGATACTGATTCCAAAATATCTACAACCAAAACCTCAAAGAAAAAGAGCTCGGGTAAAACTGGACAAGATACAGCATGAACGTAAAAGCAGAATCTTAAAACAGCTTTTATAAACGAAATGAGAGTGCTAGAGAAAAAAGTTGGAAAAGAAATGAGAGCCAAGGAATAGAGAATCAAAAAGGTAATTCACAGCTTGGCACAAGAGGTACAAAATGTGCCCACGCAACTAACTCCCTGAAAATCAGAATGGACCAAACAGACATCAATGACTTCATGAGACAATAAGAATATTAAGCCAAAGTCAGAAGACTGAAAAAACATAAGAGAAAACCCTAAGATATCTCAAAGTATTGGTATCTCAAACAATTGACTGAGAAAAAATATCAAGAGAAAAAAGTTTAATAATCAATGGACTATCTGAACACTATAACTAAAAAAAAAAAGTCTAGACACCCTATTTTGAGAAATCTTACGAAAAAACTTTCCAAGACTTTTTAGAGCCAGAGGGTGAAGCAGAAGTAGAAAGAATCCACTGGTCAAGTCCTGACAGAAAAACTCTAAAACGAAAACTTCCAGGAACATCATAGCCTAACTCCAATTTGTAGGTCAAAGAAAAAATACTGCAGCAGCCAGAAAGAAAGAATTCAGTACTGAAATGTCACAGTCAGGATCACACCTGATTTAGCAGCCACACTAACAATGCAGTGGAACGCTTGGAATACAATATTCCAGAAGGCAAAGGATTTCAGGTTATAACCAAGGATCACTCACACAACAAAACTGAGTATAGTATAATGCTTCCAAGCACTCCTGATGAAAAAGACCAGAGCTGTGTAAAAACTCCAAAGTTCAAACACAGGGCTTAAGAGGAACATAAGGGGCAGTTAGGTGGGACAGCTAGGTGGTGCAGTGGATAGAGCAGAGGCCCTGGATTCAGAAGGACCCGAGTTCAACTCGGGCCTCAGACACATAAACACTCACTAGCTGTGTGACTCTGGGCAAGTCACTTAACCCCAATAGCCTCACAAAAAAAAAAAAAAAAGGAGGAACATAAAAAAATATGGCCAGGGATGACTGGGCCTGCTCGGTGGGAGTGGGGGGTGCTCTGTACCCCTTGTCTTCCCCTTCCGTTTTGAAGTTATGATCTGCTCTGAGAGATGAGGCTGTGTTTATCTTTGTTAAAAAAAAACACTTTTTGCTTTCTCCGATTTTCTGTTAATAATGAAAGAATGGAACAGAATAAAGTTTTGCTCATTTTGAGACAAAAAAAAAATCAGCAGTAAAACCAGTAGGGGAAAAATGCCACTTCTGAAAGTTTTCAAACGCAATTGTGCGGATGAGCTCACAGGCTCACTAGCTGTGACTGGGCAGGTCCAGCCAGCATGTCCCAAGGGTCTTGGTGCAGCTTTGAGCTCGAAGAGCCGTAAGGCTGGGACACCCCCTATCTGAAAGGCCAGACATGCAGGCAAGAAGGCAGCACAGACCATTACCTTGCCTTCCTGGGTTGCCTCTGTGTGACAGAAGCAACGTCGGCTCAGCTAGCTTCTTCCCGTAAAAGGCTGAGGAAGCTGTTCCTGAGCCCTGACTAGCAGAGCAAGCTCAGGCTCAAGGCCCTGATGAGGATTCCCAGCCCCCTAAGGTCACAAATGAGGCAGGCATGAGGGGGAGGGGAGTCGGCCTTCCTCCGACTTGATGGACGTCCCAAGTCCCCACACACCCCTCAGAGGGCACACACCTACCTGAACTAGTACTGCAGCTTGGCTGAGAGTCCTTTCCACGCCACAGCTAAGGAAAACTCTTTCTGGAAACCAATAGATGGTCTACGAATGTCTCATTTCATTTCAACCTCAATCCTGAACTATCAGACTGGCCTGAGTCAGGCCTGTCCTACGACACTCGGGCCTCCCCACCAGCCTTCTCTAGAGGAGAACAAAAGAGTTGAGAGGACTGCAGCGCATCTGGCAGCCACTGGGCAAAAAGCCCTTCCATGGATGACCAGGAGAGACTCGAGCTTCAGATACAAACTCCTTCCGGGGGGGGGGGGGGGGGGAGCTAAAAGTCAAACTTGCCTGAGATGATGCTTCAGTTGGCTGGACTGCTTTTTTCGGTCTTTGTTTGCTCACTGTGCAGACGAGGAGGGAAATATAGGGAAATGAAAGTGCTGTGGGGACAGGCAATAACCAGAGGCATTTGCAGAGCCAGGAGAGCCTCAAGAAGGCTCATCATGGGGCAGACAGAGTGAGCTGCCCTCTGGAGCCCCAGGCCCAGGAGGAAGTGAAGCTCACAACGTCAGAGGCCTCAGGGAAACAGCTGCCCACCACTTGGCACTCTGTCCTGAAGGGCTCCTCCTCTCCAACAGAAGCTCTCCTGTTGGAGACACGGAGCCCTGCCATGTGCCAAGTCTCAGAAGGGACAAGGTAGCCCGGCACATGAGGAGGAAGCTTTTACAGGGAGAAGACTCTGGCCTTGAAGTAAATGAAAGAACACGGCAGCCAGACGCAGAGAGGCTCCAGGGCCTGGGCCTAGGAGCCACGCCTGGAACAGCTGACAAAATGACCCACCAATGGGGCAGAGGCCAGCAGAGACCAGGGGGAGCAGGGCCAAGACGTCACCGGAAGGCCCACGTGGCACCACACGGGATGCGGCCTGGCCACGTGCAAGCGTCCCCATCTAGGTTTCTTACTTGTTCACCCTTGCCGCTGATGCAGATGTATCCTCCCTGGGTGACCCTGGCTAAGTCGTGTGGCTTCCTGGGGTTTCAGCAGCCAGCTGGTCTTCCCCCAAACTTCAGTCCTGCATCCCCCACTGCCCAGTGGCCCCTCTGACCTGGATGTTTCAGACGTCTCAAACTCGAGCAGTCTAAAACTGACCTTGTTCTCCACAAACTCTCTCCTCTTCCTGTCAAAGGGACCACACTGTTCTTCCAACCTGCAACTTCATCATCTCAGCACACTACTCCTCACACTCTCTCAAATCATGCTCAGTCACCCCTCTCACCGCCATTTCTACCTCCATGACAGCCTTACATCCAATCCCTTCTCTCTACCACACAGCTGACACCCTAGGTGAGACCCTCAGCTTCTCCCACCCAGATGACAGCCTCCTCCCTGGTCTCCTGGCTCTACCCTCCACAATGCCAAAGTGATTTCCTTTAATTAACCACTGACCCCATCACTCCCCTACAGAAGCTCCCTATTGTCCCAAAGATGAAACACAGACTACTCTGCTCGGCTTTCAAAGCCTGGTCTGTCTCATCGGACACAAACATGTGTGTGTGTGCGCGCATGCATGCATGTGTGTATGTGTGTGTGTGTGTAACTGTCACACAAGCTATACCAAGAAAATAAAGATGTCTGAAAATTTTGAAAACAATGAGTATAAAAATTATATGAAACTATAAAGCTAGTAGAATTACATCAACATATAAAACACAACACCCGTTCATGGATCTGTAATCATAGTATAAATTGGTGATTCTCAAAACATCCTGTACCAGATAAAAACTATAGTTACAAAGACATATGATAGATTAATGTTTGCTAAACCCAAGATTGCAAAACATTAAGGAATATAATTAATCAATAAAACTATCGTAAAAATTGGATGGTCATATAGAGAAATGTGGTAGTAGATGCCATCACGACAAACTACAGTAAGTTATAATTATGCCAATGATCAGAAAAAATGAGACAAATTAATGGTATGTTAATTGTAACTGGAGAGAAAAAAATTTATCTGTTGAATAAATGGGAAAGATCGTAGGAGAGAAAATAGATGGACTTGATTATATAAAAATAAAAGCAGTTTTACATAACAAAAGCAACATATCTGATAGAAAAATTGAGGAAAAACTTTACAGTACATGCATCTGATAAAATTTTGATATATAAAATACATCAGAAATTACCATGAATTTACTACAGTAATATCTATTCCCCAACACACATGGTTAAATATATGATCCAGCACGTGTTTATTAAAGTTATCAATAACCACTTGAAAAACTGTTTAAACTTCAAAAATTCAGAAGTGGAAATTAAAACAACTCTGAGGTCCCAAACTGGCAAAGAGAGACAACAATGATAAAATTCACTATCAACTTGGCTGTGAGGAAGCAGTCAGCCCGAGGGGCTAGATCTGGGAAGCGGGGCACTCTGGAACAATGCAGCATCATACAACAAGGAGTTACTAATCTCAGAAAACCTCCCACCTCTAGGCTTCCACAGCCACTTCCATATACACAACATTATGGAGGGGAAACAAAACCCTACAAAAACACTCCTAAAGGCTTTAACCGTAAAGGCTAGAGGCCCGTAAGTCTAACGATTTGAGAATGGCTGAATGAATTGTAATATTAGTGCAAGGGAATATTGCTGTGCTTAAAAATCACAAATATGAAGAACACAGAGAAACACAGAACGCTTGTGAGGGCCCACAGCTACAGCTGTGAAGTGTACGCAGATGAAGCTGAAACTTGGGATCACTTTACAGCTTCTTTTTTGGCTTTCTCCTGGGAACATCAGCATGCGGTTTACATCTAGGTAGCCACAAAAAGGTGAAAAGCTTCCTCACAGGCCCGCTCGGGTAGCAACATACTGAACGTGCTGCGTCCACGTCTTCGTGACCCTGTGGACCCACTGTTCTTGGGGGTTTCTTGGCAAAAACACTGGAGAGGTTTGCCATTTCCTTGTCCAGTTTTATGGAAGCATGGATTAAGTGACTTACCCAGGGTCACACAGCCAGTAAGTGTCTGAATTCTGATCTGACTCCAGGCTCAGTGCTCCATCCACCGTGCTAGCTGCCCCATACTGCACACAAGGCCAAAACCAAGGACCTACAAAGGACATGAACCTGACCCTATGATCAACCAAGACAACTGTCCTTCCCCCTCTGCTAAACTGTTACCTCCTAGGGACCTAGAGAGCTAGTACTCCAGACTGTCAGCAGACCTTGAGTTTGACTTGCCCTCATTAGAAGAAAGCACTCAGGGATGCGTCAGACAGCCCCACCTTCTCCTTTGTCATCCTCCAGACTTAGAGTATTACCCTAGAGTTGAAGCTTCCCTCATACTAGTATGGTCACTAGACCTCCACAGTCCCCACAAGTGACAGTACCAGCTGTGTGGCCCTAGGCAAGTCACTTAACCCTGTTTGCTCAGTTTCCTCATCTGTCAAATGAGCTGGAGAAGAAAATGGCAAACCACTCCAGTACCTTTGTCCAGAAAACCCCAAATGGTGTCATGAAGATTTGGACACGACTGAAAAAAGACTTAACAACAAGAGAGAAGAGTTGAGTTTGAGGTGGCAATGGCAAGACATTCACATCTAAAACAAAACTCAGTGAACAGGAAAAGCTCTCTGGGCCCACCGAGTCTAGCAAAGGGAATCCCCCAAAGGGAATGATATCGCCACACAATGTGGTCCAGCCTGTTTGAAGATCTCCAAAGAGAAGGAATCCCTTTGCTTCCCAAGCCAGCTCATTCCTCTCTGGGACAGGACATTTCTTCATCCCTAAAATAAATTTTTCCTCCCCAATGTCCAGTTTCTTCAAGGACACCACCAGCTTCACAGGCAAGAAATCTTGGAGTGGTCTCTAATTCATCCCCTCCTATCGGGGATGAGGGTCTGAGACCACGTGCGGGCGTGTGACATGAGAGTGACAACTTTGGACAGGATGGAAAGGCCAAAGGGGCCGGCTCTTGACACAGGAGGTCAGCTCAGAGTTAGGAAAGATGCGATCAACAGAGTGTCATCCTCTCCATTCCCAAGCAAGCTGTGGCCCTTAATAAATCTGTTGCTGTTCCATGATAACTTTTTATACAGCTAATCTGGTGGGTAGAAAAAAGGAGTGCCTCTCCAACATACCACACACGCAAGTGAATTAACAATAAAAAACAAATGTGAATATGGGCCCCAGGAGAAAAAGCCACAGCAATGCCTGACAAAGCAAGGCAGGAAAAGCTATATATGATGCACAAAGTCAGGAGAACTGACCAAAAGAGAAAAACTAGAACAGAGACTGATCACGTAGGCTGATAAGCAAGCGATGACGTGAAGGGTCCTCGTATTAACTGGCCCTGGCTCACCCAAGCGTGGGTGTGAGTCCCAGGTGATACGCCGAGGAACCTGCTAACAAGAGGGAGACAAAGGAACCAGAGAGGGATCCAGCCTGCAGATGCAAATTACCCAGCAGCCACCGCCACACCCAGCCCACCTAGCAGCAAGGACTTGCCAGCCTGGTACACTACTTACTCAAGGCGAGACTGTGATGCCCTTCCCTTAGGGACAGAAGAGGCAGCTGGGAAGCCTGCCTGCAGGATCTCTTACCCTTTTGTATCTCTCCTTGGCATCGTGAAAGCGATTCTGGCGAAAGAGGTAGTTGCCAAATTCACGCTCTGTGCCAGCCACCTTCAGCACCTTCTCGAGAGGAAACACGTCCTGCTGCTTCTGAGGGATCAAAAACAGAGGCATCTGAGGTGACCCAGCAAAGCGAAGGTGACATGGCCTTGTGTAACCAGCAAGACTTCAGGCCCCAAGTCTTACCTTCAGACTCTGATATCCCAGCTGGGGCCACCTGTGGCTGGGAAGGGTATGAAAATCCACTGTCCCACAGCTGGCTTGCAGGTGTCTCCTCTTCAAACACCTGTGGCTCAGGCTGCTCCACCCCCCCACAACTGGCAGTCACCTCAGGCGCGCCCCCCCCCCCCGCCTTCTTAAACTGCTCTTCCTATCAGACCCTTCCCTCTGGCCTCCTTTCTATCCACCTGCACCCATGGAGGGCAGCCCTCCCCCAAGACGCCACACTGGGCTCCTCGCACCAGCACTGGGACACCACCCTCCTCCTTCTCTATTCTCAGTTCTGATGCACCAAGCCAGGAGGAGTGGTAGGCATGCTCCTTCACTCCTTGTCATCACTCCCAGCCCTCTTCTCCGCTGCCATCTTCCTGGATGCTCACATGCATCTCTCAACAGCAATCTCTCCAGATGTTGGTGGCTATCATCTACTAGAGTCCAGACCATTCTTCCTTCTGTCTCACTGTCTTCCTTTCCACCTTAATCTCCGTCCTCATACCTGGGTGTCCTTAGTTGGGGAGTTGCTCAGAAGAGGCCTCAATCAACTGACTCCCCCACATGACTCACCTCAGCCCATTTCATGAAATCACAAAGTCCAAGAGGGTACAGAACAGAGACAGCCAAGTACAGGGAAGTTCACTGGTTAGGCCCCATGAAAGAGGGTGGCTCGCCACTGCCTCCAGAGTGTCTCTTTACAACAGTCAGGATGGGAGACAGCCTTGAGGAATCTGAGCCGTGGCAGCAGGGAAGAAAGACCCCAAGCCTTGACAGAGAATTGCTCCTTGCCTCTCCCCAGAGAGCTGCAAGAAGGGGATCCCTCCACTCTGCAGTGGGCCTACTTGCCCAGCAGGAGACCCCCAAATCCAGGAGGAAGCTGTTCCAAGAGTCAAGGTGGGAGACAGCCTTGAGCAAAGAAAAGAGTCAGCTGTCTTATGAAGAGAAATGGCTCGGATAGTTTGGGGTCGAGCTTGAGGAAGAAGTGGACCCAGGGAGCCCAATCTAGCAGCAGTTACTCTGCCCAGAGGAACATGAAGATACCACCAGAAGAGAGAGACCGCCCCAGCCTGCAGTGGCAGAGGCAAGCGTGCCCTCTGAGCGCGCACCTCTCCACCTACTCCATGTGTGCGTCTGTTCCTCCCATTGACACCACTTGGATTGGTAAAAGAGGGCACACAAGGCTTACAGGGAAATGCTCTGTAGCTCCTCTACTTTTAGGAGATCCCTCTGGGAGACTTGGCCTGGGACTGCAAGTTGGGACGAAGGGGAGGGGAAGCCTATACCACTACCCCGCCCAAAGTCTCTGGCCTCCCAGCTCATAACCTCCTCAGCCACTGGGATCTGCACCTTCACTCAACCTCAGCCACACATAGGGAAGGCCCTGCCCTACTCTGAACTTCCTCTCTCACACCATCCATAACCTTCCATCCCTCCCTTCGTATTCTTCTTCATATTCTCCTTAAGCCCAACCACCAAGGACTCCACGCATCCCAGCTTTCTTACTTCATGACCTGTCACATCCTGGCCTCTCTTTCTTCCCCCTTCAAAGGAAACTGGCTGCTGAAACAGCAGCAGGACAGAGTGACATTTCCATCCCAGAACATGCGAACTGAGGAAGAGGGACTACTGACGTCACCTCTGACCTGAGGAAGGTGGGCTTCAAAAAAGCGACTGGAGAAAAGAGAGGCTAGATCCAATGACCTAAAATACCCCTGAGGAAGGGAGCCCCAAATTGCTGGAAGAAGCCCAACAACGAAACTACAGATAACCATGGAAATGTTTCTTTAAAAAGGATGAAAAGCGAAAGCTCTCTAATAAGGGGCCAACGTGATCATGTGTATAAAATGTGAAAGCGGGGGCAGGTAATGGTGGCACAAAAAAACCCCAAACACAGTCCTGTAAAAAAACATCAGGAACATCAAGGTTCACAACACACGGAGGTTGATAAGGAACATAAAGAACATTAACGTTTCTTTGTGTTACACTGAGGGCAGAAGGAAACTCTGAGGAAGAAAAAAAGGACTGAGGCTCAGGACAGACAGGCCGATAGAGAAGGAACGCGAGAAGCCAAAGCAATTCGACTTGTATTTAGTTTCCATTTTCTCTCTGAATGAAGGGGAATGCATTTTGGAGTGAGGAGCTAGAAAGCAGTGGACCAGAGTGCTGAAATTCAAGATAAGGAGGCGGTAAGAAAGCATCAAGATGCCCCAGTGAGTTGAGGATGTCCGGAACCACCGAGGCCTGAACACGTGTGCTGATGAGAATGCTGAGCCACAGTCCGTGAAGGATGCCCAGCACAGAAGAAACGTCACAGGTCTCAAAAAGGACAAAGCCTACCCCAATTTTATAAAAAACAGGAAGTGGGGGGGGGGATTCTGCACACTACACATCAGTGAGCTTCATTTTATTCCTGGCAAAACTCCAGATGTAATTTAGGTTTTGTATCTTTAAAAATATAATTTTTGTCAATCAAGAAAAATCGATTTCTCCTCCCCAACAAAGCCTTTGTAATGACTAGTCACAGTCAAACAAATTCCAGCACTGGCTGTGTCTAAAAAGGAAAAATTAAAAATGTATCTCAGTCTGCACCCCGAGTCTATCCCCATTCTCAGGAAGCCAATGAGACCTCTGGAACCGCAGCTGGCCACCAGCACTGAGAAGAGTTCTGAAGGCTTTCCAAGTCGTCTTTGGAACACTTTATTCTACAAATCGCCACTTCACTCTATCATCAGCTCAAATGAGTCTTTCCGAGATTCTATTCGTATTCCCTTCATCATCTCTAATGGCACAACAGTAATGCATTCGTATTCTCATACCGTCATCTGTTCAGTCATCTCCTTTGTCACCATGTGTGTGAAGGAGATCTTCAGAGATGCTTTAATCCCATTTCCCTCGTTATCAGTGACTTGGAGCAGTTTTCACGTGGCTGTTGATAGCTTGGATTTCTCTCAGAAAACTGCCTGCTCACAGCCTTTGACCATTTGTCAGTCTGGGAATGGCTCTTACTCTTACAAATTGCAGTGCAAAGGGAATGGCTTATCAACAGTTAGCACGGTGATCTACAACCCATAAGAGGCCGTGCAGCTGCATTCAGAATGAGTCATGCCAAACTAACCCCCACCTTTTTTTCCTTGACAAAGCAGTTACACTTACATATTAGGGGAATACCAGACAAGTAGAAGACCTATATTTCTGCCAAGTATTTGACAAAATCCATCATGGTTTCCTTGTGGACAGGATAGAAAGATGTGGACTACGGAACTGGGTGAATGACCAGAACCAGAGTCAATGTCTCCTTGAGGAGGGATCTCTTAAGAGACTGCCTCGGGGGGGTCTTTCCTTGCCTCTGTGCAGGTCAAAGTTTCTTTCTATGAACTGGAAGAAAGCACAGAGGGCGAGACTGTCAAACTGGCCAGATGACACAAAGCCATGATGGCCAATGCATCAGATGAGACAGTCAGGATCTTGCAAATTGGCAATGAGCTAAAATGGGTAAAATCGAGGAAGACAAATTTTTTTGGGGGTGGGGTGGGGTTAGGCAATGGGGTTAAGTGACTTGCCCAGGGTCACACAGCTAGTAAGTGTTATGTGTCTGAGGCCGGATTTGAACTCAGGTCCTCCTGAATCCAGGGCCGGTGCTCTATCCACTGCCCCCACCTAGCTGCCCCCAGAAAGATGAATTCTGAAAGGATAAACGTTAAGAACCCAAGCAGGTTTTCAGGTGAATGCTCTATGATCCCTTGCAGGGGATGCCACAGGTGGAATCCTTGGCCAAGCAGAGTTGTCCTAAATGGTTTCCAAGTCCCTTCCAACACAGATTCTGTTTAAAGATGATAAATGGGTGATGAGGGAATTTAAAACAAGAGAAGGTGTAATTAGACGGCTACAAAAATTACACTGATTTTTAAAACAACTTCATGTGGGTAAACAAATACACCATCGTCTGACAAAGACAATTTGGGAAGCAAGGTTAGTAATTGGGGTAAACTGTTAAATAAATGAATCTACCCAACTTAGTGAACACCATCACTACCACCACTATAACGTTTGTGAAGACCTTTTCACATCCATTATCTTATCTGATTTATTAAAAACACAAAATACATTAAGTTGAGAGGTTGCCTTCAGCACCGGCAAAGGCTTCAAAATGGAAGTGGGAGAAAGGAGAATCAGAAAGGTCAGACAAACATGAAGAAACAAATGCCATTATGCAGGATACTGAGGCCACAGAGAGCGCATCTAAAGATGTCCAGTCTGCTCTCAAGGACTTACAGCAGTTAAGGCGAAGAATTTGTCTGACTCGGCAGAGTCCAGGAAGTCCAGCAGCTCCAATTCAAACAGGACCGTGGTGTTGGGCGGAATCAAGGGTGGACAGCCCAGAGCCCCGTAGGCATAGCGAGGTTTGAAGAGAAATCGGGCCAATTCGCCTTTGCGCATCGTTAACAGGCCCACCTCCATTCCCCACAGGGTTATCTCTAGAACAGAAGAGACAGAGGCTTGATTTAAGCCTGCCTATTTCCAGCTTTCCAAAGGAGGAAAAAGGAAATGAAAGAGTTACAGCAAAACTACTGGTTAGACATCAAATCACTGTTCTGTAAGGTTCACTCTGGGTATCAGAGGCTAATACCAATGAATTGAGGCCATGCATCAGAATCCCTGTTCTAGCTGATAACCACAGTTCCCCCCAGTGGTCTGTCATGGGCTCCCTTACCTCAACCAATATAACATTGTTGACTCCTAACTGGAGGCTGCTTCCAATCTCCCTGCCTCCCTGACCCCCCCCCCCCACTCCACACCGGTACCTAAATGATTACCTATCAGTCATCGTGGAAACTATTTGGGACTATGCCCCAAGTCACTACACTGGGCATACACCCTGAGGAGATAGGAGGAAAAGGCCCATATGCACAACATGATTTAGAGCAGCTCTTTTTGTAGTGGCAAAGAACTAGACACAAAGGGGTGCCCATCAACAGGGAATGGCTGATCACATTACAGGATGTGGACGGAACGAAGTCTCCTCTGCCACAAGACATGACCAAAGGGGCAGTTTGGGAGAAACCTGGGAGGACTTTCATGCACCAGGCCCAGTAAGGACAACACTGTAAATGACTTTGAAAGACTAAAGGATCCTGGCCAGTGTACTGACAGACCACAGCTGCAGAGGCCTGAGGACAACGCCTGCAGAGAAGCAACGGACTTAGGGTGCAGATGAAACGCACGCTGTTGGAGAGGGCCAATGCAGGAATTTGTTTGGCTTGACTCAGCACATTTGTTATAAGAATTTCTTTTTTCTTTTCTTTTCCCCCCAATGTGGGGAGGAGGAGAGGAAGAAGTGGGAGGGAGAAAAACATTTTAAGTGAAACAAAAGTTTTAAAAATCATTCACACTCTCCTATTCAATTCAGCTGGCTTCCTACTGCCTCTAGAATCAAATATAAACGACCTGTCTTTTAAACACTTTCTCCAATCTGGCCCCAACTGATCTTTGCAACCTGATTCGACAGTGATCCCTTTCCCATCTGACACAGACCAGTCAAACTACACTGTTCGCTGTTTCTCACACACAACACTCTCAACCTTTCATCTGGCAACTTGTCTGGCCCACAATCCCACCTCATCTTGGGGCAGCTAGGTGGGGCAGTGGGTAGAGCACCGGCCCTGGATTCAGGAGGACCGAGTCCAAATCTGGCCTCAGACACAACACTTACTAGCTGTGTGACCCTGGGCAAGTCACTTAACCCCATTACCTAGCCAAACCCCGCCCCCCCAAAACAAAACAAAACAAAACACAGAAGCCCTTCTTTCCTTCAAAATTCCTTTTCTGACCCTTTCCTCCACCTGCAAATGCTCTCCTCCCCTCAAAAAGAAGACTGATTCTATCTACATTTACATATACACGTCTTCTAGACAGCACAATGCTTAGCACGTTACCTAGCTGCCCGTTCCTCCCTGTACGTATTTACTCTGCAATCCAGCCTCCCTGGCTGCCCAGCTCTCCCTCCCCCCTCCTAGGCACGTCCTTCCTCCGCACCTCTGCAGCGAGTCCCCTGGAAAGCCTCTCTCGATCCCCTGTGACCCGGGTGCTCCCTGCCTCCCTCCTCCAGGGACATCCAAGGACATATCCTTGTGGCTGCTCAGGACGGGGGTGCTTTCATTGTGTCTGTCTCTCCTAGCACCTGGCACAGTTAGCCTGGTGTGGAGAAAGTACTGAATAGGGGCTGCGTGGACTGAAAGTAATTACATGATCTTAGATCATGGCCCAGCCTGGCTGCCCACTTCATAAATTTCTCGGTCACAAGGTGAAATGGGAGAAGGAAAGTACACGTGGCTCCACCCAAACCATCACTCCTTATCGGAAAAGCCAACACAAAGAACACGTGGACATACAGTGGGTCTGTGGGTCAAAAGTGCCACTTAACTTAAAAACACCAGTCTAGCCTCAGGCCAGGCCTGACTCACCTTCTCCAAGTTTCATTAGTCGAGGGATCTTCCTAAAGCAGTTGGTGTCAAAGGGCTTGTCCATGTGCTCCAGATACCCAGAGTATTTCACTGAAGGAATTGTGAGAGAAAGCCTTCAAAATTCACATGGAACCAGATCCACGAGAGAAGCTGGCCCCGAACCAGAACCAGCTGCAGCTACCCTACATCACCAGCCAGGAGACTAGCCATCAGCTACTGCTTCCAAAGAAACCAGACAGCGAGGAAAGGTGGTCTCTGGCAGACCCTCAGCCAGCGAGTCCGACAGGCCACATTTATCCCAAGACCTTCGAGGCCCAGGCTCTTCTTAAAATGTCTGCACTGCTGGCCTTAAGCCACATCCCCAATTCGTGTACAGGGCGCCCCGATCTTACTACTAGGCCTCCCCTAGTGTCTGAGGCTCTAGAGCACAAGCAAAACCCCGTCTTTCCCCCTTCAAACATCTCTACTGCTCTGACCCCTCTGCCAGAACCCAGGGGGCGGCCATACCCAACACAGAGGCATCGGGCATCACCAAGTCTCCGGCTCCTTCACGGATGACCTCCTTTAACACCCCCCTGTCTCCAGTGACGTCCTGCATTCGCTGGCTCAATCTCTGGTAGGGAGACTGGTACGGGGCAGTCAGAAGAGAAGAGATCATTACTCCGAGACCCCCCCCCCCCCCCCCCGAGGAGCAGCAGGGGCCTCTGGGAAACTCCCAGATCTCAAAGCCCACTCCGGGTCACAGGTATCAGGGCAAACACTCGCGAAAATCCTCTTTCTTTGGCTTTGGGATTTGCCTCTGGATTCCCCTCCTGGCTAATAAGGACAAATAATGTCACAGACAGTCAGAGCTCCAAAGAGGTCATGGATTCCCCAGCGCCCACTTTATAGGGGGGGAAACTGAGGCCCAGGGAAAGGCACAGAGGAAGCAACCGAATCAGGACCTAAAAGTGTAAGATAGAGAGCTGAGAGGGGTCAGAGCCCCTCTACCCTCCCCCTCAATTTACAGAGAAGGAAACTGAGGCAGAGGGAAGTGACTTAATATCACAGGATCACAGGGTCGGAAGGGCCCAGAGCCCCCCTACACCCCCAATTTTACAGAGAAGGGAACTGGGGGGCAGTGAGTTAATATCAGAGAATAATATCTGGCAAAGGCCAGAACCTCCATTTTACAGAGAAGGAAAATGAGGCAGGAAGGGGGGGAGTGACTTAATATCACAATTAGGGCCAGAAAGGCCCACAGCCCCCCTACACTCCCCCCACCAATTTTACAGCAGAGGAAACTGAGGCCTGGGGGGAGGTTAAGTGATCCGTCTCCTCCAACTCCGAATTTCCGGAGCTCTTTCCGCCCTCTACTACGGGCTGCCAGGACAAGTCACGTGACCCCTCTGTGCCTCAGTCTCCCCCTCTATAAAATGGGGGTTCCGACAGACAAACGACCAGACGAAGCCCCCATCATGCAGTGTCCCCTCCGCGCGCACCAGCTCTCCCGTGCCTTCACGGTCCAGGGCCGGCATCAAGTCGTTCGGAGGCGTCACCAGGGGCTCCACCATCTTGTCCTCCCACGGCACGACCACGGCGGTGGCCCAGAGAGCGCATGCGCGGGGCCAGGCGCTTGAGACCGGCCCCAAGCTCCCGCCCACACGTGCCCCGCCCAACCAATCAGCCGTCGCCCACTTGCGGTCAAGTGTGAGCCTCTCCACCAATCATCGCCCAGGGCTGGGTAGATTGGAAGGCACGTGTTTTCTCAGGCCCAGAAGAGCGTTGTCCGTTTCTCTTGCCCCTCCCCCGCCTCCTCTCCCCCCCCCAGCCCCCGCCCCCGCTCTCCTCCCGACTCTCTCAGCCCCAACAGCTGGAGTAACAAGCAGTCAATCAACCACCAGCATTGATTAGCCGCCCACTAGTTCTGGGCGGGGTGCTGGGGCTGGAGCTAGTTACTGGGGCAGGTCTGTCCTTCAACAAGAATGTAACCGGGCCCTGCGATGGGGAAAACCCAGACCCAGCAGTTCTGTGATGTCATTGGTACACAAGACTGCCACGTGGGAAAACTCCCTCTGTCAAAGACTGTTGGCACCTTCTCTGCAATTTACATAATCTTAGAGAGTTGCCCAGGGCAGGTGGGCCGTGGATAGGTCACTGGATCTGGAGTTAAGAAGACAGGAATTCAAATTCTCCCTCAGATACTTACTAGCTATGAGATCTTGGGCAAGTCACTTAACCTGTTTCCTCATCGGTAAAATGGAGATGATTATAATAGCGCCTCCTTCCTAGGGCTGTTGCAAGGATCAAATGAGACAATAATGGGAAAGTGCACATAGTAGGGCTGTATAATTATTGTGCTGTTGTCATCAGTTTGTAGAAGAGGCAGTTTGGTGCAGGGGGCTGGGCTGGAATCCTGCCCTGGCTCACTGGCTGACCTTGGGCAGTTATCCCTCCTCGGCTCAGCCACAGCCTGGGGGGCTTTATGACTCTCTGGTTTCGGATGGATCCTCCTTCCCTGGCGCAGATCACAGCTCCCCCAGGGGTCCCCATCCTGCATGGCTCTGGTCCTCGAGGGGGGTTGTCCTGGGGGTCCCCATCCTCATCCCTCTGTCGCGACCCGTGGCTAGTCCATCCTTTTCAATCACAGCCTCACATACGTATACGGCATGCTGAGCTTTCCAAACCTCTGTAACACGAGGACTGAGGATGCGCTGACGGAGGACATCCCGTCCACCGCCAAGTCTTCCATCCCCCAGGCTTCCAGTGTTGCTAAGGAGCAGGGGCGGGGGAGCCCTCCCCAGAGCCCCACCCATCCCCCCTCTTCAATCCAAGCAACCACCTGAACGCTGCTATCAAAGCGGGGACGGCGGTGGCAGGCGGCTCGGTCCTGTGACCAGACTGGTGACTTTGCCCTCGCTTTGGGGTGGGAAGGGGGAGTTGCCCGAGAAGAAAGAAAGCGACAAAGATTAGGTGGGTGAGGGTGCGCCCACCGTTTTTTCTTGCAGTCCCCGGTCCCTCTGGAAAGAAGAGGCTGTGGTGGCCAGAGAGGTCAGGAACGCTGGCTTGGAGGGCCTAGGGAGAGCCCTTCAGGTGTCCCAGATTGCCTTCCTCTCTGCTCTTGTTGTCGCCTGGGGGTCTTGGGAACATGCTAGGATTAGACTGAAAGGTAGCAGGCTGGAAGGGAAAGAATGCTGGATTTGGAGCCTTAAGACCTGGGTTCAGATTCCACCTCTGACAAAGGTAAGTGACCCTTGTACCTGGGCCTCAGTTTACTCATCTCTAAAATGGGGATAATAATGCCTGTGAGCATATTACTTCACGAGGCTGTTTGTCACCAAATGAGATAATGCAGGCAAAGCGCTAGCCTCGAAGCACTGTTTAAATAGTCCTAGGGACTGGACTCCTAATTTCACTAGTCTAAGGAACTCCCAGGTGAGGACACTCCCTGCACCAAGGCAGGTTAGCACTTTATCTTCGATTGACAGTCTTAGGAAGTTTCCTAGAGCACCAAGAGGTTAAATGACTTGCCCACAGTCACAGAGCCAATATGTGTCAGAGGCTGGCCTGGAACCCAGATCTTCCAGATTTCAAAGTTGGCTCTAGTTGGTGGCCCAGTGGGTAGAGCACCAGACCAGGGGTTAGGAAGTGAGTCTAAATCCCACCTGAGACATTTCCTACCTGTGTAATCTAAGTCACTTCACCTGTTTGCCTCAGTTTCCTCAACTGCAAAATGGGGACAATACCAGCACCTATCTCCCAGTGTTGTTGTGAGGTCCAAATGAGATATTTGGAAAGTGCTTAGCACATGCCTGACACACAGTAGGTGCTATATAAGTGCTTATATTCCCTTCCCCCTCTCCAATGTGCCATGCTGCCTCACATAATAACACCCCTCTGAATGCTATTATTATTAGGGACAGCTAGCTCTTCCAGGCACCAGAAAGTGTTGTCTTAGTGTGGAGGATGGCTAGCACACAGGCATTGGACTTGGCTCTTGAATTTTGCTTCTTAAAACCATAGTCCCAGCTTGTTTCTGCCGTGAAGAGCTCAGAGAGCCTGGTTGGTGGGCAAAATCAACTTCATCAGCATCCAGGATGGCTCCTCCTTTCTGGTTCTTTTCTTGTTTCCTTCTTGGGCTGATCTAGAATCCCAGATCTAGAAGGGACCTTCAGAATGCTCATCATGGGGTCATAGAACTAGGAGGAATCTTAGAGATCAATTGAATGAACCCCATTCATTTTACAGACAAAGAAGCTGAACCCCAGCAAGGGGGTTCTGAAGCTCTTGGGGTTCTTCAAGCTCTGTTTAAGTATGGGAGCCAAGAAGGCTAAGGTGGTTTAAGGCTGCGTCAAGAGAGGCCAAAGGGCTCCCAGAAATAAGGGGACGAGAGTCCCCATCATCCTCTGCCTCAGTCAGACCACATCGAGAGTCTCATATTCAGTGTGGGAAGGACACTGTTGAGTTGGAAAGCGTCCAGAGGAGAAAAACCAAGATGGTGGAGAACCTGAAATTTACTCCATGGGAGGATCACTTGGAGGAACTGGGAATGTTCAGCCTGGAGAGGAGAAGCCACAGGAAGAAGGTGATAGTGGTGCTCAGGGAACTGAAGGGCTGTCATGTGTGTGGAGGAGGGAATAGACTTTTGTTTGGCCCCAGAGGGACTGGGAAGAGGAGTGATTACTGGAAGTCACAAGGAGATAAGCTCTGGTTGGGAAGAAAGTAAGGAGAAACTTGATCATCAGAACTATTTGGGGCAGTGAGGTGGTGCAGTGGATAGAGCACGGGCCCTGAAGTCAGGAGGACTTGAGTTCAAATGTGGCCTCAGACCGTGATACTTACTAGCTGTGTGACCCTGGGCAAGTCACTTAACCCCAATTGCCTAAAAAAAAAAAGAACTATCCAAGAGCAGGAGGTTGTGGGATCTACTTCTTGGAAGGCCTACGGCAGGGGCTAGATGTGATAGGCAAGGTGTTTTGGGGGGGTATGGCTCTTGAAATCTTGTCTAACTTGAAATCTGGTGTTCTTGGATACCCAATGTCAGAGAGATAGTAGAGCTCCAGCTAGGACTCGAATTCATGTCCCCGTCTCCCAGCCCAAGACTCTTGTCTACATTCTAAATGAGCACTTAGGTGGCACCATGGTGCATAGAGTGCTAGGCCTACAGTCACAAAGACTCATCTTCATGGGTTCAAATCTGATCTTTGACACTTATTAGCTCTGTGACCCTGGACAAGTCACTTGAACCCCATTTGCCTCAGTTTCCTCATCAGTCAAATGAGCTGGAGAAGAAAATGGTAGACCATTCCAGTATCTTTGCTAAGAAAACCCCAAATGGGAGTCACAGAGTTGGACGTGACTAAAAAATGACTCAACGATACACTGTGAATGGGCATCCTTCCTTCTAAAACATCCTCTAACCCTTGGGACTATTAAAGGATCAGGGTGAGAAACTAGGGAGGGAGCAGAGCCAGGACAAGGTATTTGAACATTCTAGGTCAGGCTTGAAAATCACTCTCTCCCCCAGGCCCTCATGTTGGGTGTTACTGTTTCCCCAAAGCTTTGAGCCTCATCTGTGCCTTGTTGGCTTATTGCAAAATCTAGAAATACGTGGCATCAGTAGCAGAAGATTCTGGCACTAAACATATTTAAATAAATAGACAACAAAGTTGACCCCTCTTCAAGACCACGCTGATTGGCGAATGACTAAACAAAGTATGGTATGTAAAGCTAAGAAAAAGAATACTGCTACACTGTAAGAAAGGATGGCTATGAGGAATTCAGAGAAACATAGGAAGATTTGGATGAACTGATGGAGAAATAGAAACAGAATTCATGAAAACATCCCTGAAAGGGAGCTGAATTCTGAGTAATAGAAAACCCAAGACCCGTCCCTAGGGGGCACGCAATGAAATAGAACCCTCGTCCTCTCAGCAAAGGGAAGAGATGAGTAGGGGAGGATGGTGTTTCCATTGCCAGATGACTTTTTGCTCAATTCTTTGTGGTTTTCATTGTGGCCTGGGGAGCAGCAGCAGGGCCAGAAGCCATATGGAGCTGACTTTTGGTTCTTAAAAGCTGTGACTGGCAGACCAGGAGATTTGACAGGGAGCAGCAGTACGGGGTCAGTGGGACTGGGGTTCACATGCCTGGGTGACCTTGAGCAAATTACTTAACCTCTCCAGGCCTCAGTTTCTTCATCTATGAAATGGGCAGGGGTTTAATAGATGTACTCTAGGCTCCTTTCATCTTTAAATCTATCATAAAATGTGGTAAATCCACACGGCATCAAGAAACAAGGACATTTCTTTAAAGTAGGAAGCAAAGTAAACAATGAGGAATGAAAACGTGCAGCAGGAATGCCGGCACCTGCATCTGAAAATGGCCTCCTTCCCCACGGGGCCTGAAGGCCCTGGCCTCTGCTCTGGCCTCTTCAAACCCCAGAACCCCACGTTGCCCTCCTGGGTGCAGTGACATGAGCTGTCTTATGCAGCAGCTGGAAAGCCTTCAAAAGACTTTTGTTTGCTGCCCAGGGACCAGCCCAGCTGCGTTTGATAACGGGGTGATGTCAGTTTTTGGCCACAGACACTTTTGAACATTAAGCTGTAGAGGGGTTGCTAACCAAGGTAGAGGAGAAACTATGCAAAAAGCATTCACATTGATGAAATAAAAATAATAATAGCACGCATGTCTATGGCTCCTTAAGGTTTACAAAGCATTTTTACAAATATCTCATTTGATCCTCATAATAGCTCTGGGAGCTAGGTGCTGGGATTAGCCCCATTTTACAGATGTTGAAACTGAGGCAGGGGAGATAACAATGAAAGTGAAATAGTAAAATAAATTGTAAATAGTACAATTAAAAAATAGTGAAACAACCCTCTTTAAACTTAGCTAGGTTAGGCCTTGGGCAGCAAATAAAAGAGGTTATATGGCTTGACCCAGAATCATACTATAGTAAATGTCTGAGGTAGGATTTGAACTCGGCTCTTCCTGACTCCAAATCCAGGGCTCTACTACACACAGTATAAAGTAAGTATTGAAAGTATATTAAAATAGAAAGTAAGTTTCGAAAGAAGTACTAGAAAAGCGTGTGCATGCCTCCCTCTTTCTGTGTTGTGCTTCTGGTTAACTGCCCTGCTGGCCTAGCCCTAATCCCAGCTCTGGGAGTGAACTGTGACAGGAGTCACTTCTGATCTTGTTTTTCAGCCTGGAAAGTTTGGATGGCGTTGCAGGTGACGGCCCCTGATTTGGCAAATGGGCTTCAATGTCCTGTTTGTCTGGAGGTCTTTAAGGAGCCCCTCATGCTGCAGTGTGGTCATTCTTACTGCAAAGATTGTCTGAACTCCTTAACCCACCACCTGGGAAACCAGCTCTTCTGCCCCGTGTGCCGGCAAGTGGTACCCGATGGCAGCAGCTCCCCGCCCAATGTTTCCCTGGCCCAGGTGATTGAAGCTCTGCATGTCCCAGGCGAGCAGGAGCTGAGTGTCTGTACCCATCACCAAAACCCACTCAGCCTGTTCTGTGAGAGGGACAGAGAGCTCATCTGCGGCCTCTGTGGCCTTCTGGGCTCCCACAAGCAGCACCAGGTCATACCTGTCTCCACTGTGTACAGCCGCATGAAGGTAGGAAGCTGCTTACCTCCCTAGCCAGAAAAACCAGGGTCTGGGCACCAGATCAGCCACAGATTCTCTGTTGAAGGCTGAGAAGGCAGGCCAAGGGGGTTGACTGTGCGCCTGAGCCTGCAGGGACTCCCACCCATGCCCAGAGCAGAGGTCAGGCGACTTAACACAATGGATGCTGGGGGGAGATGATGGGGAGCAGGGCAGGGTTTCCTTTTCAATGAGGATGAGCTTTGGAGTGAGGAAGTTAAAATAAGCAGTTAGCAGGCAGGGAGAGCCAAGAGATGAGCAGTCATCAGGGGACGTTTAGCGTCCGGCACCCGTGGATATGTCAATCCTGGATGAACCAAGTCCTCAGACTGTTGAGGGTTGGCTCTAAGAGTCCAATCTGGGTTTAAGATCCAGGACAGAATTTGACTCTTGTCCAGGCTTAACCCACAGGGCTCAATCATTTAGGAAGCAGGGCTCTCCAAATCTCGTCTTGCAAGGGAGGCTCCGGAGACATTCCTTCTCAACCTTTGAATCTTAGATTTACACATTCGCTCCTCTATGCAGGTGGCTCCAAGGCGCCTGGGAAAACCTTGGAAAATACAACCCAATCTAGGAACCCTGATGACGAGGAAATGTATGTTGTCATGTCCTCAGCAGATGTTTTGGGGAGTGTCTCAAGGGGAGGACTCTTTGAAGTTAGGCTAGATTTTCTCTATCTATCCTGTACCCTCAGATGAATAAACTGAGTCAGTTTTCTGCTCCGCCTGGTCCCACTTCATGTCTTATTTCACGCCTCTCCGTTTGGTGTACTGTCTGGTTGTGGGCCACATCAGACCCTGACGGAACTGGGCTCAGTGTGGCCTCGACTCCAGCCTGAAATGCGTGGCCATTTATGTTACTGAGGCCTTGCTTGGGCTGGGCTCTGGGAAATTCCCCTTTCTACGCCTTCCCTGAGCTAAGGGCCCACACTTTGGCACAGATGGTCATGATTATTTCTATAATCATAGCTCCTCTACGGTTTGGGCAAGGGGACTTACCAGGGGCAGGAATACAAAAGTAGCGACTAGCCACCACACAATGAAAAACAAACAAAAAGGGGGTCATGAAGTCTCTCTGGCCTAATGAGTACCTAAGTAAATCCTTAACTTTTTCCAGCCAGTCTCCAAACTTTAAAGAATCCAGTAACTAGGTTAACATTTGCTCAAGGCTTTTGATGAAGATTTCATCTACTGGGGTATCTTGCATTTTTGAATGAGACCAAAGCAGATGTGAGGCAGGGGAGCCAGAGAGGGCACCCGTGAGGTAGGGGGGAGTTCTGGCCCCTCATTACTATACAAACCATTCGTGGGTCCATGGAAGGAAGCTGAAGAGGCAAAAGGGGATGCCAGGAAGAGTGCCTGCAAGGGCCTGGTGATGTCCAGGATCCCTCAGTAGTCTGGGTAAGAGAAGGACAGAATGTGCATCTCCAGCCCGTGTGTGGGTCCTCGGTGTCCATGGGAGGGTGTGCAGAGGGCGGGGGAGTTCTGTGGCCACATGCATCGCCTCGAAGCCATCATATGAACGTGGGGAGCTAAGATGAAGCCCATTTCTGAGCTCCCGCTTATCTCTAGTGACCAGAGAAAGTTCTGGGGACGTGGCGGGGCGGGTGGACAGGAAGCCCTCTCCCTCCAGCTGTTGGTCATTTTTTGTGAGGATATTTGCCAGAACTGACTGACAGCATGGCTTTCCTCCCCGTGGCCAGAGCTCCATCCTGAAGAGGACCCTCCCTGCTCAGTATTGGTTCCTTTCTCCCACCTCCTCATTTTTGCCCACCTGAAATCGTTTCATCCTTAGTACTGGTATCACCAGTGCGTGGCACGTAATGGGCACTTAAGAAATGCTCGTTGGCCTGACATGAATCGAGTAGATTCCCACCTGTGTGACCTTGGGCAACTTAATTTAATCTCTCTGGCCTCAGTTTCCTCTTCTGTAAAATGAGAGGGTTGGGCCGGATGGCCTCTGAAGTCCTTTCTATCACTCTGTCTCTGATCCTCTGAGTCTGAGGAAACACGAGAAACACACCAAATAATTATAGAGTTATTGAGAGGATTGGGACCCACCAACCACCAGGTGGGTCTGCCTATGAAACGCGTCTGGGACTTGTTTGGCTTGGATTTAGGACTGTATCTACACACAAGGTGGAGGCTAAGGAAATCTGAATCACTTCAACTCTACCCTGATTCTGATGGGAGACTTTGGGTGCTGGCGTGGAATCAGAAAGGCCTGGGTTCAAATCCCACTTTTAACATGGGCACAGTTCACTTCCCCGGGCCTCAGCTTTCTCCTCTGTAAAATGAAAGGACCAGATTCCATGGCCTGTATGGTCCAGACACCAGAGGCCTGGGGAGGGGGGAAAGGATGGTTTCCCTGGGATTCATGGGTTCTGCTTTGGCTTCCTTCCCCAGGAGGAGCTCTCGGGCCTCATCTCGGACCTGAAACAACAGCGGGAAAAACTGGAGGAACAGGTCACCAGACTAGGGAACAACAGGACCCGGATTGCTGTGAGCCAGCGCCCATATTGTGCCCCATGCCCTCGCCTCCCTGCCCCCGGGAACGGGCACTCCTCCTGGTGTCACAAAAGTAAAATTAAGATCCAGAGCAGGCCTAGGAGAGGTGTGGGGGTCTGCATCTTCCCTTGGAGCACTGGATTCCAAACCCATCCCTGGCTTGTAATACTGGTGTGACCTTGGATATAAATCACTTCGCTGCCAGAGGCCTTAGCTTCCTTTTTCATAAAATGAGGGGAATAGCACTTCCTAGACACTCCCCCTCCCCATTTTAAAGATGAGGAAGTTTGAGGCCAAGGGAGGTAAAGGGACCTCCCCAAGGTCACACACTAGAAAGCAGGCCCTCTGACCCCACACCTGTGCATGACCCCGCCTCCCCTCTCGGGTCTCTCCCACTCTGCATCTGGGGTCCCATTGCCTTCCAGTGGAGGGGTGGGCCCCAGGGCCTTGGTAAACCCTGTAGTCCTCCTCCACGAAGGGGTTTGGAATGACCATCTTGTGCCACCTTCTGGTCAGCCTGGCTATAGCTCCTTCCGGTGCTTGAGTCACGTTGGGGTGGGGGAGCCCTGCAGAGGCAGCGCCAGGACTGGCCCACACTGGGGGGGGGGGTGCTGGCACGACTTTAGGTTCTCAGAGAAGCCACAGCCACTCTGTTCTTGGCCCAGTGCCTGGAACTCAGTAGGTGCTTAAGCAATGCTTGTTGGTTGATCGGTCAACTGCTGTGTCACCTCTTACAACACGTCCTTGGCCTAGAGGGACGATGGTGGTGTCCTGGATCCCTCCATGGTCTGGGTAAAAGAAAGGTCAGAACGAAGAACAGAACGTGCATCTCCAGCCCATGTGTGGGTCCTGCGTGTCTGGGGAGGGTGTGCAGAGGGAGGGGGAGTTCGGGTCTAGTGTATATAGTTTATATAGGCTGTGCCTGTGTGCCAAAGGAAGCAGCATGGCACAGGGGAAAGAGCAGTGGAGGCAGAATCCTGGGTTCACATCTTCCCTCTGCCCCTCATTGTGACCTTGGGCAAATCACTTAACTTCCTCGGGGCTCACTATTCTCTTATAGAAAACAAGGGGGTGGGCCCGGCCCCGGATGACGTCTAAACCCCTCTCCAGGCCGAGTCCAAGACCCTGTGAGCTGAGGGGGCGTCTCCATCTCCGTAAAATAAGGGGGTCGGACCAGATGACTCCGAAGGCCCTTCCAGGCCAGCCTGGATCTGCCCCACCCTCCCTCTATGAGCTGCTCTCTCCTGGCCCAAACCAAAGTAAGGGTTGGGCCGAGACGGGCTTTGCTCCCTCCCCCAGAACGAGTCCGACGTCTTCAGCTGGGTGATCCGGAGAGAGTTCCAGGAGCTCCACCGCCTGGTGGACGAGGAGGAGGCCCGCTGTCTGGAGGGTATCGAGTGTCACAAGCGGGGCCTCCTGGCCTCCATGGACATCCAGCTGGAGCAGGCCCAGGGCGCCCGGGAGCGGCTGGACCAGGCGGAGGGAGTCTTGGAGCAGCTGAGTGAGGAGAGCCACCTTGACTTCATCCAGGTGAGCCAGGGAAAGGAACAACCGGTCAGTCAATCCACGACGTTCATTAGGTACTTACTAAGTGCCAAGCTGAGGACAGGAAGACAAAAATGCAATGGTCCCTGCCCTCAAGAAGCTTACATTCGGGGGGGTGGAGAAGAACATGACGTTCAATTCAGTTTAAAAAGTATTGAATAATTATCACAATATCTAGCATTGATATGACACTTTTAGGTTTGCACAACACTTTATGGACATTGTCTCCTTTGACATCATTTAAGTGTCTACTACGTGGCTGTACACACAGGTGTCCAAGTATAAAGATGCAAGGGTGCCTGCCCTCGTGGAGCTTGCATTCTAATGGAGGAGACATGTGCATGTGCAGTATAAACAGAACAGTACAGAATGACCAGGAGGGCGGTCCCTCGAGGGCAGGTGTTGGGTTTGTCTTTGTATGCCCACCGTATACACAATGTCTGCTGCGTAGTAGGCGTCTAATAAATGTTCCTTAAAGTGAGCATTGTGCTTCCATTGGACCAAAGGGTGACCTTTGGCCTTGGGACATCTAGCCAGCCAATGCCCCTCCTCTGAGGCACCTTCCCTCTATCACCAACCACAGTTCCTGCCCAGCAAACCCCGTCACTCCTGGCTTCTGAAGGAGCCTTCCAATGTCTTAATCACCTTGTTTCTCTTTTCTTATAGAAATACCATGCCATGGCCTCCAGGTAAGTACCCTGGTGGGGAGAGAGGGAGTCAGGCCTTTTGGATCTGGCAGAACACACAGAGGAGGGATGGAGAGGAAGCCTGGGAAATGGCATGGGCCTCTCAACCAGCTAGAGCCGTCTTCCAAATGGGGCTAAGTCAGGATTCCAGCCCCACTTGTAATGGCCTTTGGGAACATAGATATACACGCCTATATACATATAACACATATGTGCACATATAAATATATGTGGATGTATGAAGTATGACCTCTTTCAATAGGGAGCCCGATAAAGCATTTATTCAGGTTTTACCATGTGCCCATCAGCCTGCTAAGCATTGGGGATGTAATACAAGGAGGCTCCATTCTAATGGAAGGGGCAGTAAGCTGGCATGTTATGAGAGCAGTCTGAAGGACCTTGGAAAAGAAAGCTGACCTGTCTGAGCTTGGGGACCCAGGGGTGAAATCCAAGTTGGTGGGAGGGAAATTATGATTTATATATATATGTATATACACACACACATGTGTGTGTATATATATGTGTATATATATACACACACAGAGAATTTATATGATTTATATATTTATATATACACATATATATGCATGGATATACACACACATATATGCCTGTATATATACACACATACACACAGAAATATATAGCCATACATACATACACACACACACACCTATGTCTTTTCCTCAGTTATGTGGCTTTTGCTTGCACAAATCTCCATCCCCAGGGCTGTGAATTCAGCCAGGAATGGGTCTCAGGGTAGAATCCTATGGTAGATGGCAGGACTGTGTGAGTTTAGGTGGGGGAGAAGTTGTACCCAGAGATTTAACTAGGGCAGATTGGTGGGGTCTTTGATCTAGTGTGCTCACATTCAGAGGGTGCCAATAGCATGGGCTGGGGCGCCCTTCTTCCTGATCCCTGGCTCCTCCAGTCCCTGCTCCCCATTTTCCCATCAGCAGTCAGGCCTTCAGGAGTGGAGTAGCCTCCTGGCATCCTGGGCAGGGGGATTGTCACAGGAGTCACAGGACCTGGCTTCAGAGCCCACCTCTGATGCTTACCTGCCTGTGTGACTCGATTCAGGTCACTTGACCTCCTTGGCCTCAGTCTCTTTATCTGTGAGATGAGGGGGTGGGACTTGGTCCCTGCCAGCTCTCACTTTAGGATCTTGGGATCGTCCAGCTTGGAGGGCCCCCCCCCAGCCCCTCCCTACTTGCCCTGGGCACCCAAATCCAAATCCTCGGTTATGGCTCAGTTTGCTGGCCCCAGCAAAGGGAAGCGGTACTACCACCACTCACTCACACCGGTCTCCGGGATCTGTCCAACCACGTTCTTCCCAGCACAAAGCTCCAGCAGACTCTGCCGCTGGAGGGAACCTTCAACGCCGTCTCTTTCAAGCCTGGCTTCCACCCAGCCAATCTCAAAATGACCGTGTGGAAGCGGCTGTTCCGCAAGGTTCTGCCAGGTGAGTCACTGCAGGAGAGCAGCCCCAGCCTGGGCACTGCTGGGTACCAGCATGCCCAGCCAGAGTTTATTTGGTGCTCACTTAGGTGCCAGGAACTGTCATGGGCACCAGAGATGCAAAGCTGACAAAGAAGGCAACAGGTATATATATGTGAGATGTATACAAAGGAATCTTGGGGGCGGGGAGAGAAAAGCTTAGGGAATCAGGAAAGGCCTCATGGAAGCTTCCAGGATTCAACAAGGCCTATGTAAGGAGTGGAGTGCATTTCAGGCATGGTGAGGGGCAGTGTATGTCAGCCTGTGTAAAGGCAAGGAGGTGGGAGATTGAGTATCATGGGTGAGGAACAAGAAGAAGGCCAGGCTGGTTAGAACACTGTGTCATGGGGAATAATATATATGTATATAATTTATTTATTTTTATATTTATATATATATATATATGTATATATATATATATATAATTTGTAAAATGTATGACATCATATAACATATAATAATGCAAGAAAGGCACGTAGGATCCTGGTAATTGAGATTTCGCATAGAGCAGTCTGTAGTTAACTCTGGAGGTCATCGGAAGCCAGTGGAGTTTACTGAGCATGGGAGTGACGGGGTCAGATCCAGGCTGCAGGAATATCCCTTTGGCAGCCATGTGGACCATAGCCTGGAGACAGGGAGAAACCTGGTCTTGCTGTGGCCTGAGCAGGCCTTTTTGGCTTCTCCTTCCTCAGCCATGGAGACTCTGAAATTGGACCCAGCTACGGCCCACCCGCTCCTCCAGCTCTCCAAAGGGAACACAGTGGTAGAGTGTGGCCTCCTGTCTCAGCGGAGTGTCGGCCACCCTGACGGCTTTGACTACAACACCTGTGTCCTCGCCAGTCAAGGTTTCTCCTGCGGCCGTCACTACTGGGAGGTGGTGGTGGGCAGCAAGAGTCACTGGCGGCTGGGGGTCATCAAGGGCACCGCCAACCGGAAAGGCAAGCTGATCAAGTCCCCCGAGCATGGGCTGTGGCTGATCGGGCTCAAGGAGGGCCGGGGGTATGAGGCCTTCCAGTGCCCACGAGTGCTGCTGCCTGTGGCCGGCCACCCTCATCGCATCGGTGTGTATCTCCACTATGAACAGGGGGAGCTCACTTTCTTTGACGCAGACCGCCCCGAGGGCCTCCAGCCCCTGTACACTTTCCAGGCTGACTTCCAAGGCAAACTTTACCCCATCCTGGACACCTGCTGGAATGAGCGGGGCAACAATTCCCTTCCCATGGTTCTGCCTCAACCTCCGGGACCTGGCCACCTGCCCACCCTGGAGCACACCAAACTGTAGACGTTTGGTCCTCCTACCCTCCCTACATGCCCATGGCAGGTGGGCAGGGGATAGGCATCCTCAGGCCCTTGGCTTACGGGCACTGAAGTGCCATCGTCCCTAGAGACTGATCTTCCAAACCAGATTTCTTGACTTACTCCTGCATCTGTCAAAATGACATGATTCAAAGCTTTCCCTGATAAAATGTAAGCTTCCTGAAGGCAAAGCCTGTTTCCTTGTATCCCCAGAGCCCAGCAGAGCGCCTGACACACAGCAGGTGCTTAAGAAATGCTTGTTGACCGATAAAGTAGGAAGACGTTCCAGGAAAGAGTGGGGTCATAGACGCCCCCAACGGCTGCTCTTCTCTATTCAGTATAATGCAGGCCATGCTTATCATCCTCTACCCACCTTTCTCATTTAATAAAAAGATCTCTCTCCTGCAGTTTTTAAAGCCCCATCCTCTGAGGTGAGCACTGTAAGCACTGTGAGCCTCAGGGGGGGCTGGCATCCTCAGGGAAGGCCTCCAGGAAAAGCTGGCACTTGGCCTTGGTCCTGAGGAACAGGCAAGTTAGCCCCAGAAGCTTGAGCAAGCCTGGCCTGGGGACAGCACTGCTAAGTGCCCTGGGCTTCTTGCAGCTATTCAAATATGAAAGAACAAGGTCTGTCTTTTCTACTTGTATCCTCCAGCTCTTAGTACTGTGAGTACATAGTAGGTGCTTAATAAAGGCTTTTAAAAAATCCTTCACTTATTCATTTATGGGGGAGGGAGGACAGGATGGCCATGGCATCTGAGCTGACCCTCCCCTGCCCATCCCCCTAGTGCTCTAACCACTGAGATACCAGTTCTATCTTCAGCAGTGGAAGGAGCACTAGACTAGAGAACCCTGAGTCAAAGCCCATCGTTGTCTGCTTCTATGACCTTGGGCAAGTTCATCCACCACTCTGGGTCTCAGTTTTCTCACCTGTAAGATGGGACAAGGGGGCTTGTAGATCTATGATCACATGACCTTTTGGGTCAAAAAATGGCAGAAGGGGGAGTGAGAAGATTCAGGAGGGATGACCCAAGACATGAAGGGCATCTTCCCCGTGCCCATGGGAATAAGTCTTCCAGATTCTAGACTTCCCACCTGGGGGCATCCTCAGTGCCCTCGAGCTAGATTCAATCTGTTGTCAGTTCCTGTTGACTTCACCTCTGCAACATCTCTAGAATAAGTCCCCTTCCTCTCCTTGGATGCTGCTGCCCCGCCTCCCAGGACCTATCACCTTCCATCTGGACTAGTACAGTGGCTGGGGGGGGGGGGTCTGCCTGCTTCCAGTCTCTTCCCACTGCAGCCCATCCTCCACTCAGCTGCCAATTGATCTTCCTAAAGGGCAGGTCTCACTGTGTCACCTCCACCCCCCACCGTCTTATTCAACAAACTCCACACCTATCATTTCCAGGAAACTCCTCCGGCATCAAAGTCCTTCCTAACCCGGCCCCACCTCCGACCTTCCCAGTCTCCTTACGCTGACTTGTCCCCACACATGCCCTGATGTATAAGGCACTGCCCCCCTGGCTGCTCCATCTCCTGATCCCTGTGCATTTTCATTGATTTGTCCCCATTTCAGGAATGCTCTCACTATTGATCTCCACATCCTGGCGTCCTTCACATCCCCACATCCTACAAGAAGCCTTTCCCAGTCCTCCTTAACCCAGTGCTTTCCCTCTGTTGATTATCTCCAACTTATGCTGCCTAACAATTTTTTTTATCCTGCCTAACAATTAATCAATCATCTATTTTTTTTTTTTTTTTATAATTTACTTATTTTTAGTTTTCAACATTCACTTCTATAAGATTTTGAGTTTTAAATTTTCTCCCCCTCCTACTCCCCCCCCCAAGATTGCATGCAATCTGATATAGGCTCTACTTACACACTCATATTAAGCATATTTTCCCATTAGTCGTGATGTAAGAATAATTAGAATTAATGGGAGGAACCACAAGAATGAAGCAACGAAACAAAACAACAAAGGAAAAGGAGAGCAAATAGTCTGCTTCCATCTGCATTCAGATTTCGTAGTTGTTTCTCTGGATGTGGATGGCAATTTCCATTGTGAGTCTTTTGGAAATGTCTCAGATCCTTGCATTGCTGTGAAGAGCCAGGTCTATCAAAGCCAGTCATTACACAATGTGGCTGTTACTGTGTACAATGTTCTTCTCCTGGTTCTGCTCACTTTGCTCAGCATCAGTTCATGTAAGTCTTTCCAGGTTATTTTATTTTTTTTGAAGTCTGCCTGCTCATCATTTCTTATCGCACAGTAGTATTGCATTACATTCATATACAACTTGTTCAGCCATTCCCCAATGGATGGGCATCCATCTCCTCAATTTCTAATTCTTTGCCACCACAGAAAGAGCTGCTATAAATATTTTTGTACATGTGGGTCCTTTTCCCTTTATTATGATCTCTTTGGGATACAGCTCTAGAAGTGTCATTCCTGGGTCAAAGGGTACCCACGATTTTATAGCCCTTTGTGCATAGTACCAAATGGCTCTCCAGAATGGTTGCATCAGTTCACAACTCCACCAACAATGCATTAGTGTTCCCATTTTCTCATATCTTCTCCAACATTTATCATTTTCTTGTTTTGTCATGTTAGCCAATCTGATAGGTGTGACGTGGTACCTCAGAGTTGTTTTGATTCGCAGTGATTTAGGACATTTTTGCGTATGACTATAGATAGCTTTAGTTTCTTCCTCTGAAAACTGCCTGTTCATATCCTTTGACCATTTATCAATTGGGGAATGACTCATATTCTTATAAATTTTACTTAGTTCTCTATATATTTTAGGAACGAGGCCTTTATCAGAGACACTGGTTGTAAAAATTCCCAGTTTTCTGCTTCTCTCCTAATCTTGGATGCACTGGCTTTGTTTGTGCAAAAACTTTTCAATTTAATGTAATCAAAATTATCCATTTTGCATTTCATTATGTTCTCGTATCTGTTGTTTGGTCATAAATTCTTCCCTTCTCCATCGATCTGACAGGTAAACTTACTTTGCTTATAGTATCAGTTTTATACCTAAATCCCGTACCCACTTTGACTTCATCTTGGTATAGGGTAATCAATCATCTAATAAGGACCTACTATATGCCAGGTACGGTGCTAAGCCCTGGGGATACAAAGAGAGGCAAAAGACAGCCCTTGCCCTGAAGGAGCTTACACTCTAATAGGAGAGCCAACACTTATACAAAGCAAGCTATATACAGAAGAAATGCCTATATCGGGTTCATAGTACGGGTTTGTACCTTGAGGGTAGGCACTGGTTTTGCCTTTGGATTTCCAGAGCTTAGCACAGAGCCTGGCACACAGCTGGCACTTAATAAATGCTCGCTGCCTTGCTTGCAATTTGGAGTTAGGAAGGTCTGGGTTCAAAACACGCCACAGACGCTACTTGTGTCACCTTAAGTGAAACACTTCTCTATTTACGCGCTCCAGCTTTGTCGTAAAACGAAGGCTAACTCCTAAGAACGATTCCGCCTCTAAAGCTCTGACCCAGCTACTCTAAGGATGCGAGGGCGGTGCCAGGAAATGCTTGGCCAATGAGGAGCGGGGGTGGAATTGACCAGAAGGGGGCGGAGCCACAGGCCGGCGGGCCAAATCCGGACGAGACGGCGTGGCGCGCCTGCGCAGTGGTTGGGGCAGCCACGTGGGGCGCCGCGGGGCCGGAACTGGAGCCAGGAGTCGGAGGAGGCTCATGGCGCTGTACGGGGCTGCGGCCGCCGTGCTCTCGGGGCTAGAGGCGCACCAGGGCTCCCTCAAGAGCCTGGTCTATGGCAGCCGCTTCCAGGTACTGCGGCGAGGGAGCAGGACCGGAGTGTGGTCAGCCTTGGGCCGGTCGTCCGGGGCTGGGGGTGTCCAAGGCCGGGGGCTTGGGTGTCCGGGGTCGGGGGCAGGGTGTCCGGAGGTCAGGGACGGGGTCTCCGGGGTGGGATGTCCGAGGGTCGGGGACGAGGTGTGCAGGTCGGATGTCCGGGTGTCAGAGGCCGGGGGTGGAGTGCCCGGGGTCGGGGGCCGGGCGTCCGGGGGTCAGGGACGGGGTGTCCAGGTCAGGGGGGGGCGTGCGCCTGATGCCCGCGTCTCCACCACGCACCTGGGCCCCAGAACGTCCGGCAGCTGTACGCTCTGGTCTGCGAGACGCAGCGCTATTCGGCCGTGCTGGACGCGGTGATCGGCAGCGCCCGGCTCCTAGAGGCGGAGAAGAAGCTGAAGCCCCACCTTGCCAAGGTGAGGCTTCTGGGAGAGAAGGGCGTGGAGAGGGTTAGGTCGGCACCGAGCCCGGACCCCACGCCCTACCCAAAGGAGGCTGTTAAGGGAGGCTTTTTTTTTCTTTTTTTTTCTTTTTTTAATATAAATTTATTTATTTTTAGTTTTCAACATTCACTTCCACAAGTTTTTGAGTTCCAAATTTTCACCCCATCTCTCCCCACCCCAAGATGTCATGCATGCTGAATATCCCTTCCCCTAGTCTGTCCTCTCTTCTATCTCTCTCCCCTTCTCTTATCTCCTTCCCCTTCTGTTTTCCTATAGGGCAGGACAGACTTCTGTACCCCATTTCCTATATTTCTTATTTTAAGGGAGACTTTTTCACATACCCACCCAAAGTCATGTTCTTGTTAGTCCGGGAAGGGATGAATGTGGGATCCATAGCTTACCTGGAAAGTCTCTGGATCAATAGTTTTGGGGCCAGAGGACCCAGAACTCAAGCTCTCCCACAGGGAACCCCACCTGATCTCCCTCCCACCCTAATTAACGCCTTCACCCCTAAATTACCTTGTATTTATTATGACTGTGTTCACAGACATGCTGCTTCGCAGATAGAATGAAGCTCTCTGAGGGCAGAGACAGTTTCATTTTGTCTTTGTCTCCTCAGGGCTCTCCTATAGTGCCTGACATGTAGTAGGTGCTCAGCAAACAGTTATTGAGTAGAAAGAGTGGATTACAGATGCTGCCAGAGGCTCTTCTTAGATGTCCAGTAAATGGTTCTTGACTCGACTTACCCTCTGGAGCCTGGCTCATTAGAAGAGGTCAGAGAGTCATGGATGTAGACCCAGAAGGGCCCTCTGAGGCCCTCTGGTCCAGTTCCTCCATCTTACAGATGAGATTAGCCCCAGGTTGAAGGTGGTTGGGTGTGATGCCGGGGTGGCTCAGCTCAGACCGTCAGTCCCTTCTCAGGTCCTGGTGTATGAGCTGCTGCTGGGCCGGGGCTTACGGGGTGGAGGCCGATGGAAGCCTGTGCTGTCCCGGCACAAGGCGAGGCTGCAGGCCGAGTTTGCCCGGCTCAAGGTGAAGCGTTGTGTGAGCCGCAATGAAGACCTCCTGGAGTCGACTCCTGGGGCCGTGCAGGGTGAGTGGGAGCCCTGGGGAGTGGCTGGGAAGGCCGTGGAGGGGAGTCTCAGTGCCTCTCCCTTTGTCTGCAGAGTTGCAGCTCCCTCGCTTTGTGCGAGTGAACACGCTCAAGACCAACCTCGACGACACCATTGATTACTTGAAGCGTGAGGGCTACTCCTACCAGGGCCGTGCTTCTGGGTGAGAGCAGCCTCCTGGTTCCTGGGCAGTTGGATGGGGGGGGGGTGGTCTCTAGCCTGTTCTCAGGCTGCCTTCTTCCTTCTCTTCCCTGACAGACTGGACGAGCTACGGGCCTTAGAGGGGAAACTTTTTTTCCTAGACTCACTGCTTCCTGAGCTACTTGTATTCTCTTCGGGCACTGACCTCCATAAGCACCCGCTGTACCAGGCTGGCCATCTCATCCTGCAAGACAAGGTCAGGAGGAAGGGCCGTGCTGAAGGGGGGTGGGGGACAGATGGGGAGAAGAGGCCCTGGGTGGGGGGCGGTTCACTCAGTTCTGATGTCTTGCCCCTGCCAGGCGAGCTGCCTCCCAGCAATGCTGCTTGCCCCTCCACCTGGCTCCCATGTCATTGATGCGTGTGCTGCCCCAGGCAATAAGACGAGCCACCTCGCTGCTCTGCTGAAAAACCAAGGGTGAGGCAGGAGGGAAGGGGTCGGGGTGGGGAGAATCGTGTGGCATCCAGTCTAGACTGTCTCCTGACAGGGAAGGAAATCTGGTGAATAGAGATTGATGGTGCCCTGGGTGACAGTTTCCTTTAAAAACCTCATTCGGAGCTAGGGACTTTTGGGTTTGCACCCCTCATTTGTGGGGGTCCAAATGGCAGGATGTTGGATGGGAAATTCCAGGGATAGGAATCCAGGCATTGTTAATGCCTTTGCCTTTCTTTATGCCTCATTTGAGAGGTGTCATGTTCTAGTGAAAGGGACATTGGACCCAGAGTCAAGAAGGCATGAGTTCAAATCTCGCTGCATACATTTTGGCTTTGTGAGGTTGGAGAAGGTACCTCATCTCTCTGGGCCTGGATCTTCTCTGTCGAGTGAGGGGTTGGACCAGGTGACTTTGAGGATTCCTTCTAGTTGTAGGGTGAGGATTGTGAGGTTGAGGGGATAGCTGGTGACAGGATGAGGAAACTGAGGCTCAGCTGAAATGGTCTCACACACAGAGCTAGTAAGCGTCAAGTCTCTTCTGATCCCTTAGGCTCCTTTAGAAAGAACCTTTCCCTGAGGGTTTTCTGGTGGTTTCATTGATTTGTGCCCTGTCTTCCCTCCTTCCCCAGCCAGACTACAAGCTGCTCCCTGTTGGCAGGAAGTTGCATTTTCTCTTCATGTCCTGTGTGCCCACCCTCTCCCCGCCAAGTGCTTTGTGCTTGGGGAGCTCACTCACTGATTTCTTCTCTAGGAAGATCTTTGCTTTTGACCTGGATGCTGGGCGGCTGGCCACCATGGCCACACTGCTGACCAGGGCTGGAGTCTCTTGCTGTGAGATAGCCAATGAGGACTTTCTGTCTGTATCTCCCTCTGACCCACGGTACTGCCGGGTCCAGTACATCTTGCTGGACCCTTCTTGCAGTGGTTCTGGTGAGATGGGGAGAACCTCAGGGAACTCTCTGAACAGATGGGTAAAGGTGATGCTGAGGGGTTCTGGGGAGTCTCAGGAGGCTTAGTTTGTCCTGACTTATGGCTCTGACATGGGATTTCCTATTGATGGCTTCCCTGCTGTTGCCTGATTCTATTCTGTGGCTTTATACAGGCTGCCCCTAGGGGCCAGAAAGGCCCATCCCTGGAAGCTCCAGCTTCTGGAATCTCTAGTTATGTGTAGAGCTCAGCTCAGGTGCCACCTTCTGCAAGAACTTACTTTGTATTGGCACAGTGGATAGAGTATTGGCCTGCAGTCAGGAGGACCAGAGTTCAAATCTGGCCTCAGACACCTGACTAGCTGTCTGACCCTAGACAAGTCATTGAGCCCCGGCTGCCTCACCAAAAAACAAAACCCAACCCAACCCAAAACAACTACTTTGTTTTTACTTATTTGTGGACAGGTTGTTTCTTCTAGCTCTTGGAGGCTTGGGATGGCTAGTCCCAAGCACAGACGCTTGATAAATGCATCTCTCTTCCCCCAGGCATGGCGTCGAGGCAGCTAGAGGAGCCTGGTGCAGGTACCCCCAGTCAGGAGCGCTTACACGCTCTGGCCGGGTTCCAGCGCCGTGCCCTGAGCCATGCACTCTCCTTCCCGGCCCTGCAGCGCGTCGTCTATTCGACCTGTTCCGTGTGCCGGGAGGAGAATGAGGATGTGGTCCAAGATATCCTGGAGCAGGACGGGGGCGCCTTTAGGTATTCTAGGACGGAGCCTGCTGTGTGGCGTGGCCTCCCTTTAGGGGTGGGGTAGGTGTGCTGCGGTGTCTCTGATCTCTACCCCTTCTCCCAGGCTTGTGCATGCGTTACCTCTGTGGCCCCAGAGAGGTCTTGGCACCTTCCCAGGTGCAGAACACTGTATCCGGGCATCTCCGGAAGCCACGCTCACGGGAGGCTTCTTTGTCGCTGTACTGGAACGGGCAGATGGGCAAAGGTGAGTGTTTGGCTCTCATGGCTGAAGAGTTAGAGTGCTCTGTCTAGGTCTGATTTTCTCTTCTCCCTCTAGCTCAAGTCCAGAACCACAGCTGCTGGCTGGAAAAGCCGTGCCCAGCGTGGCTCCCAAGAAGAAGAAACGATGCCGGCAAAACGCATCAACTACGTGAACGTGGACTGTGCTCCTCCCTCCTCTGCCCTGGGCTGGGTCTCCTTGGCATCTGGGAGCAGCAGGCAGTTAGCTTCTTGGGATCAGTTCTTGCCTGAGCCTCAAGGGGCACTTCTCACTGCTCCGCTTCCTAAGGCAGGGAGACGGAGCAGTCCTTTATTTCTGTGTGCAAAGTCCAAGTCTGCCCTTACCTCCCATGGGAAAAAAAAGACAGGCTGGGTCCACTGGAGATCACAGTTTTGTTTATTTTTAAAATCAATGACATTATAAGAAGCAAGGAAAAAAAAATTGCACATTCACACTAAATTCCCACCAGACTCAACAGGAACAGCGTCTTAAGGAAAGCTTTGTCTGCTGTTCCTGTTCGGTCTTGTGCATGTACTGCACGGGGCCGAGGCTGAGTTGGGTGGGCGTGGGCAGATCTCTGGGCTGTTCTGGTAACTAGCAGGCTTGTTGCTGCCACCACTGCCGTGGAAAGGCTGGTTTGACCTGATTCCGCTTTCCCCAGGGTCCTCGTGGACTGAGCAGTGGCTGAGACACAGGCTTAAGATGGAGCTCTAGAGACCTTCCGATGCCCCTCTCCCACCTCCAAAACTACAACCACCAGAGCTGCTATCACAGGGGGGGAACCTCGCCCTAGCCACATTCACATACATCACATTATTATAAAAGAAATAAGTACATTTTACAGAATGATTCCCTGGGTGAAAAGGGAGTCTGAGTGAGCCCTTCCTCCCCCAGGCAACATCAGGCTCCCTCCTCCCCCAGCTTTCACTGCTCATCTAATTTCTGGACAACAGCTTTGTACTTTCACAGCCTCAATGAACCAAGCTTGAAGGAATTCAAAAGGCAATTTAGCTTAAATATAAAAATAAATTTTATTTTGTTAAAAAAATGCTTAAATATTTCTTTTTTTTCTTTTTCTTAAATTTAGACTTAGGCAAATCACCCACACACATTCACACTTTTCCCAAAAGTGATGGCAGAGCAGCAAGGCTCCTGGGCCAGGGAGAGGGGGCTCTGGGCCGAGTTGGTATTCAGAGGACAGCCCTAATCATTAACAAGTGGTATCTGGAAGGTGGGTGTGGAGCTCACCTATTGTGTAACGGGGCTTTCCTTCTTGGCTCAAAGGAACCAGAAGGAAGCTACCTTACCCAGGGTTTTCCTTACTGAGGCGGGGCTCCTCCACGGTGACCTTCCTTACCCTCCCTTTTCCCCCAAACCCAAAAAAAGCATGCAACCCGGCAGTAAAATAAGATTACCCACTAATTTAGGGATACCCTGCCCTACTGTGAGATCACAAAGATGTGTGTATGTGTGTAGGGGAGCCCAAAGCAAGGTGGGGAGTCTTATCTGCTTACATTCACAGCACCCTGTCCCTTGGGCCTTATTCCTTCCTGGGCTGCCATCCCTTCAAGTCAAAACACTGTTTGAAAATTCAGGAGTCATTCAGCACGTGCAGCCTCTCACGGCCACATTCCACATCCAATTGAGTGGGTCTGGTTTCTGTGGGAAACTCCTGGACCCCAAAAAGCTTTTAACACCAAGTCCGGCACTACCAACATGCCGCCACTCACACACATCAGATTTTCCTCCAAACTCGATTCAATGAGCATCAGACAGAGCAACACTGACAGGACACGGCTTTATATGGACAAACCCAGAAAACAAAAACGGCACTGGGGAGGAAAGGGAGAGAAGCCAGGAGCAGTGGTGCAGTGTCTGGCCTGCTCCTTTGCTGGCCAGCAGGGGGTCTGGGGAAAGGTGCTTTCCTCTTCTGTTGGCTAACTGCAACCTCTGAGGTCTTAAGGGCTATGCTCCCAAAGGGAAGACTGAGGCTACAGCCTTCCTCTTTCTCCAGGGGAAGAAAGGATGGTGCATCAGGAGTAGCCTTCACGGAGACTTCTCCCAATTCCTGGAGGCTTCCCCAAGGCAAACCCAAGCCAGACCAACACCACGAAGAGGAATGCTTTCTGGGGGGACAAAGTCCAAGGAGCAGAAGCCAAGACCCAAGGCAAAAGCAGCACGAAACCTGCCCTTGCGGCCACGTGGAGCAGGAGGAGAGCTGGGAGGCTCAGGCCGAGCCCTCCGCGTGGCCAGGCCGAGCGCAGGAAAGGGGCTCCTTGGCCAAGCTGACAGACAGACAGACAGACAGACAGACAGACAGACACACACACACACACACACACACACACACACACACACACACACACACACACACACACACACACAAGGAGACAAGTCAGGAGAGGCGAGGCAAGGCTGACGATATGTACACAAGCTTCTCCAGTTTCAGCAGTGGAACTGTTCAAGTAAAAAGGGTTTGTTTCCACCCTGCCACTGCCAGGGCAGCTGCTGCTAGAGGAGTGGGGGGTGGGGTGGGGTGGGCTTGCTGTACAAAAACAGGGACAGGGCCGAGGCTCTTCACAGCAGGAGCCGAGGGGGGGGGGGCAGGGCAGGTTATTTCTTTCGGGTGTGCTGTCTCCGGGCCTGCAGTCGCTGCCTGGCCCCAGGGGTCTTGGATCCAGCACCGATGGAAAACGAAGGGGTCGCTGGTCCTAGGGATGGATCCAACACAGTCATCAGGCTAGGTTCTCTTGAGAAAGGTGCCTTGTTGCCCACGTCCCTCCCCAGAACTCATCGGAGCCTCCCAACTGCAAACAATGCGAAGTGGCCGACCCGCTCCACACCTGGACAAGTGCGGGTATGCAGAAGACGGGGGACCCACCGAGGCCAGGAACCTCTAGGGACCCCTCCTCCCCTCTCAACCCCCCTCAGCCAGAGGTACTCACCGAAAGATGGCCCTGCTCCCACAAAGCCCTGGGCTGGCGTGGTTGGCGTCCCAAAGGAAAGGCTACTGCCCACGGAGCTCGTGCCTAGGAAGAGGAGACAGCTGAAAACTCTGCATGGAGTCTGTTGGCACAAACTTCGTGACACTCCCAAGCCCTGCCTGGCAGTCACTGGAGGGATGGGTGACTGGGTCGGCGCAGGCCGCCCCTGAGGCCACAGACAATGGTGAGCCCACAATGGTACAGACCCAGGACAGAACCCTGAGGGCCACATGCAGAGATCGGAGAGCAGGTCCAAAATCCCGGCTAGCCTGGTTTGGCGTGTCAAGACTCAGGACAATCTTTGGCCAGTCTCTGGGCCCCCGTCAAAGGAGGGGGTTGAACTAGGGAATCTCTAAAGTCCCCCCAAAGGGGGCTCAAAGGCTGCTTCCTGAATGAGGGCCACCAGAGACCTCCCCCCTCCCAACTTACCTCCAAACACAGGCTTGTTCTCGGTGGTGTTGGCCACGCTGAAGGCAAAGGGTGTGCTCTGACTTGGGGCGCCCAGGGGGTTCTGGTTCAAGGTGCCCCCAAAGGGGGCAGTGGCACTGGCTGCCCCACTCTGGCTTGCTCCGAAGCTGAATGCCACAGTACTCGAGCTGGTTCCCGGGACGGCTGTGCTGGCCCCAAAGCCCCCGCTGCTGGCCGCAGGTGTGGAGCTCCCAAACGTGAAGGGGGCCATGCTCATACTGCTAAACATGGAGCTGCTGGTGCCACTGCTGGTGGTCTGCGTGGTGGCCCCAAAGCTAGAGGTGATGGTTGTGCCAAAAGAGAAAACTGTGTTGGCGCTGCTGAAGGCCGGCTGAGTGCTGGCAGGGGTGCCAAAGGAGGTGGGGGGCTTCACTCCGCCAAAGGCTGGCTGAGCAGCGCTGCCAAAGGTGGGCTGGGGGAGGGCGGGGCCCGGGGCTGCCGAGCCCCCAAAGCTGAACGTGCTACTGAAGCTTGTTATGGGGCCCGCTTTGGTGGTCCCCTGCTGCTGCTGCGCATCAGCAGTCCCAAAGGCAGACTGAGGGGCAGCGCCAGGGTAGGGTGGGGGTGGCATCGTCTTGACGCTGGAACCGAAGGGGTTGCTGAATGCGGCAGTGGTGGTGGTAGTGGTGGAGGTGGTGGCGGCGGCGGGGCCAAACGTCAGCGTCACTTGGCTGGTGGCTGGCAGGGCTGCCGTGGTGACGGTCCCGCCAAACGCAAAGCCAGCAGTGCTGCTGGGGGCCGTGTGCGCGGCACCAAAGGTCGTGGTGGGTACTGCTGCAGAGGTGGTGGCTGCAACAGTGGCAGCAGGTTTGTTAAACTGGAACATGGAACTAGTGGACGGGGTGAAGCTGGCCCCAGAGGCAGGAGCTGCCCCAAAGAGGAAAGGCTGTGCTAGGGAGGGGGTGGTAGTGGTGGCAGCGCCTGCAGTGGTAGCGGGAGCACTGGCCGTGGTGCTGGCCAAGCCGCTCAACCCAAAGCCAAAGGTGGGCTTGGAGCCCGAGTCAGTGGTCCCACTGGAAGTGGCTGTGGCGGTGGTCATGGTGGCAGTAGCCGTGGTGGGCTGGACGCCAGGGAGGCCACTAAAAAGGGGTGCCAGGACGGCGCTGGTAACGGCTGTGGTGGGGGCTACGGAAAAGGGCTGCTTTAAGAAAGGGGAAGCTGAGGCCAAGGGCACAGATTGGGGGGGGCCCATGCTACCAAAGATGGGCTTAAAGGTCGAGGTGGAGGTGCTGGGGGCTAGGGGTAGGACAGAGCCACCAGACACAGCAGCTGTGGCAGAGGGGGCAGCTGGCAAAGAAGCCCCACTCTCCATTTTAGGGGGAACCCCAAAAATGGGTTTGAACATGGGAGTGGTGGGAGGAGGAGCCGAAGCAGCCGCAGGAGTGGGAGCAGCGGGAGCTGTGGAACTTAGAGGCGGGGTACTCAGCATCCCAAAGAGAATGCTTGGTTTGGAGGCAGCAGTGGGGGGTGGCTTGGGAGAGCTGTCTGATGCAGGCGCTGGGGAGGCCTGGCTGCTGGTAGCGACGGGGAGCGTGGCAGAAGAGGTCAACAAGGAGAAGGTTGGGATGGGCTTGGAGGACGAAGAGGCGGCAGCAGGGGGCCCTGGCTCTGTGGGCCCTGTGGCAGCGGGCGGGCTGGCCGGCTTCAGCGGGGAAGGCGCCCCAGCACTGGCTGCTCCGTCTGGGTCTGTGAAAGACAAGAGAGGGACATGTCAGGAGCAGACAGGACCCCACTGTCCCAGAAAAATGTGCTCTGCCCAGAGCAGTCTCACAAATGTCAGTTATTCTAGAACTTCAAAAAGAGAAAGACCCTGGGCCCAGTCAAGCAGCATGCTGGCATAAACCTCAAAAGCAGGGCCCCAGCCGTCAAGGGGGTACCCTCGTTTGGACCCTGTTCGTCTCCAGATGCATTTAGCCAGGACAGATGGACACTGGGAACAGAGGACACTTGGAAAAGCAGCACTGAAAGCTCCAGATTCCAGCTTTTCGTGCTAAGTAATCAGACCACGTTTAGAGACCCGAGCACTACAGCAGGTTTATCATGGTTGGGGTTCATCTCTGCCGGGCCTCAGCTCGCTCCTCCTAACAGGGAGAGGCCCAGAAGCCTGCAGCAAGTCCTCTCTAACCTGCGAGGGTGGCTGGGCTCGGGGAATTCTGCATCTTCTTCAGACTGTCCAGCAAGGGGTTGGCACTGGAAACTGGAGGGGCAGCTGGTGAGGAAGAAGTTGTCTCTGGGGATGGTAAAGTGAAGGAAAGAGGTCGAGGGGCGGGGGAGGTCTCTGCGACAGAAACAGCAGGGGGATCTACAAGAGAGGAAAATGTTTAGAAACAGGTCTCCTGTGAAAGTCACAGAGCTCCAAACAAATAAAGGCTATAAATCACAGGGCCCCTAAGCATTCCTGGGCCTTCCATGTTATGGGTTCTCCAAGTCTATTATCTCCTAACTCATATATATATGAGTGAGAGTGAGAATGAAAAAGAGAGAAAGAGGGAGAGAGGGAGGGAGGGGGAGAGAGGGAGAGAGAGAGAGAGAGAGAGAGAGAGAGAGAGAGAGAGAGAGAGAGAGAGAGAGAGAGAGAGAGAGAGAGAGAGAGAGAGAGAGAGAGAGAGAGAGAGAGACACATTAGTGGCTGTCCTCTCTGTGCTAAGGAAGCCTAGTATCCAGTGCTCTCCAGGTTTCAGGGGAAAACGAGACAAGAAGAACCCAGGTTAGCATCTCAGATGAGACTCAATTCCAAAAGTCAACTGGAAGTTTCTGGTCCCCCTCCCTCTGGGAAAAGAATGACCTTCAGATTCAGAAGGGAACTCTTTCTCATGGGTGTGTGGGATGCTACCTGAGTCCCTCACCTGTCTTCTCTTCCAAGACTTTGTTAAACCACTGCAATGCAGCCTTCTTTTCCAAGTCTAGGTCTTCAGCAGTGATCGAGTAACCGAGCTGGGGAGGTGGAGGCTGTCAGAGACAAAGAGACAGTCAAGCCTATCAGAAGGGGAAACCAGTAAGGACACCCTGGTGCACTATGGGGGCTGCTGGCCTGGGTAAGATGTTTGAGAGAAGGGGGTTCTAGGGAGACCTCGAAACCTGGAGAACAGAGGTGCAGACCCTTCTGGTCTATGTACACAGGTTAAAAGAGAATGTCTCGGAGGCCAGGCTGGGCCTTCTCTAGGAGCACCAAAATAGATAGCTAAGGCTAGAGGCTTGTGGGAGAAAAGGCCAGGGGAACTCCACGAAAGACATTGTACCAGGGTGAGCTGGTCCCCTCGCCGAGAAGCCAATAACTGAACTTTGCGTTTGCGCTTCCCCCCGCTCCCAGAGGTAGGTGGGGTGCTCCAGGAGCTCTGTTTCTTCCAAGTGGGGGTATCCGTCACTAAAAGAGAGACAGTGGAGTTTAAAGGAATAGCTCGGGCACAGTCCACCTTCTATCCCCAGGCAGCACTGTTTTGTACCTCTGCCCAGGTCTTCCCTTTGCAAAGCCTGGGTGTCACATCCTTCACACCTCTTGGAAGGTCTCCAAAGGCTAGGAGTGGACACTCAGGCCTGTTCTAATTTGATTAACCACAGCTGCCAGAAGTTGCTTGATGTCCCCCTTCCCCCTTCAAAACTAGGCTCCTGTGCCCTGCTGTACTGAGAGCTCTCCTGACTCCTCCCACTGAAAAACCTCCCTCCCTCACCAACTGACCCTTCTCTGCCTGAGATTCCTTGTCTGAGGTCATGGGGGTCAAACGGCTAGACTGATGAGACTCTTCTTCCCTGTGGGGGGAAAAAAAAGTCAGACTCAAACTTCGCAAGACTTCCTGGACAAAGATAAAGACACTGGGCTGCAATGTCACTGAGCCAACGATCCCTAAACCTAGAATAAGGCCATGATCCTATGTGTCTGTGGTCACTGTTCCCAACAGATCTTCGTCCCCTGCTAGCTGCCAAACTTACTCATTCAACATTCTATTTTAAATTCTTATCATAAGTGGCCACAGGAAATGCTTCACTCTGGGCAAACATCTTAACTTAGCACTTAGACCGGAAAAAAGGAGATAAGGAGAAGCCAATATGAAGCGTTTACCCTGTCTTACAGAAGGGACACAGCTGGCATTGAATGCACCAGACCCCAGTCTGCCTCCTGACGGAGGGTCTGCTGCCCTCCCGGCCCATTCATCCTCGACACCGGCGTGACCATTATTCAGAACCCAACAGCTGCCTCTGCAGAGCCTCCTCAGCACCTGACACACACAACCGCCCTGCGAGGCACTAGAATTCATCACCCCCACATTTTACATGAGGAACCTGAGGTTCACAGAGTTCAGGTCACACCAGTCCAAGAATCTGGACTCCCAGCCAGGTCTAGTGCATCACACCGCCCCCATGCCATCAGGTCTGTGGGCAGAGGAAGAGGAAGGAGACAGCACGAGAGCGTGCGCCCTCACCCGCACCCCTCCTCTGCTCCCCACCACAAGATCCTTCCCCTTGCTAGGCCTGTTTTCTATAAAAAAACGCGGACCTTGATTTCTAAGGGGACTTTTCAGCTCTAAACCTGGTGTTTTGGGCACCTGATAATTCTGTCGATATTGTTCCAGGACAGAAAGGTATGGGTCATGAGAATTTACTTTAGCCTGTGAGTTCTTTCTCTAGGCCCTGACCTCTCACCACTCTGCACCTCTGGGGGGACTCTGACTACCTTTCACTTTGTTCTTCCTTCCCTTGCCCAAAAGGACTCTCAGATCCCTCGGGATCATGCACATGGGCCTCACTCCAAGCAGTTACCGTGCTTTCTTCATAGGCCTCTCCGGGGTCTGGGAGCGAGATGAGGCAGGGCTAGAGAGAGGCGAGGTACTAGGGCCACTCCTCTTCCACAACTGAAATCCAAACAAAGTCAATGTTAATATTCTCCCAAAATTAGAGCAACTTATAGTTCACATCATGGGGGAAGATGTCATGAAGCCTGTTGACAAGTAACAGAGGACAGAGCTGAGAACGATAGCACAAGTTACAAAGAGGCAGATTCGGGCTGAATGCAAAGCAAAACTGGGTAAGAAACAACACAGTTCAAAGGCCTATCTTCAAGGAGTGGAAGGTTTGCAGGTGGGCCAAGCTGGCAGAGCATCAGGAAGAAGTACAGTGACCTCCTCCCTTCCCTTCCCCAAACTCCTCCAAAGAGAGCTGGAAAAAACACTGACCCAGATCCTAGCGGGGCTGTTTTCAGCCTAGGCAGTCAAAGGGAGACAGTGAGAGGCCCGCTGACCCTGGGGCGACAGCACCTGGAGAGGCCGTGCGCCCCGAGCCCATGAGTCCAGAGTCTAGCAGAGGTACAGTCTACACCTGCACGGGTGGCAGGAAGAGGGGGCAGTTCTGCTGCTCACAACCGAGCTCCTGGATGCAGGTCCACAGCTGATGGAGGAGGGGATGGTGTTCCAAGGCAAGCAACAGATGTAGGCCCTGAACTCTGTTCTGAGCAAGAAGTGAATTTGGAAGCAGCAGCAGCCATGTGGCTCAGATCCCAGGAGCAAAGCAGGGTCTCAAGATCTAGCCCCTAGCCCAGTCTGAAAAACTGCAGAGTAAATTAAGCTGGGAAGGAAACCCAGACCAAAAGGAAGACTATACTCTGCCACTCAAAAGAGCAGAGCTTCCCAGGTGACTCCCGCCACAGTCTACTGACACTACAAACAGGGCAAGCCTGCAGACCTGCTGCTCAGCCCCAAACCCACATCTGAAGCTGGGACCAACCAGGAAGGCAGCTATGAGAATTTGCCCTGTTGCTGAGCTGTCCCTGAGATCCTGAAATAATGCAACACTCAATACCTAGAGAAGCAGCTGGACTGGCACAGACCTCTCCTCCAGAAGTGCACAGGATCTGCCCCTCCAAAGGGCAGTGTGGAAGAATAAGGAAGCCAACAAAGAAAAAAGAATTCCAGCATAAACAGCTATTACAGTGCCAGGGACCTTCAAGATTCAAACCCGGAAGAGAATGACTCCAAGCAAACCTCAAAGAAAAACACAGCAAAATCCAACTAGATTTCCTGAATGAGACAGAGCAAGAAGTTAAAAATGTTAGTGTAAACAGAATGACAGCAAGCTGAGGAAAGACTGGAAAAGAAACGAGAGCTGCGGGAGAAAGAACAGGAATGGGAATTAACAGCTGAGCACAAGAGGTACAAGACCTACCCCAAGCAACAAACTTCCCCAAAATTAGAATGGACCACAAAGAAGCCAAGACTCCATGAAGCAAGAAATGTTAAACCAAAGTCAAAAGACTGAAAAAATAGGAAAAAAGAAACCTCCAAGCAAAAGCAACTGACCAGCACAACAAATCTAGGAGGAAAAATCTTAAGAACCACTGGACTGCCTGGAAGCCACGACCAGACAAAGAGCCTAGGGAAACTATTCCAAATATTATAAGAAAACTGCCCAGATTTCTTAGGACCAGAGGACAGAGTGGAAACAGGGAGAATCCTATGATCACATCGGGAAAGAAGCCCCATGATGAAAACTCTCATGAATGGCGTAGCCCAAAGCCAGAGCTTCCAGGTCAAAGAAAAAACACTGCAGCAGCTACCAGCCAGGAACGTGGTATTCTAGAAGGCAAAGGATCTAGGCTCATAAGCAAGGATCACCTACCTAGAAGAACTGAGTATAATCCTGGAGGGGAAAAAAATGGAACTCTAAGGAAACAGACTTCCAAGAACGCCTAATCAAAATGCCAGAGCTGCTCAGAAACAGTGAAGTGCAAACCCAGGCGTGAAGAGAAATGTAAAAGAGTAAACACGAACGAATAATCATAAGGGGCTAAACAAGGGCAAACTGTTTACATTCTAATATGGGAGAGGACACCTGTGTCCCCTCAGAAGCCTGTCACCAGGGGCCACAAAGAGAATCCAGTTACAGCAGAGGTCTGCAAACTGTGACTCACATGCTAAGAATGGATTTTATATTTCTAAATAAAGTTTTATCATCTTTAAAAATGTACAAACCATTCTTCATCGGCGGAGCCATAAAAAACAGGAGGAGGGCGAAAGTCCATAGTTTGTCAAAGGCCTAGGAATGATCCTATTACATTTTGATGATTTTGAGAGAAAAAAGGAAAGGAAGCGGAAGAGGGATACACTAGGAAGCAAAGAGAAAGAATGTTAGGGAAAATCATCTCTCATAAGCAGGGTACGCAAGTCTACACAAAGAAGGGAGGTGGGCACTGGGTGACCCCTGAACCTCACTCTCAAAAGAGGGAAGAGCACTGTACCTGTACACTGGCCACAGAGGTGAATTTCACTCCACAAGGAAGCAAGAGGGAGAAGGGCAAATTAGAGGGAGGGCAGATCAGTTCTAGGCAAAACAAACGCTAAGGACACACAAAACTTTTTACAGCAGCAATGTTTGTGATGGCAAAGAACTGGAAACTGAGGGGATGCCTATTAACCGGGGAATGACTGAACAAGTCATGTCTATGAGGGTGGTGGAATGCTACTGTGTGTAAAAAATGATGATGGGGTTTGTTTCAGAGAAACCTGGAGGACCTGTATGAACGGATGCAGAGGAAAGTAAGCAGCATCAGGAGAACAAGTTATACGATGGTAACAATACTGTAAGACTGAGGAACTCTGGTCAGTGTCAGGACCAACCACGTTCTGAATGACTTCATGATGGAACATGCTACCCAATTCTTGACAGAGATGGACGTGGTGAGTGTCCCTTTAGTAGAGGTCTTCAAGAAAAAGCTTGCTGACCACTTGTCAGGGAGGCTGTGGAGGGTTTTCCTTGATTAGGTGCAGGTTAGAACAGAAGGCCTACAAAACAGCCAGTGCCTGACCACATGCGAACAATGAACCTATCATTTTTTTTTAAATTTCAAATTCAAGCACTTATGTTGTGGAGAGGAATAAAGTGATGCTTAAGAGCAACCTAATTTATAAGATTATATACCATGCCACTACATCACAAGGTTATTTTGAAAGTCAAGTGACATTAGTGTGGAAAGTGATTAAACATACAGACATTTCCCTTACATGTATATCTGTGTAATCACACAACTGCTGCTGACTATTACCTCATCTCAAACTTTCAAAAGCATCCTACTCAACTCTCACCCCCAAAATATCTTATGAAAAATTCCCTAACAGGAAAAAGGTAGGCTACTGAGACTGCTGCTAGAAAAGGGATGTTATGGAATAAATGTCTCCTCACTACATTGTTTTTTATGTAGCGTAATTATAATTGAGTCAAGGAGGATGTTCTTGGGAGTAGGTTTGGCCTCCAAAAAAATCCACGAAGATTAGTGCTGTCAAAATTATTTATTTTTTGCTTTTTAAAAACAGGACATTGGGGCAGCTAGGTGGTGCAGTGGATAGAGCACCGGCCCTGGATTCAGGAGGAGGTGAGTTCAAATCCAGCCTCAGATATATAACACGTAAGAGCTGTGTGACTCTGGGCAAGTCACTTAACCCCATTGTTTAACCCCAAAACAAAACAAAACAGGATGTTGAGAGATGATTCTAAGGTAAGACACCAAATGTCTTGGTTTCAAGGTTGTGACACTGGCGTGGGTTTAGAAAAAGTCAAATCTTTTAAGAAATAGCATCCCACCACCAAATACACATCCGCTTAGCAGGGTTTCATCATTGATAATGATGCTCCAACATACATTTTAGGAAGTCATCAAGTTGAGAAGGAGGTGGGAAAGAACATTGGTATTTTAAGGCTAAATGAAAATAGCAATTTGCTTAATTAGGACTTCTGCAGAACTAAAACGTTTCCTAGTCTTCCTCAGCCTCTCAGTCTAAGTCAGAAAAAGCTACAATTAAGACCATTTGCAAATCACTACTTAGAGCAAAAAAGAGCTGTCTGTCACCTACAATCAGTGGGACTATTTACCATTCATTATCTTTTTTTAAATTTCCTTTCAAAGATCAGTCTCATTATGAAAGGATTCCCTTTTGCTTCATTCTCCCTAAACATCTTAATGGATGACCACTAGAGGACCAATACTGAGTATGTTACAATGAGGATTCCTGTCTGTGTGATTTCAATTAAATGACTGCTCAGGTCCTTCCCCCACCTCTCAAATTCTGAAAATGAGGATAAAAGTACTCCCCCTCCTCCCCAATCTTTCACAGCTGTCCCGAGGAAACGGGCTTCAGTAAGCGGGAAAGGGGCTCTATGTGTGAATTACCATTATTATTGCCATGTATTATTCTGGGGATTGAGATGGAGGAGGAAAACTTCACATCAGATGCTGAGGTCACTGAGCAAGGGGAACTTGGAAGAAAAAATAAAGTAAGAGATGGTGGCAGAACAGTCTAGAAGCAGCAATGGAAGCCTGAATGGGCCAGCTCTTCTCCCCAGCCCTGTGAATTAAGAGTCAGGGAAAAATGGAATGGTTTCTAGTGGAGAGTGTTAGAAAGGATTTGTTTCCTCAGAAGAAAGCCGCCTTTTCAAGTTAATGCAAGGAGGGACAAGAAACTTTTGAGAAAACACTCAAGGATGTGCTCAAATTTACTTAGACTAGACACCAAGGATAGAGAAATTAGAAACACTCCATGAGTAATGGAGCAGGAGGAGAGGGAAAGAGGAAGAGGAGGAGGCAGACTGGTGTAGTACGTTGGTGACTGGGACAGAGACTTGAGAGTGGACAGAAGCTAACAAAGGGGATGGTTTTGAAAAACTAACCTGCCTAGGATTCTAATGGGAATTTCTGTGAGCCACAGAGGTGGTGTTTTGCAGGGTCCTCCCAGACTGCCCTCCCCAGGTGAGATCTGGCTTAGGGTTAGGGTTCACTGACTGGGCCTATCCAGACAGCTTCCTAGGGGCTTGGAAATTAAACAGAGTGATAGTGGAATAGAATTAATAAGCCAGAAAAGGTCGAAGATCACTCAAGTCCAGGGATGCATTTCATGCCTGGTCTATTTTCAGGGTCATTGTGACAGGGAGATTACACTCTAAACTACTTCAAAAGACCACTCCAATAATTAAATCTGAGTAACAAGATAAGCCACTCATATTTACCTTCTACTAGTCCTTTTGCTTTTTGAGATTAATGGGAAACTAAGTCACCTGTGCCGCTTTCTAGAACAAGACTCTAATTATATGTCCCCACACTGGACCGTAGAGAAAACCTTTCCCCTATGAACAATTTCTTGGTCTCTCAGTTCTGAAATCAGGAGTTCATAGAAGGGACAGACTCATCTTTCAGCACCCCAGAAGCTGAACAGCATGGAGCAGATGCATTAAGACAGTTGCCATTCTTGTCACCAACCTCAACCCCACAAGTGATCTATCACCCTCAAGGCAGTACCTGTGAGAAACCCCTCGTGGAGCTATAGGAGCTGGTGATGGCATTGCGGATGGAGCTGGGGATGCCCCCCGGGGAGGTGCTGGGCAGAGAGCTGGTGGAAGAGGTTCGAGATCTCTTATTCGAGCCGTCCTCTGTGCACTGTGAAGTGAGGCTTCTCTTCAGAGATCCAGGCCTAATGGAAGGAACACAGATTTCTCAGGGCTACATCTAACTTGGCCATGGTTTCTTTCTTCATGTAACCCAGGAGGAGTTATGTGAATGTAACTGGTAACAGTTCAGCTAGGCAGTTATGAAAACAAACTGGGAACATGAGGAAGATCTCAGTATCTGAACTTTAACCCTGCTTAAGGCTGAACCAACACGATAAGCCAAGAGTAACAGTTACTGGGTCACTCATTAGGTGTGATGTTCTTAACGAGGGCAGGCCTGGGCAGAAGCACTTAGACACAGGCTGTTTACCTCTTTGCTAAACGTTCTATTAAGGGAACTATTACTTACTTGGGAACCAGAGATGCCGGGGCTCCATTTGCGACCAGGGGTTCAAATGCTGAGTGTCCACTGCCACTACTGTCGTGGCGCCTGCAATGACAAACAATCCACAGTGAAACGGATTTTTTTTGGGGGGGGGCGGTGGCATAGAGGGCAGACTGGGAAGATGGCATCGACAATATTGCCGTGACTTCAGGACCTTTACAACACCATCAAGAAACATTTACTTCATTCTCAGTTGGGAAGCTGAGTTTCTTGAACACCTGGCAAGCAGCGTGGAGATCTCATCCAAGGCGCTCATTTCTGTGACTGCTGTTCTTATCAGAATAAAACTGAATCCAGCTCTGCATTTATAAAGGCTCAACCAAGGACAGAGAACTGGGGATCCCAAAGACGCTTGATCCCGCCTGCTTCACTTCAGTCCCTAAGGGCAGAACGTGGCTGTCTCCACAAAACACAAAGCCAAACTTCCCCCAGGCCCCTCCCTCCAACATGGCACTGACCGCACAGCCCTGAGCTCCCCTTCTAGAAAAGATGCACACAAGAGGCAACTGAGCTGCGAGCTGGCCAGTGTGCAGGGAGCCCAGGCTCATGTGCCAACAGAAGCAGCCTGGAAACCTCACTGGGAAGGACTTCCTCATTCCTGTCCTACCTGTCCAAACCTACTCTAAATTATGGTGCTGTGAATGACCACTCGCTGCAGACAAGCCACAGCTGCAGGCAGGCTCCTGGATGACACACCGGGATAGTGTCAAACGCCTGGCTTTGTGCTGTCTGGGACACGCTATCTTGGCAAGGCCAAGAGGGGAAAGCAGGGAACCTGAAAGGACTCCTTGGAGAAGCTGGCTGAGCTCTGGTACGTCTGCTCCTCACTCCCACCCGTGCTCTGCACACGGGCAGGAATCTTCTTCACTTCCAAGACCTTATCACACAAACTCAAGAATGACTCACGCTGCCTCTGACGGTTCTTTCAGGTTCAGCGTTCTTTGCCGAGGCTCGTACCCACTATGTGACTACTTGAGCACACGCTAATCCTCCTGTGTTACTTTGGGCACCGAGAGATGGCCTCGCCACAGTCAGCTCTTCTTAGGATAAAATTCAAGGGCCAGGGGATGAAGAACGTGCACACTGCCAATAAAACGCTTCAGGGTCGTTGGCGTTATAATTCTCGGTACTTTGGGGAAAGCAGCAAGTTATAGAAAAACTCCTTTCTCATGCCATCTCACGGAAGGCTTAAGGCTTGTGTTACTGCGTGCCACCCTTAAGGGAAGGCTGCAATCAAGGAGTAATTAAGCCTCATTAAGAGGAGCCAGCTCTCAGGACCCCACGAGAACCAGCTGCTTGGTCCCACCAGGCTGTTACCTTCGCTTGTTTTCCTGGGCATCACAGAATATCTGATCATCCTCCTCCACCACCCTTTTCCGGCTCTCTTTGAGTGCGTTCATCACAGTTTCCTTTGCACACGGGTCTGGGGCATTACTGGATGGTGAGGGCATGGCTGAATTCACAACCTGCTCCAGGCTGCAATGGGAAGAGGAAGTCCAGTGCCACTGAGAGACCAATACTGTTACTCCGTGTAGACAGAGATCATCACAATCTACTGAGAAGTCTCCAAAGTCCTCCCCCTGGTTATACAGAAGCAGAGATACCTATCATCTGTCCATTCACAGAACAGCCACTGGCAATTAATGATGCCCTCGAGGCCAAATGAAAAAACGATCATAGCTCTAGAGCTAGAGAGGTCCTCAGACGCTGTCTGTTCTTACTCTATCCACCTCAACTGGGAGAAAAGGAAAGCGAGATCAGTAAAATTATGAGACAAGGTCCCATATGTACTAAGTGGCAGAGGCAGGGCTCCAAGCTGGGTCCTCTGACTCACAAAAAGCTGGTGTTCTTTCCATCCTATGAAGGATGCTTTGGGATCTTTGGATCAAGGCTGTTATCCTTTCTCTACTGACATGTTTTTTGGTCACTTCTGCCAGGAATACAAAGTGAGTTTCCCCTCTGAAAAACATCAAGTCATAAAACGCATACTCACGGGGAACGGGGTAGATCTGGGCGAGCAATTCTCACGGTCACAGGGCTTGACACCATGTGGGAGTTTCGGGCAGAGAGTACGTTTTTCCTCTGGTGGCCTTCCCAACACACTGTGGGAAGCGTCCCCAGTGCGGAGTACTGGGCCTGCTGAATTGGATATCTTCTCCGTGGAGCTAATGAGAATCGGTTTGGAGGAGTCAGGTGGTCCCTGGACAGAGCAGGGGAAATGTGCCGTTATACCAAAGGCAGCAATCAACAAAGACACCAACCCTCAAGGAGGCTGAGCTGTGGAGTCACAACTTCATGGTGGAGTGCGACAGCAGCCTGACATCTGTCACAGTCTGAGAGAAACAAAAGATCTGTGGCGCTACTGTGGGATAGGGAAAGAATGTAGCTGTTAGTAAAGCCTCTTAAATTCAAATTTCAGAAAGTTACCAAGGACCATGCCCGTAGCATTTCAGAACTAACTTCATTCACAAACCTCTTTTTAACATGTTTTTTTTTATATCTCTTCTGGAAAATAAGAATTTAAAAACCAAACTCTGTGTGTGTGTGTGTGTGTGTGTGTGTGTGTGTGTGTGTGTGTATAAGTTAGGCTATTTTACAGTATCAATACCTGTTTTCATACTTATCATTTCTCTTTGTAAAACTCTAATAAATTTTCAAGAATTCATGTGTTAAGTCACAAGGTAAGAAGATAATGATCTCAACAAGAGTTAACTTTAAAAAAAAAAGGTTAAGAGTTATTTTCAGTGGCTCATGATTTATTTTTTTCTTGCTCTAGACCAGGGGTGGGGAACCTGCAGCATCGAGGCCACATGTGGCCCTCTGTGTCCTGGGGTGCGGCCCTTTGACTGAATCCAAACCTCGATGAACAAATCCCCTTAATAAAAGGATTTGTTCTGTAAAAATTGGACTTGGTCTAAAGGCCACTTGTGGCCTTGAGGCTGCTGGTTCCCCACCCCTGCTCTAGACACTGGGAAGCAGAGATGCCATAGAATGAATTAGCAGTGGGGGGTGGGGTTCTAGGAAGAGATAGCTTTATCCCTTTGGCATCCCTGTCCTTCCCTCCCAAACTGGGGAGACCAGAGTGACTGTAAGCTGAGGGAAGTCCTTCATCCTTCCCACCGCCACCACCTGCCCGCTCCCTAAATGGGGAGCCCCACCGTATATTACAGGGGACACACGACGCCTGATCTGGGCCTTACCAAGCACACTGATCCTGACTACGAAGCGTCCCCCCAGTCTGAAGCCTCTGCTCCCCCCGGACATCCTTCTCTAAGGCTCACATCGGCCGTAGACAAGCCCCCATCAACGCCCTTGAACCTCTCGCTACATGGGGGGCAGGCGGCGTGTGTGGTGGGGGATGAGAGTGGAGCCCTGAGTTCGAATCTGCCCTCCCGCTTCCCAGAGGTGGGACCCCCAGCCCCCGCCAGGGATCTGCCCCGCCTTCGTGAGCTGGGGTCTCTCTCGCAGCCGCCCCCCCAGGCTATGGGGCGACGCTTCGGGGAGGGCTCCCAGGGTCCAGGGGCAGGCCAGGAAGGGTCCTCTCTGGGGGAAACCCCGGTCCCAGCCCCCCTTTCCGGACGGGACCCCGAGGCCTGGCCTTACCTGAGCTGGAGCCTGCGGCCGGGCTCAGCAGCTGCGGCGAGGGCGCCTGGGGCTGCCGCTCCCGCCGCGGGGGTTCCGGCGGGCCCGGCTTGCCTAAGTAACCGCCCATGAGCAGCGGCTGCCCGGCGGGCCCGGGGCCCCGGGACGGCGGCTGCAGCGGGGCCCCGTTGACCGCGGCCTTGGCGGGCGGCGGTAGGCGGCGGGCCCGTGCCTGGGAGGCGGAGGAAAGCGGCGGGTTGCAGCGCGGACCCCGGGCCGGCTCCCGGGGGCTCAGGCCCCACCAGGCCGCGGCGGCCCCCACGCCCAGCCAGGCCAGCGCCGCCGCCGCCGGCACCAGGTACAGCACGAGGCCCAGCAGCGACAGGCCCAGCAGCGTCGCCGCGCCGCCCGGCCGGCCCCGCACCCAGGGGCTCCGGGAGCTCCCGGACGCCGCGGCCCGCCGCCGCCGCTCGTTCCGCTCGGTGCCGGTCCCGGTCCTGATCCCGGCCCCAGCCCCGGCCGCCGCCGCCGCCGCCGCCGCCGCAGCCGCCGCAGCCGGAGACATCGCGGCTCCGCGCCGCGGGGAGGGCTTAAATATCCCAGCGTGCACCGCGCCGGCGCGGAGCGTCACGGCGTGCGCGACTCCTGCCGACGCCCGGCCCCCACCCCTGTACTGGCGGCGAACGGTGACGGGCCAGGCGCCGACCCGTTGCTAGGCAACTGCGCGGGGGCCGCGGAGGAGCGCCTCGTTTGCACCGGAGAAGGGCGGCCCCTTCCAGGGGGTAGGAGCTCCACACCTTAGAGCCCACCAAGCTCCGCGCACGCGCACACGGACCCCCTGGCCACCCAGTCTCTGTCTGGCGTTCCCCACCCCCGCTCCTAGCGCTCAACCTTAAACGCGCGCGCGCGCGCGCGCACACACACACTCACCCGCCCACAGACACCACACTCAGCGCGTTCAGACAACACAGCCCACACTCACTCCATCATACACACCACCCACATACGTACTCTATACACCATACTTATGCTCACACACGCTATTATGCTCTTACACCATATACCTCGCACAGTCACCACACGTACACATATGCAGTCCTCACACACCACACTGAACACACACGCCATGCTCACCACATCATACTACACTCACCACACACTACATGCAATATACACGCTTAGCTCACACATGCCACACGGCACACACATCATACACACACCATGTAACACGTCACACACTCACCGCACATACACGAGGCACACATACCACACACACCGTATATACAGCACCCCACGCTCACGCTCCCATACACATACATCCCATCACACACGGCACATCACGCGTGTAATAACTGTGTATTAGAACGCACACACAACAGACACGGATGCACAGCAGACACAGACCCCAAACAGATCTCACACCGACAGCCAGGCCTCCCCATCACACACATCAGACTTTACCGACGCAGGGAGCACACGTCACACACACAAAAGAAGTCACACGTCAGGACGACGACAACAGCTACCGTTTGTGTAGTGCTTGCTATGGGCCGGGCAGTGTGCTGAGTGCTTTACGATTATTGTCTCCTTTGACACAACAAGTCTGTGAGGCTCCATTTCACAGATGAGGAAACTGAGGCAAACAGGATCAAGGGACTCGCTCAGAGTCACACAACTAACTAGTCCACGTCCGAGGCCAGATCTGAGCTCTGGCTGTCTAACTCCAGGCCCAGGGCTCTGTCCACAGAGCCCCACGAAGGGAACACACACCACACCGTAAACATACACAGCCCACATAAAAATCCAACCCTGAAAACTTCCTGTGCGCATGCCCACGCTTAGGCGCGCCAAACGAAGACGGACTCAGCACCTGCTGTGTGCCAGGTGTTGGAGACACACACGTAAAAGTGAACTGGTTCCTGCCCCTAAATTGTTTATATTCTATCAGAATATATGAGCACATCCTATATAAGGGACAGGACCTGAATTTTGAACCCAGGTTCGACGGACATATGTGTATAAACATTTACCAAATATAAAGATGGGGACTGACTTGCGGTTTTCTTTCTAGGTAGGACACAGATCAGAAGCTGCCTGGAGTGCTGAGAGGCTGGGACTTGCCTAGGGTCACACATTGTAAATATGTACCAGACACAAGGTAATTGTTGTTGGTTTTTGGAGGGGGGAGGCCCTAGCATCTAGGGGATCAGGAAAGGCCTCGCAGGGGATGGAGACCATGCTTGGCAGACAGACGGCACACGTATCCCTTACTGCGTTCACACCTCCAACACTTACACACAGCATACATGCTATACACATCACGTAACACACCTCCGTGTTACAGCAATCCTAGCACACACACAACACACACGTCTTACATGTTGCACACCAGACGTTACAGAGCAAACGGAGAGCGCTGATCGATTCCATTTCTAACCCTCACCACCCAGCAAACGAGGCCCACGTAGACACAGCATACTGTCTCCTGCACTCACCTCCTTTCCTCTCCCTCCCATTGATCACAATTACGTTTCTTTGACATCAGTGGCATCCATGGTTTCATGGGGTGGGTAGCCGCTCCACCAACCGTCACAAGTTCTACTCTTCAAGAGTTACCTTACCCAAAAGATTCATCGCCCTATGGCAAACCCGGCAATGAGCCTCTTCCTGCTCAGCAAGGCTGGTGGTCCTCAAACAGTGTATGCAGAGAAGTCTATACTTGGTCCTAGGTGGGATTACTGAATGAGGTTGGGGGGTAGGGATGACGTGGTTAAACCTTCCTTTGAAGACATAATGTTGACAGCTGTGTGGAGGTTGGCTTGGTACTTGGAGACTCATCAATGAAAATACTAATGCCATGATCCGGGGGAGTAGGAAGTGAGGACATGAGCTGAGGTGGTAGCTGGGTGAGGGGAAGAGAAGGGAGTGTGTGTGTGTGTGTGTGTGCATGTGCGTGCACACGCGCGTGCGCATGCCTGTCCCAGGACCAAACAAACCAGTCCCTCCTCTCCCTTGGCAGCTCTTCAGATACTTGAGTCAGAATCACACAATCTGGTTATTTGGAAGTTTCTCCCTTTCTTGTGCCCAAGCTACAACTTCTACCCATTCCTCTTAGTTCTGCGCTCAAGGGACAAGTGGAGCAAGTCTGATCCATTTTCCACAGGCAGCTCTTCAGATGAGTGAAGACAAATGCTAGGTTGCTCCCAAGGCTTCTCTTCTCCAGGCTAGTCCTTCAGCTGGTCCTCATACAGCCTGGGTCTCGCTTCCCTGACTATCCCAGTTCCCTTCTGTGGGTGTGCTCCAGTCTGTCGATACCTCGATGAAAATGAGGCTGTCACTACCCTCGTTCTGGACCTCTATCATTTTTGGCTGCTGTGTTCCTCTGTTGACTCACATGGAGCTGGCTGTCATTGAAGGCCCTCAGATAGTTTTCACATGAACTGTTGACTCTACTGTTCTGTACGTATGCAGTTAATTTATTTGGATCTATGTGGAGAATATTTATCTTTATCTCCATGAGATCTGCCTTATTTTTGGCCCACTGAGCCTGTAGATATCATTTTGGATTTTGAATTTGTCACCCACCATTTTGACTCTCCTCACTGTGGCACTCAGCCAGCCTCATTCCCTGGCTCAAGGTCCACTTGTGTCTTTGGGCTGAGTATTGGGGGCTCAGAACTGGGCCGGTCAGATGTAGATCCATGTCATCACTGCTTACTGTTTGGGGATCGGCATGCCCTAATTTCAGACCGGGCGCCTGGCTGCAGTCTGGATGATGCTCGCACAACTCAAACTGTGTACTCACTTATCTTCTCAGTCTCCCTTCTTCGTAATCAATCTTTCTCACTAACTCACACTATTAATTGTGCAAATTAAACATCCACTCTGTCCTGGGCACACTTGAAAAGTGTTTTCAATACTCTCTATCCAGACCCCCAAGGCTTGGTTCCTAACTTGCTGCTCTAGTGAAGGCCGCTGTCAGAATGTTCTACTTATTCGTTTATCCCTAGAAATAATAAATCACTCTGGGCAGCTGTGAGCCCCCATGGCATTGGGCAAAAAGTTGCTGCCTCTTTCTCCCCCTGACTAACCTCAGTAGCTGTTTGCAGTCAGTCATTCAGCTAGTTCTCAAAGCCACCCAACTGGTCCTGGCGTCCAGTGTCTGGCCCACTTCGCTTTTCTGTTGTTCACAAGGTTAGCATGAGGGACTGTTAAACAACTTTCTGAAATCCTATTGTATTTTATCTACAGCATTCTTTTTTGATCTAGAAATGAGGTTGTTGGGCATAACCTGTTCTTGAGAGCCCCAAGCCATTTTTTGGTCATAACTACCTCCCTTTTTAAATGTGTGCAAACCATCCCTTTAGTAATACATTCTAGTGGTTTTCCAGGAATTGAAGTCAGGCTCACTGTTTTATAGTTTGAACAATCCTCTTCTCCCTTTTTCAAAAAATGGAGACATCAATTTCTCCCATTCAGTGGTCACGTTTGCTGCTTTTTTCAGTGCCCTGGGTGCAGCCCAAATATGGTGCAGGACACTACCAAGGGTGTTAGGTATTCTGCTGGCTTTTCCACCTGTTGTCCATATTAGACCTACCTTTCCTAGTCTGAAGGTCCTCCTCTGACAAAGGAAACAGACCAAGGAGGAGTAGAAAAGTTCTGCCATCTGCCTTCAGTCCCTCCATCAGGGCCCGCTGAGCCTACTGAGTGGTTAGCTCCTCTTTGGTTTCCCTCGAGCCCCAAGATAGCCAAAGAAGCTCTCTTCTTGTCCTTGGCATTCCTCGCTGGCTCTAGCCCATTTGGAGCTTTCGTGCTCCTGACAGAACCCCAGGAGCTCAGAATTGGAAGTTCTTCGAGGCTGCCCAGCCTACCCCGGGCCTCTTCTACTCGTCTCTTTTATGACACGCCCAGTAAGTAAGTGGTTATACTCTAGGGAGGAGAGGGAACTCACTACTTCCCAAGGCAGCTTCACTACACTCTTGGAGAGCCTGATTTGTTAGGAAACTTTTCCTTATTCCAAGCCTTCATCATTCTCTTTGCAACCTCTTTTCGCTGCTCCTAGTCCAATGCTGTGGATATAAACAGAACAAAGCTTGTCATCCTTCTTCCACATAACAACCTTTCCAATTCTTATGGGACTGTATCATTCACAAATAGTGCCTTGCTTTGGATACTACATCAATGTTTGCTGTGCCATATAGTATTATACTGATCCCCAATTACCTAACTTTGCTTCCATCTTCTCTTCGTGGCTTTTAAAAATATATATTGTTCATTGAATTCCCAGTGTAGCCATGTTGGTGTCTCAAGACCGCTCACACTTTTTTTGTGGGATAATTTGTCCTCAGAATTTCATCCTGAGAGTCTTTCCTCTTTTTGGGGATGATGGGGGGAAGCCATGGGATCCTGCCTCTGAACTGTGAAATCCTCTCTCCCGGATTCCAAGGTGAATGTCACAAATTCGCCTGTGGTCTGAGAGGGAGCCGTGATGCTGTTCATCCTTCATTTTTGAAGAAGACCTATGACATCACGGGGTGATGTCGTGGCTTGTGTGTGATCTGGATTTAAGTGAGTCATCGGCCTCACCCTCTCTTTTATAATCACCAACATCCAGTGGCAAAACAGAACTGGTGATGGTGCTGGATGCAGTGGATGACCTTGGCATCTTCACTGCCTGCCCAAGCTCTAAGAGCTCCACAGCACCTGCTTGAGCCGCCTTCAGGGCTGTTGGAACAAATTGTTCTCATCGGCCCATCCCAGTGGGGGAAGTCTTTATGTGCTTGGGGAGACTTCCCCCTACCTCACTGACAGAGCATTGGCTTGTCAGCTACCCTCAGCCTGGTTTAGCCCATTTAGTGAGTTGGTTTTACTGGGGTGTGGCCGCTACACATGCCACGACTTCTTGGAACCACAGGTGAGAGCTGGGGGGCAGGTGCATATCAAAGGTGGATGAGCAGGCCTGAAAAAGGTTTGGCAGCTCTCACAACAGAGGTGCTAGTCCAGGTTGAACACACAAATATGTAACACTTCCCACCTGTATGCACAGAATAAATGGATAATGAGTTGTGCTGAGAATTACACAAGAGGAAAGATAATCCAAAGTGCTCTACTGCCATCCTCACAATTTTCTGGAGAAAGTGAAGACCACCACTACCCCTCAACCCCACCCAAGCACAGTAGGTGCAGAAGGCAGAGGCATACAGGATGAATAGACAAGGAAGGGTTGCAATCTACTGTCACGGTGATCTCAGAACTGAGGAGATCAGAGATCCATGTGTGTCGTAACATGGAGTGCTGGAATTAGATTGGGGGAAGTAGAAAGTCCAAAGGAATGCAGCCTGGCACTCCTTACATGGATCCTGGGGGGTTCTCTACCCTCCAAACAGAGGAAATGGGCCTGGTGTGAAATGAACATTCAAAATGAAACTCCTTATTTCCCCCAACCCCTCCCTTGCTTTCAAATTAAATGCCCTGATTTTCCCCTCCGGTGCCTACACAGTGACAGACACTGGGGACAAAAGTACAATGAGTGAAATGACCCTTACGGAAGGACCACATATCAGTACAAATAAGTACCATGGATTTAGGAGGGAGAGAACCTTGAGTTGGAGGGAGGGAGAGATTCAGAAAAAAGCCTCGTGGACAAGGTGGAGTTGTACCTGGAAGGAAGGGAGGGATTCCTTGAGGCAGAGGTGAAGAGAGAGTGTCCTCTAGGAATTAAGGATGCCCAGTACACAGGCAATGAAAACGGAGGGTCTGGTGTGAAGGAGAGGAGGCAAGTTTGGTTTTATTCTGGACGTTTGGTAATTGGAAAGATAGGTTGGGGCCACTTTGTGAAGATAGTTTGGGGCCAAGCTGTAAAGACATTTAGAAAAGCTGAACAGAGCTGGTTATATTTCATCCAAAAAGACACAGAGGAACCACTTCAACCACTTGACCGAATGAGGGGAGAAACATGGTCAGCTGTGCACTTAAGGAAAATCGCTTTGGCAGCGGTGTGCATAGTACGGACTAGAGTGGAGAGAGACTCGGAGTTGGAAGATCAGTTGGAGTAATTGGGTGAACGCCAAGGTGATGCAGGGAGAAATGGCAGGATTTGGTAACCGATGGGAAACGTGAAGTGAAGAAGCATGAGGACTCGAGGGTGATATCCCAGTTACACAGCTAGATGACTGTGAAGGACAGGGCGTCTTCAACAGCAGTGGTGAGCTGTGATATGGGACACTGGTCTGAGAGCCAGAAGACCCAGGTTTGAATACAGGCTCTGACACTGACTGGCTTTATGATCTTATGTAAATCTCTTCATCTTTCGGAACTTGCTTTCTCATCTATAAAGTGGGTATACATACAATAATACTTACATTCCTTGCCTCACAAGGCTCTTGTAAAGAAAACATTTTATAACCTTTAAAGTTCCATATAAATGTAGTTATTCCTTTACTAGTTTATTAACTTTACCTTGCTTTTTTGGGTATATGTTATTTTGTATACACAGCCTCCCCTAACAGAATGCACACTCCTTTTGCTTTTGTCTGTGTTCCCAGCTCTTGGCGCACAGTAGGTGCTTAATAAATGCTTGTTGATTAATTGATCACAAAATCTTAGTTGACCGCTTTCCCCAAGGGGCATTATTTCTATTTCAGCAGCTGGTCCTTCCTTATTGGTCAGAATTAGCTTCAGAATCACCGTTCTCCTTTTATCATAGTCCCTCAGTCTTTGAAGAATGAAATTATCCTTAAGAGAAGTCATGAATTTATCAGCTGCTGTGCTTTGGGTGGAAAGAAAACTCTCGCAGACATGGGGCAGTTGGAGTCCTCTATCACTTCTATGGCACACCTTGGTGCAGGGATCGTGATGTTTTGTGAACTCGTCTCTTCCCTCCCTTTGACTGGTCGGCTTGCTGGCCCTTACCTTCCTTTATTCTCACCCCAAATCCAAAGCATTTCCTTCCTCTTTATGGGATCATGTCCTCTTCAAATACAATACCACACCACTGCTTCGCCCTCTTTACTTTGAACAAAGTAGACCCATCTATAGCAACATTTTAGTCAGTGGTTCTATCCTCCCAAATCTCAGTGATGCCTTAGTAAGGTCAGATTGACCTCCTGGCTTTAAGATCTCTTTAAGATCACCTTTTTTGGTTAGTCGAAATTCATGCATCTGTATGTAGACATCTGAAACCAGGGATTTTATTGCTTACTTTCTTCTTGGACACCATTAACCTATACATTACGGGTCCTTTTCTATGAACATTTTTATAGTTTAACTGCTATTCTCTGTAGTATCTAGCTGGGCAGACATAAGTTAGCAGGGCTCTCTTTTCATCTCCATTGTCAATTTAGAAATCCTCATTAGATGTAACCCATCCTTGATCAAGACCCCATTGGTCAATCCTATTATCAACATCATCATTTCCTGGGCTGCCCTTGGGAAAAAGGCAGCCCATTCTTATCCCGTAGGAAAAAGATGAAGATGCTTTCCTGCTGGGTTGAAATATTTATTTTAAAAATTGAAAACACACATACAACATATTATACAAAGAAAGATCTTAATACTATAATAATCAAAAGTCTTGTTGGAAAGAAACCAAATGTCAGTGGCCACCTGCCCTGGGAAGGTAGGCACTCAGAGTGATAAATCAACTTAATTTACAGGAATACTTCTAATGGACATCTGGGTAAAGGTTAAAAAATTAAAGAAAAAAAAATTCCCGTCTCCCCCAAACCAAAATAGACGAGAAAAAGTTATAGGATCGAGACAAAAATTGAGTTATCACCAAGATTTATCTGAACCCCCTCGGTTTGTCCCTTGAGTAGTAACCTGCTTAGTCTAGGGCCTTCAAACCTGAGGTAGTTAAGGGTCACCTGAAAGACAGTGGGTCTGGACATGTGGCTACTCTGCTCTCAGCACTGGGCCCAGCAGTAACCAATAGATCTTCTGTATTGCTTTGGCTCCTGGGGTGAAAGGCAGCGTACCACATCAGTGCGTGGTGGTATTACAGTTGGTTTGGACCTGGGAAATAATGGAAGTCCTCAGCAAATAGCTGGAAAGATTTGCTGGGTTTGTGTGAGAGACAAAGAATCCGGCAGACCCCAGTGTTATATCGCTCTCTGCAACAGGCAGTGTGGGCTTTAGAGGGGTTGGAGACAACCGGGCTGGAGAGGCCTCCGCTGGAAGGCCGATGTGGGAACCAAAGGCTTAATCAGCAGCAAGTCCTTTCTGATTGATTTGGAAAGGTAATGGCAACAAAGCATGGTGAAGATCAGGCAGGGCAGATTCACTGGGCTCTCGTGGGTGTAGGTGCTGGCCAGGAGGTAAGCGTTTCTCTGGCCTGGAAGTTAGAAAGGCCAGTGGTAACTGGCATGGCCAACATGGTACTTATTCCTCCGAAGCCAAGTGCTCAGTTTGGCAGCTGAAACAATTCCAAGAGGAGCAGCTTGGGTCAACACATGGCCATTCCAGCTTTGGGTCTAAAGTCACAGGCCTAATTACGTTTCAGGTGGAGGATTGGGAAATCTGGGCAGAACCATCCACATCTAATCTAATTGAGGAGCCTCTTTGGTGAGGAGTCCAAAGATGGTATCCTTGCCTTTTCTTTCATGTTCATGAAGCTTGTTGGGTGGAGAGCAGCAGTCAGACGCAGCCTCCTCCGACACTGACTGCTCCAAGCATTTCTTCGTAGGGTGTTGCTGCTTGTGGCCAGTCAGTTATAAATAGCACAGGGCACTGTAAGAGGGACGGGAGGAGATGGACACCAGCTACGAGCCTCCACTCTTTTTGGGGACACGGCTTGCTTGATTCTCTCTGACCAGGGCTTCTTAATGAGTTAGCCACCTTCAGTTCAGGTAGGTGACAAGGCTGACTACTTGGTGAAAGCCATCGAGATTTCCCTCATCTTCCCCTTCTTGGTACCCTGGTCAGGAATGGAGGGTGGTGGCCAGGGAAGGACCTGTTGCTGCTCTCAGCATCCCCACCCAAGGAGGGCACCACGGGGTTTCTGGAGTCTGATCACGAGCTGTTGCCGCAGATGATGGTTCCTCGAGGACCTGGGCCGGACCCTTCCCTCCCCCCCTCTTCTGTGGTCCCCACGCGTGTGGAGGTGAATTGTTGGGGGTCAGCCGGGGTCCAGGTACAGTAACACAAGGCACTCGACCTGCCTTCCCCTAAGGAGGAAGCTATTCCCTTCTAGGAAGTGGACGTGACGATGCCGCACTCCAGTGATGTGGCGAATGTGGAGCACCGAGGGCAAAGCCTGAGCAGCACCATTAATTGTTTAACCACTATGGTACCGGGACCCAGTTGTGTCCCAGGAGCTCTAGAGGGGCTCCCTTGAGGAAAGTTGGCTATAGGAATTGACTTTCCAAAAAACAAAAACAAAAACCCAGCCACCCTAAGAAGCAGTGGGGAGTCCATGAGACTGCCGAGGAGGGGGAAGAACTGCCCGGGGCCTTCTCGGGCAGGACCCTCCTGTGGACAGATCCAGGAGAGCTTCTCGGCCTGGATCCACCTCGGATGCTCTCCAGTTTGTGCAAATAATGGAACAGACAAGACTGAGGAGGAAAGGGAAAGGGTACTGATGAAGTCTCTCTCTTGGCCTCTCCCTGCAATCCTGGCCCCCAACCCTGGGCAAACAAGCCCGAGGAAATGAGCATGGAGATGAAGTGAGTCACGTGGCCAAGACGTGTTCCCTACAAGCTCCCTGGGGGCCAGAATGGCTAGCAAAGGCCTGCCGGCATCTCAAGCAGGCAATGGGAAGTGAGGGTCATCAAAGTGTGGCCCGTGGGGCGGGGCTCCGTGGGGGGCTGACCCCCGGGGGAGGTGGTGAGTCTGCAGCACGGGCAGGTGGACAGTGGAGCGGCCGCACGACAAGCACAGAGACGAGTTATGAGCGTTTACAGTCTGGTGTCTGGGGCGAGGGCCGGGCTCTAGTCCTTCTCTGACTCGGCTTCTGGCACAGCAGCTGCAGATGCTCCGGGCTCTAACAAACAATTTAAAAAACAATCATAGACAATACAGCGGCTGGCATCCACACTGCCCCTTTAAGAAGCCCTGCTTTCAATGCGAGTCACTTACAGTGTCTCATTCAGCCCTCACAACAGCTCTGTGAGGGAGGCGCTGGGGGCATTATTAACTCTCTTTTACAAATGAGGAAACTGAGCTCACAGAGGTTTGGGCCACACAGCTAACAAACGTCAGGCACAATCGGAACCCAGGTTTCTCCTGTCTCCAAGCCCAGAATTCTTTTTCACTCGATTGTTCTCCTAAAGCTTTGGTAAGCAAATTATGTCTGCAGTCATGGGACCAGTGTTGGGATCCAGGGACAGCTGCTGCCTAAAGGTCAAGAGGGAGTTATGGCCCGGTGTGTTTGCAGGCCCCAGACTTAGGCTATCCCTGCAGGGCCCAGCGTCTTGGCTGCGGCGGCAGCCGTCACCTCCATCGTCCCTGACAAAGCCTTAAGCGATGACCACAGGTGTGGGCAGCTTGGCTGGCCGAGGCCTGGGTGCAGGCCTGCGCTCTGCCTTCCCTCTCTTCTCGCTAGGCTGGACAGACGGCCGCCAGCCTGAGCGTCAGGCTGTGCTCTGGCAGGGAGCGTGGCTCAGTGGATGCAGCCACGCTCTGCTGCCCCCTCTGCGGCTTGCTTACCGTCCTCCCAGCCCTCGGCGACGCCGGCCAGCTCGTAGTGCTTCTTCCGAAGGTAGCCCAGCTTCTGCCGCTCCTTCTCCAGCTGATTTTCCAGTTCCAACACTTTTACCTGTGGGGGGAATAAGTGGAGCTTTGCTTCATCACGGACTCAAGGATGGTCTCATTTGGACTTGGATTCATTTTGGTCTCATTTAGCTTTGCATCCATTCCTCCTTGTTCTCTACTTCCTTCACTTTCCATTTCCAAAAATCCCGCTTTCAGTTCCCACTCTCATTCCTCTTCCTTGCTGTGATTCCTCCATTAAAAACTAACACTGTCGTACTGGCCATTTTCATAGGTTTGCAGGATCTAAAGTTTGAAAAAACCTAAAAGGCGATGCCTCTCAATTTACAGATGAGGAAACTGAGACCCAGGGAGGTGAAGGGACTTGTCTAAGGTCACCCAGGCAGTCAGGCAGGGCTGGGATTTGAACCCAGGTCCTCTGGCCCCAAAGCCAACATTCTTCCCGCTATACTAGGCTGTCTCCTCCTCTTGCATGAGGGCAGGGGTGTAGTGGGAACAACACTGACTCTGGAGTCAGATCCCTTCTTACCTTACTACCTCCCTGGGCCTCAGGGAGCTGGCCTGCCAGGCCCTTTCAGTGCTAAGCCTACAATCCTACGGTCCCCTGTGTTACCGTCTTCTCTTTCATTCACCCTTCAAGCCCAACTGTCTCCCAACCAGCGTGATACTCCACGGGAGGTGGCTGCTTTGTGAACCTAAGGAAACCGCAAGAGGAAGTGCCTACTTTGTATTTCTCTGGTGAACCACCAAAGGAGACCAGCCCTCTCGCTTTCAGATCACCGAGAACGGTGCATCCTGAGCCTCTTGCTTTCTCCTGCGCACTTCCTGGGAGCCTAAGCAGCGGTGGAAGCTGGTGGAGGGCCCAGGGGCTGCTTCTGTACAGCTGGTCAGCCTCTGGCCACAGAGTCCGGCACCGCGGGGCCAGCCTCCAGCGTTTGCCAGGCCGGCCCCGAGAGAGAACAGCTTCTTATGACTTTTTGGTCGTGTCTGACCCTCTGTGACCCCATTTGGGGTTTTCTTGGCAGAGACCCTGGAATGGTTTGCCATTTCCTTCTCCAGCACATTTTACAGATGAGGAAACTGAGGCAAACAGGATTAGGTGACTTGCCCAGGGTCACTGGCTGAAGCCAGATTTGAACTTAGGAAGGTGAATCTTCTTGATTTCAGGACCACGGCTCTGTGCACTGTGGCGCCCCCTAGCAGTTCTCTTGCTAGCTAGAACTTTTTCTACGGAGACCCTTTTACTGTTCTCCACAAAATAAACTCACCTGAAATAGCAGGAAGAATGGTCCTGTGGACCTGAGATGCCAACGTGACCGATGCCTGATGCCTAGTTTTTATTCACTTTCCTGAACGGGTAATTAACTCATGCCAGGAATACAGACCTCGGTACTAGCCCAGGAGAGCGGCTGCTGGGGCACCACGGCTTCCCCAGGTCACCTGCCTCTAGACTCACTGTCCATTTCTGGCTGATGGCTAAGATTCTGCCCCTCCCTGGTCATCCCTGCACCAGGATTTCCAAGTTTCCTAACATTTGGATGGCAGATGCATCACGTGCTCTTCTCCCTGCCAGGCGTTTCCCTGCACCAGAGGGACTCTGAGGGGCGCATCTCAGCAACCACACACAGACAGACTACACCTGTACCTGGGAGTCCATCTCTTGCCGTTTGATCTGGGTCAGCGTCAGGCTGGAGAAGTCCATGTTTTCTGGAATGAGGCAAACAAGAAGACCTTGTCAAAGTATCCCTGGCCGAATCTCTCCAGTGCCAGCACACTGCTTGAAAGCAACCAGGGATGATGGAGGCATAGAATGGCCTGGAGCAGCCCCTGCCCGGGACCACTGGGAACTTGCCCAGGGGCTTTCTGTAGTTTCTGTGGGCAAGGGCAATGTGGCTTAAGGGATAAGGACCTGGCCTCAGAGTCAGGAAGACCTGTGTTCAAGTCATGCCCCGATACATCCTGCACAAGGCACTTAGTCTCTGAGTACCCCAGGCAACTCTCTAAGACATAGACTCCTGTGAAGCAGGTATCAATCTGCTTTGGTACAGGAAAGGCTTCCTCTAAACCAATGAAATCATAGGCCCATTTTACGAAAAGGAAGAGCGGTGACCCACAGTCCATGAAGACTCTGCTTACATGCTGATGAACCTGCCTAGCTTGGTGGTCCAACCTGTGGGTGAGATGAACGTGGGCAGGAGAAGATGAAACATAAGAGAAAGAATATTTAGGCAAAAGCAGGGTAAAGGAGTTTGTAGAAAAGGGAGACAGAGGGAGAATGGAAAGGACGTCTGTGCAGGAGGGGGAGGGAAGACTACCTGTCTCCTCAGTCTGCGACTTCCCTGCCATGGTTGACGCCACCACCTCTGCTGTCGCCTGGTTCACCCCCCGAGAGGCCTGCTGCAGCTGAGCGAGGTTTGCGCTGTCCTTGTCCGCTTTCACCTAGGTGAGGCCAAAGTGGATTCAGATTCACACAGCATGCAGCCTGAAATAGGTTGGTCTGGGCACACTTGCCCTCTGAGGGACTGGAACACTACCACGTGGTTTTCCAGTGGCAGAAGCTGCCCTCCGCACTTTCACTCTTGGCTTGCTTCTTGTTCCTGAAAAGCCTTCCTGACCGTGGGGCTGCAGATCCGCATCATGACTTTAGCAGCCAACGCTATGCCAACAAGTTCTACCTGAGGCACCAGTAAGTGGGTTACGCAGTGAAATCTCCCGGGGGATCGGGAAGCTGCCAGTCTGTGCATCTGCAGCAGCAATGAAAAGTGGAACCGAAACATGAGGTGGCGAAGCCCAGAGCGAAGCAAAGGATCGATTCTGAGTAAAGGGACCGTGCTGATGCTTAAGCAAGGGCTGGCGCCAGCTGTGCCACTCATGCTGGGTCAGACCGGGCAGGAAGCCTGCTCTCCGTGACCTCCGTGCCAAGCGTGCCTCAATCTGAGCGTTAGCTGCAAGTCGGTCTGACGCGTCAGGAACACTCAGGGAGAAACTTCTCCATGCTGGGAGGCAAGAAGTGAGGGCACGGGAGAATCGAGATGGGGGGCAGGGAGAAAGACTTCTGGGGGGACGTTGGATAAACCAGCAGGCTGCCCTAGGAGCTCTGCATTGTGACTCCTGGGGAATAGGGTGGCTTTGACTTTAGAGACCTAAACATCTGAATTATCCCATCTGGATCCTGAAGAAAACATCTGTTCTGGAAACCTGGAGAGAAGGTAGTTATGGCCCTCCTAAGCCACCCAAGCTCTTCATATCCTGGGGCATCCTACCTTGGAAGCAGCCACCAGCTGTGCTGTGCTGGCTGCAATTTCACGGGAACACACCATCAGCTCCTCAAACTTCCCTTTCCCTTGAAATACCAGATCCGCTGCATCCCTGATGAGCAGGAAAGAAAAAGAAGGTCTGTCTCTTACAACTCAGACCCCCAGAGGCTTACAGGCTACTCCCTATAGGACTGGGTGAAAAAGAAGCAAAAACTTCCCTGACAAATGCTACCTACTGTTACACCACCTGCAGAAAGCCCCCGTTCCCTCTCCTATTTGTAGAGTTCTTTGGCCAAGGGTCTGCTCCCCGAGGCTGGACAAAATTCTTAAATGCTCTGGGCCAGCTTCCTGTGGTCTTGGGGCTCTGGAGGAGCCAGGAGTTGGCGGCTACTTACACCATGACTGTGGCTCCCCAACCAACAGCTTTGGAGGCCGAGATCAGTCCTTCTGTCCATCGGGAATTCTTGGCATAGAACTCTTTTGGGGAGGCTGCACCCTGGAGAGTAATAGTAATAATAACATAATAAGTAGGCATAATACTAGCTGGCATTTCCATAGCACCTGCCATGTGTCAGGCACTGTGCTAAGTACTTTGTAATTATCCGATTTGATTGTCACAACAATCATGGGAGGGAGATGCTGTTATTATCTCTATTTTATAGCTGAGGAACTTGAGGTAGACAGAGGTGAAGGGACTTGCCCAAGGTCACACAGCTAGTAAGTGTCTGACCTGGATTTGAACTCAGGTCTTCCTGACTCCAGGCTCAGCTCTGCACTAAGGTGTCCGCTGAGAGGCAAGGAGCAAACCTTTATTTGTTCTCTTAGCAGAGGCAGTAATAAGGGGCAGCTAGGTGGCACAGTGGATAGAGCACTGGCCCTGAAGTCAGGAGGACCTGAGTTCAAATCCAGCCTCAGACCAGACACTTGCTTTTACTAGCTGTGTTACCTTGGGCAAGTCCCTTAACCCCAATTGCCTTGCAAAAAACAAAAACAAAAAAACCCCACAAGAAATCAGAGACAGTAATAAGATTGGCCAACCTGTGTCCTAGATAGTTTACAATTTAGACAATCCAGACTGATATCCACGCCAGTAACGTTATGCAACGGGCGGATCATTTTAAAAAAACTGTATTAGGATTTAAGGCACTTCTAGAAGCTGCATTTTAGTTTGGGAATATTTGATATTCTCATGATTTGGGACAAATGTGCCAAGCCCCTGAGGAGCAGCTCCAGAGCTTCCTCCTCCCTGCTCAGGCTGATGGATGGAGAAGAGACCACTTCAGGCAGAGATGAGGGAGGGGGAAGGGACAACAGCCAGGCAGAGAAGCCTATGCAGGGCATCTCAAAAGTCTTAGTGCACTCACAGGCTTCTATCGCTTAGCACGGCACTAAGACTCGCGGGACACCCTGTTTTTGATGGTTTAGGGGGAAGAGCAGGCAGTAACAAGGTGAGGGGACCTCTCGGGAAAGTCAGCCCAGGAGCTGAACTTTACAGGGAGCTGGCGATTCTAAGAGGTGGAGGTGAGGAGGGAGGATGTTCCAGGCAGGGAAGGCAGGAGTGTGTGTAGCTTGGAGAACAGCAGGAAGGCCCAGGTGAAGGGGAGTGACGTGCAATGAACCCAGAAGGGTGGGCTGCAGCGCTTGTGAAGGGCTTTGAGCACCAGGCCAACCACCTTGTGGATTCCTCTATGATCACGTAGGCGATAGGGAGCCACAGACAATTCTTAGGAAGAGGACTAACATGGTCAGACTTCGGCATTAGGGAGATTATTTTATTGTGGAGGATGCACTGGAGAGGGGAAAGACGGAGGCAGGGGGCAGAAGTTCTGAGATTCTGAGCCGTGATGGTGGCTGGGTGAGTAGAGAAGTGAACAAATGGGACATGTGTTGTGGGGTAGAATCAAGACTTGGCAACTGACTGAGGGAGGGGCGAGAGGTGAGGATAACCATGAGGCTGTGAACTTGGCAGGCTGGAAGGAGACTAGTCCCAACAAAGACAGAGAAATTGGAGGTAGAATATGGATGGGATTGGGAGCGTGTGGGAACATAATGAGTTCTGCTCTGGGCCTGTTGAGTCTGAGATGCTCAAAGGACATTTAATGCCCACTAGGCAAGGTGAGGTAAGGTTGGTGTTCAGGAGAGAGACCAGGGCTTGATACATGGATCTGGGAGTTACCTGTGGAGAGAGGATAAGGAACTCTGTCGGAACTGATGAAATCACTGAGAGAGTGAAGGAGAAGAGGGCCCAGGACATAGAGCTTTGGGGGCCAGGGCAGCAAAGGAGACTGAGAAGGGGAGTGGCCAGACAGGTTGAGTAAAACCTCAGGGAAGAGAGAGTGTCCAGGCAGAGATGGGGGGAGACTGTCATGAGTGTTAACGGTGTCTCTGTGTGAGACAGGCTGCTCTTGGCCTTGTCAAAGGACTCAAGGAACCAGGAAGCCACAGACTGTCCCTCTTGGCGCTTTCTGCCAGCCCATCTCCACACTCACCCGGCCACTCTCCACTATCTCCTTCTGAAGGTCTTTGGAGGCCATAATGAGGACCTGAATTGCCTGCATCAGGCTGGTACAGGAGCCCAGGATCCTGCAAAACAAAGCCCCACTGATGATCATCCCCTCAACAGCGAAGCCAAGTCCAGAGCGTTTGAGGGACTGGAGAGCTAGGAATGAACTGGATTCTTCTGGAAGGATTCCAGAGAGAGACCTCTGAGGAGAAGCTGGGGTGGCGAGGCATCTTGATCACAGGTCCTCCCAATGAGACAGTGCTGATGGGCTGCCTCCTGAGATGGGTCAGCCAGCGGTCACATTCCCTGTGAGTGGGATGTTCTTTTCTATTTGTCCTCCACTGTCATGCGAGTATCCCGAGGAATCCTCTACTAACTGCACAAGGGGGACGACGCAGACCCAACTCCTACCTGAAAGAGCCTAAAGCAGGCTTCCAAACTTCGGGGCCTTAGAGTTTCTTACTATTGTTGGCATGACTCCACTGAAACCTCAACAAACTATCTTTGCTGATGATCTTCAAGAGTCGCCCCTCTGTGGCCAAACTGTGGCTGAACCTCTAAGCTTAGCTAGGCTGGACTTATGGCAAGAGCCAGCTCATCATTGGGACCATACTCTGAGCCCTGCCATCGGCGCATTGCCTGCTTGAGCTGACACCAGGCTGGACAGCTTTTGAGAGCCCAGAGTCGCCTCTGCTCCATGATAAAGCACAAGAGGAGGCCAGGAGAACAAGGTGAGCATAAACTGAAATCCACCACCAAGGGTTCAGGGGCCTGCCCTGGCTACCTTGGAGTCAGAGCACTGGTCATACTGACCTTTCATTCACCTCTAGTTTGACCCCTGTGTCTCCAGCTCGGGACTTATTGAGCATCTCCTGTTAACAAAGAGGAAGAGGGAAGGGGTTAGCTCACAGTTTGGAAGCAGGGTGGGTGCTGGAAGGGGTAAACCTCTAGTGTCTATCCCATGGAGAGTGGCCAAGGAGAAACCCAGCCCCAGAAAGGTCCTTCCTCCAAGGTGCCCCACCAAGCCCTTGGGACTGTCAGGAAGAGGATCCAGCCCAATTGTTTGCATAGCTGTTCACTAGTGACAGGATGCTTCTCCTTCTGTAACAAATAGTACCCGTGGGGCAGCTAGGTGGCACAGCAGATAGAGCACCAGCCTTGGAGTCAGGAGGACCTGAGTTCAAAGCTGGCGTCAGACACCTAATGCTCACTAGCTGGGCAAGTCACTTAACCCCAATTGCCTCACCGAAAACAAAACAAAACAAAACAAAAAAACCAAAGAGTACCCAGACCTCTAGCACATGAATCAGCACATTCCATTGCCCAAGACAAGAGAGGCAGATTGGCCTCTGGGTATCCATGCCAAATGGGCAATGTCCTTTACACCAAAGGACTCATTTCTAACCTGTATCCAGGCTTCTCCTAGATGTGCTGTCCCTGGATAACTTCTGTGTACTTTCTGGCCCTCAGGTAATCAAAGGGATCTTGGCCTTGGTTTGGTAGGGCTCTTGCCCTGTGGTCTCTAGGTACTTTCCTCTAATGGCCAAGGCCCCATGTCTTGATAGGGCAAGACCTCTCCCTCTGAATCTTGGGCCCAGCCAGTAAATGACTTACCTCGATCCTGGCTGTGGCCGTTTCAATGGCAGCTGAGGTGGCAGCCATCTCCTTGTCCACCAAGTCTCCCAGCTCCTCCTGCCTAATGTCCAGGCCTCTGGGTCTGAGCTCCTAGAACCCAAACACAGAGGCTGAAGTCCTCCAGACCTCCCTGGAGGGACTCTGGGGCTTGTCACACTTCCTGCTGATAAGGGCTGCAAAGGCTTGACTGAGGGCCAAGGGACAGCCCTGTTCACACACCCACATCTGGAATGTTGTTGCTGTCCCTCTGTCTGCCAGGCATGGCAGCCGTGTGTAACCCTCCACAGCTGGCTTATTCTTGCCTCTGGGCCCTTGCACACGCTACTCTGCGAAGCTAGCTCAAAACTCAACTCCCTTCCAAGGAACCAACCATATTGATCTCATCTGACTCTAATCCATCCATTAAGTTGCATCCCTTCAAAGGTAGGTTGTTGAGACCTAGGCATGCTTGTAAGGCAGAAAGTAAGGAGCAATGTGAAGAACTAGGTAAATGTGAGCCAGTATAACAATCACAATTATTAGTGATGTCATTTGAACTTTTCTCCAGCACAAATCCCGTTTTGCAGCAAGGCTGGTGTCATAGAGCACGAAAGGACCTTTCATGTGAGAAGATGAAGCCGAGGATGGAAAGTTACTTGCCCAAGATCATAAAGGTATTAGACGTCAGAGGCGGGGTGCTCTGATTCTGGGGTCACTGTCTCCATTCCATCCCATCCTCTCCATTGAATTGCCCCCTCTGGCCTCCCTGCCTACAAACATGCCCATGGCTCTGCCATTCTCAAGAAGCTCCATCTGAGCTGTCCATCCATGCTGTGGTCCTGAATCAATCCGCCTTTTCTGGACTAAACTCCAGAAGGCTATCTCGGGCCAGTGCTTGGGCCTCCTTTCCTCCCACTCTCTGCAGTCTGGCTTAGGACCTCATCACTGAACTGAAACTGCCCTTCCCAAAGCTACCAACAAGCTCTTGATGACCTTTTCTCAGTTCCCATTCTTCTTGACCTCTTGGCCTGGGTCACTGTCAATCACCTTCCAGGTTTTTGGGAGGCTGCTCTTTCCTGGTTATCTTCTTCCTGGCCTGACCCCTCCATCTCGGGCTCCTGAATGGATCTTCGCGATGTGGGTGCCCTCCAAGGCTCTGTCCTGGGCTCTCTTCTCCTCTCCCTCTATACTCTTTCTCTTGGTGGTCCCATCAGCTGTCATGGATTCCATGATCATTTCCATTCTTCTCAGATCTACTTATCCAGCCCTCACCTTGCTCCTGACTTCCAGGTTTGCCTCTCCAACTGCCTACTGGCCATCTTGAACTGAACGTCCCGTAGACACCTTAAACTCAACGTGTCCAATGTGGATTGACGATCTTTGCCCCCCAGGCCCTATTGTCCTCCTAGCCTCCCTCTTACTGTTCAGGGCCCCGTCCTCCTCCCGATCACCTGGGCTGGGTGCCGTCTTTGACTCCCCCTCTTTCTCCTCCCTCCTCCTCTATCAATCCCTCTCGAGTCCTGTGGATTCTGCCTTTGTAACTTCTCTCCTAAATCTGCCCTCCTCTCCCATGGCCACCGCCCTGGCACAGGCCCTTAGCGCTTCGCGCCAAGACGACTTTGCTTCAAATCTCTCCCCACTCCAGCCCACCTTTCAATCAGCCACCAGATTAATCCTCCTAAAACACAGCATAGGTCTACCCGCGCCGCCTCCCTATGCAGTTGACTCCGCTGGCTCCCTATTATCTCCAGCATCAAATGCAGAGCCCTCCATCTGGCTTTTAAAGTCCTTCCTAGCCTGTCCCCGGCCCCCGTTACCGGCTCACACACCTTCCATCCCACACATGCTCTGAGAGCCAGTGACACTGCCTCCTCTCTGTGCCCCAAACAAAACCCTCCACCTCCCAACTCCAGACATTCCCATTGGCTGTCCCTCATGCCTGGAACGTTCTCCTTCCTCATCTCCATCCCTAGGATTCCTCCAAATCTCAGTTAAAATCCCGTTTTCTGCAAGAAGCATCTCCTGATCTCCTTTTGCGCCCCGTCCCTTCCTTGATGATTTCTGACCTATTCTGTGTATGGCTCGTTGCACATAGTTGCCTCCCCCTGAAGCTGATGGCCCCTTTCTCAGAAACATGTTTTTAAATTCGTAAGATAAAGTATGAAGGATGACAAAGAAAACAAATGTCTTGATATAGATACAGTTATCAAAAAGTTTTTTAAAGTGAAGCTCGTGGACCAGTAGCAGGAAAAGTCATTGGGTGCAGGGGCTGTTCTGTTTTTGTTCCTGCAGCCCTGAAGTCTAGGACAGTGCTCTGCTCGCCACAGAAGCTTAATAGATGTTCTTGAGTGAATTCATGAATGAGCCGATGCTCCTCCTGTTAATACAAACTGAGGGTGGCTTTTGAGAGTCACACAGCAAGACAGTGCCGGAGCTGAGCTTGGCCCTGGGGGTCCTGCGTCCCACCAATGCTCTGATCTGTATCCCACGTGCATCTGGCATCTCCTCCCTCAGAGAGTGGAGCCCTTGAAAGCGGGGGGCATATCTTACATTTGTCTGGCATTGCCACAATTTTAGCATGTGGAAGATGCTTAATAAATAGCCACTGAATGGATGGAGACTAAGGTTTCCCCAGAACATCTTCTGGGCATCAGGAGGAGCCTGCCTCAATGCCTGTGACGCCTCCCCACCCCGCCCACATCTTCGCCCCAGGCCCTAACTGCGATGGTCATTCCAATGGTACCTCGCCAATGGCTGTGATCATGCTGAGGCAGCTCTTCATAGCCGTGCTATCTGCATTCCTAAGACTGTCCTCTTCCTTCAGAGCAGACAGATAGAGCAGGGCTTCCCTGCCACACTCTTTACAGGCATCTGTTAGCACTATGGATTCAAGGAAACACAGAGCCATTAGGAAGGAGCACTGCTTCCCCTGACCTTGGGCACAGGCCCAAAGCAGAACTGGAACCATCGGACCATCCCGGCCCAGCCCATGGTACTCACTCTCGGCAGGCTCCAAGGAGGTCGTCAGAGAGGTGGCACTGCCCTGGAGGATGGTGTCACTGACCAGGTGAGCCAAGAGGGTCATGGATCGTGCCAGTCCACTGACATCTGGAAGACAAGTTCAGTGGAATTCACCAAAGCTCTTCCCTCCCTTGGACACCCTCAGAAGCCCCTGGGAAGTGCCCAGGCTCTCCCTGGTGTAAGGATGAGTGCCCTGCCCACATCTCACCATCTGAAGAGGTCAGATACTGCTTCTGGGCCTCCTCCACTTGGTCGATGCATTTCAAAACACAATTGGTCTTGAAAAGGAGATGATCTGGAAGACAGAAGCCAAGGTAAGGAATCCTTGTATCCTGGTGCAGGGAAGCCAGGTGACCTGCACACCCCTTCGCTCCCCAAACACTTAGAGTGGGGGAATGCCTCTTGGACGCCTTCGGGCTCTAGAGCTATGAGAGTAACCCCTTCATTTTACAGAGAAGGAAACTGAGGCCCGCAGAGGTGAAGTGATCTTCCCAAGGCCACCTAGGTAGGAAGTAGCTGAGGTGGAATCCACACCCAGGTCTTTCCACTGCACCGCCCTCCCTCTCTGGTGCTGGCAGGGAAGAGTCAAACTGAGGAAAGGTTTTCTGGCCTGACTGGGGTGTATTCTCCTGCTGTAGCTTCATTAGGTTCCCTCCACTCACCCGAAACACAGATGTTGCCTCCCTCCCTACCACATGTTGGGTAAAAGCCAAACTCTTTTGTGGAGTGTCCCATGCTTGTCTGTTCGCCCACGTCTGGGTGAAATCCTTCCGCTCAGAATCACAGACGTGGAGCTGCAAGGGGCCTCGGTTGAGGGCTACCTCGTCCACTCCACTTTATGATACCTAAGCAGTGGTCACCCCGTCTCCATCTGGACACCTTTAAGGAGGGGGTCCTGCTGCCTCTCGAGGCCCCCCCCCCACCACAAGCCAAGTGGTTTCCTGTCCCTGCACGCAGCTTCTTCATCCCCACCAGGGACCTGGCCTTTGCCCAGTCCGATTGCTTCCACTCAGAACACTCTTCCTCTTCCTCTCCAGTAATAATAATAATAATATTAATACCTAGCATCTACAGAAAGCTTCAAGGTTTGCAGAGCACCTTACGTGACCTCATTTGGCCCTCTCCACAACCCTATGAGGTAGACACTATTATTATCCCCTTGTTACAGATACAGGAACTAAGGCTAGGACATAGGTGACTTGCCCAGGGTCACTTAGCTAGTTGGTGTCTCAGGCCAGAGTCAAACTCAGGTTTTCGTGACTCCAAGGCCAGTGCCCTAGCCATCATTACACTGGCTGATGTGGTGGCCCACGAATTTCGCTCTCATTCAAATCCCACTCAAAATTCATTTTTGAGGGAAGCTACCCCCAAATGATTGCACCTGTTAATTTCTATGTTTTGCATTTTTTTTTTTAGTAATTACTTGCTCATTTGTATGTAAATTTGCATTCATGTTGTTTTTTCAAATATCTTTTTTTTTTTTGGCAACTGGGGGTAAGTGACTTGCCCAGGGTCACACAGCTAGTAAGTGTCAAGTGCCACCTAGCTGCCCCCAAATATCTCTTTTTCAAAAGGCCTAAGATCCACTGCCTATTACAAAAGGCAGAAAGTCCTCTGCTCATCATGGACATCCTTTGTCAACTTCACACCCCGCTCTCCTGCTCGCCATTTTTCCAGATTCTTGTTTTGTGACTCCCCAGGAGGGGTCCTCATGCCCAGAGACTAGTGATGTTCCCCACTCTGTTCCCCAACACCCTCTTCTCTCCTCTACAAAGAGTCCGCTCATCATCTCCCCTGAAAGCGGCTCCTCTTGTCCAGGAAGCCTCCCTGGCCTAGCCACACCTGCCTTGGGGTCACGCTATCACTTGGCATGGACACATCCACTCTGTGTGAATTCTGATCATACTCGTCATGAAGAAACAAGAAAGGGGACCAGCCCTCCAACCTGAACCCTAGCCTTCTTCCTTTCCGTTGGGAGTTCCTAGATCATCAGATTCCTTTGTCTGGCTGGCTATGCTTGGGGAGTTGTGTTCTAGCTTGCCTAAGCTCCCTATAGAGAAGGCCCAGTTTTGTGCACAAGCTTCTCAGCAGTTGTGACCGTGTTTCTTTTGTTGGAATGGGAGCTCCCTGAGTGCTGGAACCACCTCATGTCCCTGCAGAATGACTAGAGCAGGTGTGCTGTCACCAGGCCGATGGGATTTGGAGCTAATGGACGTATTGGAGGTTGGGGAGAGCCCAGGGACTGGGGAGGAGATGTACCTGCAGACCCAGTACAGCTGATGAGGATGGGGTCCTCAAGCTGGCTCAAGGTATCTTTCACCATCTTCTCAGCCTCTTGCCCTGTTTCCAAGAGAATTGACTTCCGCTGGTCCTTTGCGATTTGATGCATAGATTCCTGCCAGTGAATCAAAGAGAGGCTGTTGTGGACCCAGAGTAGGGGCGTGCCCTAAGGGAGAGGATCCTAGCACTGTAGAATTACAGCCCTGGAAATGGGAAGAATCTCATAGGCCGAGGTCCAACCCTTTATTTTACAGATGAGGGAAACTGAGGCCCAGAGCACCAGGGCAAGATTTGGCTCCAGAATCAACGTTTCTCCCCCTGGAGCACTAGTGTATCCCTCTCCTTTGGTGCCATGCTATTGACTGGGCTAGAAAGCTCAGTGCCAAGGAGGCACTGATCATGAGAAAGGCTGGGAGAGGAGGACGGTGACTGCAACCTGTGCCCTCCTACGGTGGATAGCACTCATAGCATACCCATGCCCCGCGTCAGACCTGGCATATGTGAGGTCATTCACATGCGTTAAGCCAGCCATAGGCTGGCTCTGGCAGGCCAGCTGAGAGGGACCCACAGGAAAAGGCCCAGGGACCCTGCTGGAGCCTCAGCATCCTCCCTATCTCACTGCTCCCTTCAGGTGGAGTCAGATGCGCCTCTCCGAGCCCCAGGACTTCTGAGCTGTGACATGGGCCCCGAGACCTGCCTTCCCTACTTGCCTGTGCACTGGTTAACTCAGACTGTGTTCGCTCCAGTTGGTTCCGAAGGGATGAGATTTCTTCATACCTCTCAGATGCGATTTTCGCCAGGCTGGTTCGCTCCTTCTCTAGGCCTTCAATCTGCATATTCCACTTTGCCTCTGACTGTAGGAGAAGCCACAAGGGAGAGGGAAAACAGAACATTCACAGCTCACATTTACATAATACTTTGATTTTTAAATTAATCAACTTTTTAGCTTATTTTTTACTTTGATGTGATTTCATCGGTAAAGGAAAGCCCTGCTGCACTTAGTCTTAGGGCAGTGTGGCGGGGGGCCCCCAGAGGGGCCATCAGAGCCAGGATTCAGGCCTTGACTTCTTCACTCAGAGGCCTGCTCTTAATCCACTCCACCACCCCTCTACCTGCCCACAGAGCACTCTGAGGCTCCCTAACAAGGATCCAGTGAGCTGTGTTGTACGAATATTGTTATCCCCATTTCACAGACCAGGAAACAGGCTCAGAGAAGTAAAGAGTCTAAGGTGGGAAGGTTAAGCTGTTCGCTCTTGTAGTACCCTAAACCTGCCCTCCTGGTCCTGGGCACAATTGGTTCTACTTCTTTTAACCTACTATTCCTATTTCCTGAGGGCATACAGAAGGATAACCTGCTAAGGTAGCCCAGGGGCGTGTGAGGTGGCTGGCACAAAGCCATTTTGCCACAGATGACCCACACACTGGACAATGAGTATGTGACTGGAAGGTCTTCCTTAGGGAACATTAGTAGGATTCTTCTGGGCACAGCATCACCAATTCTAGCCTTTGGTGAGAAGAGTGTAGCAAGGGCAATGGTTTCGATCTCTCTGACCCTGCTCCCCAGGAAAGGGGTTCATGATCACAGCCAACCTTCACACGGTGCTCTAAGTTATGCAAAGCACTTTTATAATGACAGCTCTGGAAGGAAGATACCATCATTATCATTTTACAGATGAAAAACTGAGGCTGGGAGGTGAAGGGATTTGCCTAGGGTGCCCAGCCAGGATGGGTCAGAAGCAGGATTCAAACTCAGGTTGTCCTGATTCCATCCACTCTACCATCTAGCTGTCCCAGGACACGAGGGAAAACTGATGCCCAGAGAGAAGTTTTTGGGCTGGATTCCTAATCTCACTAGGTAGGGAGGTCCTGGCAAGCACCTTCCTCTCCCAGCATGGGTCAGTGGGTTCTCTGACACGTTGGAATCTTTGAGAGAGGCCTGGGGGACACTGAGGGAGAGGTCCCCGCCAGGACAGCTCCGAGGAAGTACTTGGACCAGGTCTTTCCGACTCTGAGGCGAACTCTCAGTCGACTATACTAACCCGCTGGAGAGGAGGGATTTACAAACATGTTACTGTTCTCTTTTGTTTTTATATCAGCTAGCCTTCCCAGAGCTTTCCTCTTCTACCCCTTCCTGGAGAGCTGTCTTTTGTAAAAAAAAAAAAAATTAAAAACAGAAAAAACAGCTCGGCAGAGTTAACCAACATGACAAAAACATGTAGTATTCCACACTCACAGGTTCCTCTAACCTCCTTCCTCATCACAAAATTGGGGGGTGAGATTTCCTCGGCTTGCCCTAACCACCCACTGGGGCTGAACTTGGGATGTGCTCCTTCCTTAATGCACAACCTTGGGTCAACTGAGCTCAGCTGTAGCTATGACAAATGGGTGTGTGTGTGGGGGTAGCTGCTGTTGAAAACAGAGCTTGTGCCACCGTAGCATCAGCGGCCCCAGTGTCAGCCGGGAAAGGACGGAGAGGGACAGGAAGGTGGAGGGAGGCCATATTTACCTGGGCAGAGGTCTCCAGGGTGCCTTGGAGGACTTGGAACTCATGTTTGCTGATGGAAAGTTCTTGTTTTAACGTCTCCAGGACCTCGGTCTGTTCTTGAGTCTGTAGGGCACATCAAGAGGGTGCTGGAGTGAGTCATACCACAGCCCGCTGTCTGCAGAGGGAGCCTGGCAGAATCCAAGATTCTTCCCAAGTGTACCATGGCTGCAGGTGTGGAAAGAGCTGGGGACAGCAGTGAAGCTCCCTGCTGACTGCATGCCTGCTCTCTCTGGCCCCCACCTTGAACAAGGGAATGTTCCAGGCCTCTGGTCTCTGCCTCATCCATAAGACCAGCCAGGGCCACGTTCCCCTTGTCTGGTCTCCCCAGTGAGGCAGAGCTCCCCAGGGTCCCTGAGCATGTGCATGGCTCTGGCTCCCAAGGCTCCCGAGGCTCCAGGGTGCTTGCTCTCAGCCTTGAACATTCTCTATCCCCCTTGGCCTTTGTCTTCCTCGAGTCATTGTGAGTGGGGATGGTTTCATCCTTTTCCCTTGTATTCCCAGTGCCCTGGCACAGAGTGGGCCCTGAACGGTGACTGATTAACGGATTCTTTGGCTCGGTTCCTTTCTTGCCCCAGGCTCTGATACCCTCCTGCTGTTTCCCTGCAGACTCCAGAGCAGATGGAGGCCCCACCTATGAGGCACTGACCTGCACTTATCTTGGTCACTGTCTGTGATCTCTCAAGATTGTAAGGATGAATGGCCCACGGTGCTGGCCTCTTCTGAGTCACCCAGGTCGCCTGGGTTGTGCAGTGCAGAAGTTCTGCCTCTGGTCTCCTGGCTCCATTCAGTCCAACAAACATTTATTCCTTACACATCACAGGCTAAGCCTTGTGCTAGGCCCTGGATGTGGGGCATGGAATCAGGAGAGGCCTTATCCACCACAGCGGGAGGACCTGGACAACCAGCCCCACTTCCTGCCTCCATATACCCAAGGCCCCAGTGACCTTCCCAGCACCAACCCTAGGGCGTTGAGCATTATCATTCATCTGCTATCCCTGAATCACTGAATCACTGGCCACTTAGGAGCCACCTAGTCCCACTCCCACCTCCCTTTCCCCTCCTCCTCATCCTTCCTGACCCTACTCCATCCTGCCGCTAGTTTACCATTTCCACTGGACCTTCTGGAATTCCCATCCCATAGTGAGCTAACTTCCCTTTATCCTGAGCCTTTCTGCTCCCATCTACCTGTCCTTCTTGAGACCTGGCTTCCCTTCACTCGCACCCTACAGCACACTGGCCCTAGAGGGGGAGGGGGCTTTCTCATTGCTCTCCACTGCCATTCCCAGACTCCCTTTGCTTCAGGGGCTCCGTAGCCAAACCTCAAAGTGCCAACAACTGCCAGCTGGAATTAGTGTCATTGTTAGGGGACTTCAGTAGCCATGGTGGGGCCTCCAACTCTCTGGCCACCCAGCTCCTCAATCTCCTTGAGACCCAGGGCCTTCACCCCAATTCCTCTGCCCTAGTTTTGGGAAGGGCCCAAGGCTCTGTTCTGGGCTTTAAGGACTTGGATTCCCCCTGAACTTTGGGGCCTCCTCACCAACTGCCCGTCAGGCATCTCAAACTCAATACGTCCATGCAGAACTCACTCTTTCCCCCCAGACCTACCCTTTTCCCCAAGTTTCCTATTTCAGTTGAAGGCACCACCAGCCTCTTAGGTTCCTGATCTCAGTGTCGCCCTCCACTCTTCATCTCACTCATGCCCTGCCAGATACTGCCATCAGCTCCTCTCTGATCAGTCACATGGCACCATCTTGGTCCAGGCCCTCATCATCTCTAGCCTAGCTTATTGCAATAGCCTCCTCAGTGGTCTCTGTGCCTCGGTCTCTCTCCACTCCAAGTTTTCCTCCCCACAGCTGCCAAAAGGATTTTCCTCAGCCCAGCCCTGACCGTGTCACGCCTCTACTTTGTTCCACTGCAGTGGCTCCTTGTTGCCTCCAGGGGAAAATGACTTTTAGAACCCTTTGCCACCTGGCTCTAGCCAGTCTTCTCAGGATGCTGTCATTTGGCCAAGCTGGCCTCCTCTGGGTGCCTCCTTTCAGCACACCTTCTCCGTCCTTTTCCATCCTCCCCACTGCCGGTGCCTGCCTTTCCGACCACCTTGTACTTAGTACATTTATTCTTTTGATACGTATCCCACCTATGTTTCTATATGTACTTGTCTCTGCTGTTGGACTAGAAGCTCCTTAGGGGAAAGAATTTCTCCTTCTTTGCCTGGCACACTGTAGGTGCTTAATAAATGTTTGCTCACTGAGGGGGCAGCTAGGTGGCACAGTGGATAGAGCACCGGCTCTGGATTCAGGAAGACCTGAGTTCAAATCCAGCCTCAGACACATAACACTTACTAGCTGTGTGACCTTGGGCAAGTCACTTAACCCTCATTGCCCAACAACAACAAAAAAAGTTTGCTGATTGAATGATGTAGGAGAACATCACAGACAAGGGACTCGGCATACAAAAGCCAAGAGGTGGGAGATGGGAGTTCCCTCCCTGGCTGGTTTGACTGTAGCAAAGACGCAAACATGGGGCAGTGATGGGAAATGACCTTGGGAAGGCCGGGGGAAGCTGGGCTAAGGAGTCTGCATTTCCTCCTTGTGGCCCAGAGGATGGATGGAGGCGGGCACAGGGGCAGAGCTGGAATGAGCTCTGTTCTGCACATGCTTAGTTTAAGCCTCCTGCAGGATGGCTAGCGGGTAGCTGAACTTGGACCCTTGGAGACCCCAGGAAGCTTCCATCCCTGGTCCTTGGAGGCCCCTGCCCTTGGAGCTCACCTTGCGCTGGGCCTGCTCGTTCGCATGATGGAAAGTATCCTCCAGCTCTTTCTTCTCTCGCTGCAGGTCAGCCTGGGCCTGTCTCATCACAGTGACCTGTCTGGCCACTTCGGCATTCTGTGGAGAAAAGGAAGCCCCACAGCTCGCTGACTCTTCAGGGCCTTCTCCATCCCCTCCCTCCTCTCCCCATGGGAACATGGGAAAGAGCCTGGTTATGGGGCCTGGGGCAGGAAATCAGGCATAGGGTTCACCCTAGTACCTTGGGGGAGGAGGGCTCCCCCAGAAAATGCCATGTTCCTAAAAGACTCAGCTAACCATTATCAAGAAAACAAATGGAAACTCATTCAGCAGGCCTTGCTTGGTATCTCAGACGGTAATTAAGCCCTGAAAAGGGGAGGGAGCTGGAAGGCCAGGCCCCTGAGGGGTCTAGGTGCACAGGGAGAGAGTTCAGGCCCCCAATCTGCTCCTGCTCTCTTCATGGGAATCAGAAGAAGGCCACATAACCATGGTCTGGGCCATTCCAGGCTTCAGCGCTTTACAGATGTGGAAACGGAGGCCCGGGGAAGGTCAGTGACTGGATCAAGACCAAGGGATTTTAACCCAGGTTCTCTGACTCCCGGGTCAGTGTGCACTTTCCATTGTACCACACTGCCTATGACTTGAAGCCTGTTGCCATGGAACATGATGTCCCACTGCTGCTGTTTTTTTGTGTCACCGCCCTGCTGGAAGCCCCTGGGGCCTTCTGAGCCAGGCCTGAGAGGCCAGAGTAGGACTGGACAGCCTACCTTCCGCAGTAGGTCGGCATGGTTCTGAACCAGCTCAGTGTACTTCTCCTTCAGCTTGCTGTAACGCTGTTCATTTGTCTGGGCTTTCTCTGTAAGGTTAAAGGCCACAGTGCTCGCCCTCCTGAAGGAGGAAGGAGCAGGGATCCCTGGCATAAAGACATCTTCTCCGATCCACTTCCTGGCTCCCCTCCCTGCCCCAGAGCCTTGCGTAACCCTTGTTCCCCAGGCTCCATCACTACCAGCCCCCATGACCCCTCTGCGCTTGGCCAGTGGGTACAAGACAAACTATATGAACACCAGAAGGAACAGGTGTGTCAACTGATGCATTAACTAGAGACAGGAAAATCAACTGAGTTTTCTTTTTATAAATCTACTATAATTTCTCTGTAAAAAACACATTCTGAATACAAATAATTCCAAGCAGATAGTATGATTTTGCTTTGGAATAAGATTTTTCATCTTCCTATCTCTCTTTTCTTTGCCTGGGGGATGTACTGTTGTCCTCCCAGGAGATGTAAGTGGGGCCCTTCTTTAATACAGACTTACTTGTGTGTGTATTTTGGGTGGGGGATGGGGTTTGGACCTGCAGCTGTGGTCTCATTTACATAGGGAAACTCCTCCCAACGTAGTGTACCATTCCTGCTCTCTGGCTGCTTAGGGCCCGAGAGGGTCGGTGACTTGCCCAGGATCACACAGCCAGGAGGGGTCGGAGACTTGGACCCAGGTCCTGACTCTGAACCTGGCTTGCTATGCTCCACCCCTGGAGGCTTCTCTTTTTGTATCTATGACATTTAAAAACCTGTTCTTTTGCTGTGTCTGCATTATTGCCCACGCTTAGATGCTGCCTCCCTGACCCCAGGGCTCTGTTCTTTTCCTCCCTCCTCCCTTGGCCCTACCCCACACTCGGACTGAAACAGAGACCCCAAGCGCTTACTGGGAACGGCCCCATCGAGAGCCCTCCCTGCCTGACTCTCGTCCTCCCTGCCCAGCCCAGCCCATCCCCCCGGTCTCTCACTCTCGATCTCCGTGAGGCTCCGCTGGGCTTTCTCTGTGTCTTCTCGCTTTTTATTGAGCTCGTCCAGCTCAGCCCGGAGAAATTCGCTCTCATCGGCCGCCTGCCGCCGCAGGTGTCTCTGCTCTGCCAGCTCCGCCTCCAGCTCGCTGATCCGGCCCTTCAGCTGCAGCAGCGCCAGGTGTTTCTGGGAGAAGACCTCAGGCAATGAGAATGGTGACCCCTGCTTCTGTACTGTGTTGGAGGCAGTGCAAGAGGAGGGATCCCATGCTTGCCAGGGACCAGGCCATGTTCTTAGCACTAATCAAATCTATAGAACCGGTGTCTTGCTAAAGGAGCTGCTATCATGGCAGCTAAACCTGCCAAAGCATCTGATGTCTCGGGAGCTGGGGAGCTGGGGAGCTAAGGAGCCAGGCCGGCAGGCAGGAATGGTACAAGAAACATCGGGGATGCTCGTTCTGAGGCCAGCCATCAGACCTTGGGCCAGTGACCAGGACCAGGGATGGGGGAGGAAAGGCTGGCTCTAAGCCTGGGAGGTGGGGCTTCCAAAAGCCTTGGGTTTTCCAACCAGCAACCACAGTCAGAAGTCAAAGGCTGCTTCCAGTGGGTGAGGGGCTGCAGGATCCCCCTGAGCTTTTGAGCCATGGCGCACACGGAAGGCCATCGCTGCCATGGGCAGTACTGTTCACCAAAAAGCAAGCACAGTGATACAGTGGGTGAAACATGAGGTCAGGAGACCATCTTATTGGTGAGGTGGCAGGATATGACCAGATCCATCTTGGGCTTTCAATAGATAGAAGTTATCTGACTCATCAGAGCCTGTCAGAGCAGAACGAAGCTCAAGGCTTCCCAGCATCGGATCAGAAAGCACAGAGGTCCAGGGGGACCACCCTTGTACCTCAGCTTGAATGTTCTCCATCTCTTTCTTCAGTCCGTTGATCTCCCGGTACAGGTGATCAATCAATGTATCCCTGAAAACAGTGGGGCGAGAAAGGCTGCTTCTGCATTATTGACTTCCTGCTTTCTTTAAGTGGGGTGTGGGCGGGGATTCGTGGGAGGTGGCACTTTGGAAGCCCTTTGGTGCCAATCCTTGGGCATACAATGTGGAGCATGAGTTTTCAGCCTCATTTGATGCCCTCCTGGGGTTGGAGGAGCAAACACTGGAGGCCTCCTCCCTCCTCCCTTGGCCCTACCCCACACTCGGACTGAAACAGAGACCCCAAGCACTTACTGGGAACGGCCCCATCGAGAGCCCTCCCTGCCTGATTTGGAGTTAGAAACTTGGGTTCAAATCCTGGCTCTACCACTTACTATATGTGTGAGCTTGAAACAAGTCACTTTCCCTAGCATGGAGGCATCACAGAAAGGGTAACAGGTCTCAGTTCACAACGCTGCATTTGGATTCCAGCTCTGCTCATTTCATAAGTAACCTGGGACTTTGCTAAGTCACTTATCCCTTCTGGGCCTCAGTTTCCCAAGCAGTAACATGAAGAGATTGGATTAGATAATGTCCAAAGGCCTTTCCCACTTCACTCAGAGAGGCTGCAGGGCAAACATTTTGGAGGTCAGGACATCCTTTGTCTTTCCTAGCTCCTTCTAAAGAGACTGGGGAGATGGCTGACTGGGTTAGGAAGGCCGTAGGTAACCCCCAATGCCCCCCTGTTACAGGGTCACCCTCTCGTTCTGAGCCGGGCAGGGGCTGTTTTCTGCACTTACTTCTTTTCTCTGCTCCTCATGCCATTCTGATTGTTGAAGTTGAAAGGGTCACTGCTAAAAGAGCTGCCGAAGATGTCATCAAACTTGTTGTCAAAGAAATTCTGCGGCAGCCGGGAGAGAACAGAAACATGGGATTAGGGCCAGGGGACTCCATGCCCGGGACAAATGAAGGAAATCACGCAGACCCCACGGGAGGGCTGAGGCTGAGGCTGAGGCTCAGACATGGCCTAGGTAAGAAAACTTCATCACAGCTCAGGCAAATCCCCTAGGTCTGAATAATTCCTCTTTGGGAACCCAGATACTGTAGTAGAATCTGCTTAAGACATGCATGTCAATGACGTCTGTTCAGAGTTCCAAAGTACTTAGATGGTCTCTACCTTGGTCCCCTCCTCTTATTTTCCAGCATGAGAAAGTCTGCTTTCCTCTCACCTGCTGAGAAGCGGCATCCATTTCCATGAGGTCATCTTTCTCCAGGACGGGCTCACTGTCTGGGGACGAAGCCTCCACTGGGATGACCACCACAGGGCTGATGTGTTCTGATAAGGCTGAGGCCCGCAAGAAGTTGGGTGGGTTCTGAAGAGGGGAGACTCGGACTGAAGGCCTGTCGTGTTCCAGGGCCCTCCCATCACATCCCACCAGGCCCTCAGGAGGGACAGCCCCAGGGTCTCAGGTGTCCAAGGGCCCAGGGCGGCCTCACCTCTGGAAGCTGAGGGATCTGGATGAGGCGCTTGAAGTACTGCAGGTTGCTGGAGCGGTAGAAGAGGTCTTTCAACCTAGCGGGGGGAAGGCACCCCATGAGCAGACAGAAAGGCTGCTTCCTTAACAGACCTCCCCATGTTGAAGGGAGGTGCTGGTGCTGGGGCCTTCTCTGTGTCATTTGGATTCAATTATGATACCAATGGGGGCAAGGGTTATTATAATCAGTTCCCTAGCAAAGTATGTTTCCAGCAGCTGAAAGAATTCCCAAACAATGGATAATCCAAAACTTACCTCCGTTTGACTCTGGATTATATGGGGTTTTTATTTGGCATCTGATTTACCTTTTTAATTATATCTGGCCTACAGTAATTTTCAAAAAAGGCTGTACTTCCTGAGCTCATGCTAGCTGATGATAGGGAAGGGCCTGCAAGCATCTATGGTGCCAGTGGTGATACAGTCTGGCTTAAAGAAATACTTGCTGTGTGTAGACCACAAGTAGATAGTGGAGAATTGGCTGTATGATGCTGCTTAGGTAAAGAAGTACTTAGAACGCTCTGCCTCCCTCCACTAGCAGGCATTATAAATAGTCTAAGTGGGACACTCCTCATTTATGTCCTAATCTCTGTAAGATACTGAGATGAGGGAGACAAAAATCTCTTCTCTCCACTCCCCACTCCTACCTTCTACCTTGAACCCAAACTCTTATGACTTGGAAAGGCCACAGTCCTAGGACCCACATGGTCTGAGATTTCAAAAATGGCAAATCCAGGGCTTAGGACTTCCATCCTCCTGCTCACTGGAGCTCAGAATCCTCTCTGGTTCAGCCCTGTTAACCAGTCCCTTTGGACTCTCCAAACCTTTACAATCAATTCTCTTTTTGTTTCCAAAAGCATCAAACCTTCTACCATGCTACCTTCCTTCTTCTCAAGGGCAGGGAGGACACAATGAATGGCCAAATACTAGGGCAGAGGAAGAGAGATGGGGGGGGCACTTATTTGGAAAGACTCATTCAGATGTTGGGGAATTGGATGGAGTCAAGCGTCCGCTCCCCTCAGAAATGGAGCCAAGCGCTATGGGCTCTCCCATTCTCATAAGGCACTAGTATTTAACATTCAAGGAAGAGAGTCTCAGGGCCAGGCTCTTAGGATTTAATAAGTCAGCAAGGTCTGACTGTTAAATAGGCCATTTACAGGGCTGTTCAAAGGGAACAGGCAAACCAGGAGGTCGACTTAACCCTGAGCTTGCCCTCTGTTCACTCCCAGAGGAACCTAGCCCTGGGTCTGGGAGAACTGGGTTGGCTCCATTCTTGGGGACAGGGATGAGGGGGCTGAGAACCATCAAGAATCATTGAGTGTGCTGGAGTGTGAGGTCAGGACTCCTGGCCCGTCTCACTGCTGTGCTTCCAAAGAGCTGGAAGTGACTGCCGAGGCTTCTGGTTAACCGGGTGGGTAATAAAAGGAAGCCTGGGTGAGTCGTGGAAGGCTTGCTTGCTCTGCTTGCTGGGGGCTCACCATCTGATGCTATTGTACTTTTCTCTGAATACTCCAGAGGAGCTTGCTGAGCCCCCGGGGGGCTGGGGGGTTGCCACTGAGTGTCTCCATCAGTTCCGAGAAGGGCCCTAAACATTCATTAACCCCCCAAATATGTATTCTCCACCGATCCTTTGAGGGTTTCCCCAAGATAGCAAAAAGTGTTCCACTTAATGAAAGCGTCTTACTGTCCAGGCCAGACTCGGACATGTAATCACTAAAGGAGATCCATTCTGGTTGTGCAGTTAGCAGAGTATGGTTCTTTTGACCCCCTTTGTCTTTTTTGATCTTATTATTCCTGTTCAGTTGTGTCCGACTCTCCATGACCCTATTTGAGGTTTTCTTGGCAAAGATATGGGAGTGGTTTGCCATTTCATTCTCCAGCTCATTTTATAGAAGAGGAAACTGAGGCAAACAGGGTGAAGTGACTTGCCCAGGGTCACATAGCTGATAAATGCCTGAGGCTGGATTTGAACTCAGGTCCTCTTGACTCCAGGCTCACACTCTATCCACTGTGCCACCTTGCTGCTGCCTCGTCTCCTTTGATACCTCAGTCTAATTGTCTCCCCCTGTCTGGAGCACCCCATTAGTATCCTTTGACTATAGTTCTTACCCTAGCCACTTAACCTTATCTCTTGCTCCCAGCTTGCCCACTCCATGGGAGGCTCTCTCTTACCCCCAAGCCAACCAACCCTTCTCTCTCTCATCAGTCAAACAGTTTCGGGCAGACAAGTCACTTAATAAATGAGCAGCACCCCACCTCCTGGGGCCCCCCTCTAGGTCTGATCAGAGGGGAGGTGACAGCTTTGTCAGCCCAGACTCTCAGTGGTTCCTGGCACTTCCTGCTCCTGCTACTTCCCCTGACTTTTTAAAGAAGAGATTAATTAAAAACATAATATTAAGCAACAATTCAACTAACTGAACTTGCTTTAGTAACTATTTACATTTAAATAAGTTCATTTTCACTGCCTAAACCATGGCTAACTTTCCAGGCCCTCCAAGGCTTCATCAGGCTTCTTTCTCTTTCCCTTTTTCTCTTCTATGGTCATGGTTAGTGTGTTCTCTGTTCTCCTGCTTCTGTTTTGTCCTTCCCATCATTTCATCAGGATTTCCCCAGATTTCTTTATATTCCTTATACTTGTCTAGACGATATTATAAATATATTTAATGCATTTCTGAATTCCTAAACCTTTTCTGTGTCATCTGTAGCCTCTACAAAACTCCCCCCAAATTCCCATGTAATTTTTTGTGCCTACCTGAAATATACAGAAACCACAATGGGGCAAGTTGTGATGTGGAAGGGAAAACTGTCATGTAACACAATTTCTATAACTATTGCTCTATAGGCTGCTTCTAATTTTTTTGCAATTATAAATAATGCTGCAATGAAAACCTTTGGAGAGATCACACGATCATATATCTAGAGACGGAAAGGACCCCTGAGTACATTTCCTTTATTTTTTGGATGAGGAAACTGAGTCTCAGGAAAGTTAAAGTGACTGGCCCAGGTGGTAGGCCTCAGAGGTGGGATTAGAACCCAGCTCCTCTGACTCGGGAGCAAGTGCTCTCTCTATTGTGGCATACTGCCTTCCTCAGAGCATCCATCACCCGGCTGTGGGCCCTCTCCCTCATTATTCCTTCCCATCTGTATGTGAGAAAGAAAGAGTCTATTTCCACCGGCGTGATGACTGAGTCAAGAGGTAGGACTGTTTCTGTGACTGTGTACTGCCAGGTGGCTCTCCACAAAGAGTTCACAAGTTTCTTTTCCTGACTGTTCCCCTGTAAAATGCACTCACAGTGCAGACCCCATCCATGCCTGGCGGGAGCACCTCCCACGGCCAGAAGCACCAGACACTTACTTCTTGAATTGTTCCATGAAGCGGTCCCTGTGGCCCTGCAGGGTGTCAGCAGGAAGACCTGGAGGAGATCGGGAAGAAAAAGGCTGAGAGAAGGGAAGGACAGAAGCAGGAACAAGAGGAAGCCATGGGAAGTGAGCAGGGAGAATTCTTGTTTCCTCCAGAGTGGTTTCCAGGGCTACTGCTGAGACCTTGTGCCACAGGGCAGCCCTGGCACCTCCCAGGTCCAGCTCAGGAATCAAGGAGCCCCAGCCCGGGTGACAGCAGTGACCACACAGGCCCTGCAGTGGAGCGAGCGGGAAGGCTGAAGGACATCAGAGCTTGAGGGGCCTGATTGTCCTTCAGAAGCCTCCCCAGCCCAGCCTGCTTTGGGGTGCATTGTGGCATTCAGGGCCGGAAGGGCCTTTCCAAGACATGCAGCCCAACCTCCTTGTGGTTCAGGACAGGAGACTGGCCTGGGGTGGTGACAGGCCTGTGTGGAGTCATCTAAACGAGTGGCAGATTGGATCTTGGGTCCTTGGATTCTAAATCCAGGGCCCCTCCCTCTTCCACTGCTGTTCATCCTGAGCTAGGTGCAATGGCAAGAGCAGAAGCTGTAACATCTGACACAGGCTTCACATCCCCTGTGAGATGCCCCAGTAAGAAAGGGTTTTCAGCAAGGTCTCAGACATGTCATTGAGTGGTGAGCCTCCAGTGAGGATAATGGGGGCGTCCTGGGCCTGGAGGCAGAAAACCCGGGTTCTAGCCCCCCCCCCCCCGCCTCTGGCCCTGTACATGTCATTCTACATTTCTTGGCCTCGGAGCCCGCCTCTACAAAATTACAGGGTTGAGCTAATTATCTCTAGGGTCACTTTGAGGACTCACAATTCTATGGTTTTAAATATTTCAGATGTGGCCTGCAGCCCAGTAGGGCTTTTGAACAAAAACAATTCATTACCTCCATCATCCCACAAATAGAAACACGTTAATCACGAGATAAGCCAGGCCTATTTAGGGTCCCAGGCACAGGACAGAGGCTGCTGAATTATCTGGGTGAGGCTATGGAAAGATGCTGAGCCCTCGTCCTTTCTCATTTCCTCTCCCGGCCCAGGACCGATTCTTGTGGACATCCCCGTAGATAGTTGCCTTTGTCAGCTCAGTTCACGCCCCGTTCTCTTCCAGGTCACAGCCACATTCCCAGAGTGCTCGACTTCACCTAATCCCGCACTCCTATCATGAGCAGCTCAAAGTCCATCTCTTCTGTGAAGCCTTCTGGGACTGACAGAGAGGGGTTGCTTCCCCTTCCCTCATCCTCATTGTGACCACTTTGAGCCTCCCTGACATCAACAACCTTGAATTTTATGCTGATACTTTCTTTTCACTCCTAAAATATACCCTTGGTGTGTCTGTGGCTTAATACTTCCTGCCCATTTAGATCTTGGCCTGCCATTTCCATTCTCTTATCCCTTGGCAGGAGAAATGTTTATAAAAGTGATTGTCTGGGGTCATGCCCTGCTATGATAGGAACCAAGGTCTGTGTCCCTAATATGAGCGAATCAAAGCACATAGTGAGGGCTTTCTGGTCCTGATGGTGATGTGAGGCTAGAAGGTAAAAGGGAAGAGATTTTCCCTAGGGGAAAGTCACATCCCATGCTACAAGACTGTTGGACATCATGATGTCTAACATGTCACTGTCTTGATACTTAGGTCCTGAGCAGGATGCCATTCAAAGAAGGTTTTCCTGACCTGCTGCAGAATCTCCATGGCCTCCTTGGGCATTGGGGTCTCTCCAATAGGCCTTGACCTTGAAGCTTTACTTTCAGGTGACCCTGAGGGGACCAGGGATACACTAGTGGGGTGACCTGGACTGACCTCTAGAGATGGTCTTCAGGGAAGAAAGGAACAAGGGAGTCCCCTGACGTGGAGGCAATGGGAGGGTGCTAGGCCTCCTTCTGGACAATGCTGACTGAAAAAAGAGGAATGGGGAGGCCAAGCGAGGGCTGGGCCAGGGCTGGTGGAACTCACAGGAGTGAAGTTTGAAGAGGAGCTTGACGGTGTAATCATACAGGTGGCTGCAGTCCAGAATGACCTGGATCAGGGGGGCCAAGCGGCACTGCCCCGCTGTTGTCACCGACACCGAGCGGGACATATCCAAGGAGCTGAACACTAGAAAGGAAGGCGAGAAGTGATGGGGTGAGGCAGAGAGGGCAGAGGAGGTGGTCCACAGGCCAGTGAGCCAGCGGGACCTAAGGCTTCCTGACCCTTGGACAGACCGTGTCCCCAAAGGCCTCTGTGGGCAGATCCACAGGGAGAGGAGAGAGACACGGTCCTTGCTCTGAGGAGTGGGAGAGAGATGTCTCCTGCCCTCAGAGAAGTCCCCATCTGATGGGGAGACAGCAACTGAGAAGAGCATTGTCTGAGACCCCCGGCTTTTCTAGATTCCAGCACCGTGGTCTGGAGCCAGAACCTGCTCAATCCCCTGGCCCAGAGCTCCATACTAGTGGTCAACCAGTTAGCAAGCATTTATTAAGCACCTACTATATGCCAGGCATGGTGCTAGGTGTTGGAGACCCAGATACAAAAACATAATAGTCGCTGCCCCCCAGGTACTTACATTTTCTAATGTAATAAAACGCTGACATGCAATTAAGACCGACAAGTGTAAAACATCCCCAATTAGTATCCAGTGAGGGTCTGAGGCCTGTCCCATTCTAATTCCCCATCTTCTACTTTAAACCTGGTTCCTTCCTCCCAAGGACCCTCAAAATTTTGGAGTTGTTTTCCACTCTCAAATTGTGTTTCTTTTTTCTTCTTTGTCTTTCCTAGCCATGTTTCTTTCCATTTCTACTACTTGTCATATCTTCCCACTTGGCAAAGACATTAGTTTTTTGTTAGCTATGCGGTTTCTAGGCTCTTCTGGATTTCTCAGTGTGGACTTCTCACTTCTGTGGTTAAATTACCCTATGAAATAGTGGTGTCAATGTCTATTCTGTCATCTTCTTCCTATCTGGAGGCATAAACAGTTTACTGAGTAGGTCAGGTGGGGTTCTTTTAACTGCATGCTACATTATCTCATTTTTATTTTTATTTTTGCCTTTCCTTGTTGTTAGCAAAGATCTGCCAAAGGGTTAATCAGGTACAATATCAAAAGATTTAGAAGAGGTATTCTTAACTTTTTGTGTGTCCTGGACCTCTCTGGCAGCAGACCCCTTTGATGAAACCTATGGACCCCTTCTAAGAATCATGTTGGTTTTTTTTTTTAATTCATAATTGAAGAGTTGGTAAATTTCAGTAAGAGGTTAGTGAAAATAAAGATACAATTTTTTTTCCTATTCAAGTTCACAAACCTCTTGACATCTTATATACACACCTTTGGGAGTTGGTCCATGGAATCCAGGTTAAGACCCCCTTTTGTAGAAAAGAAAGCTTCTGGCATGTTGGGCAGAAGATTTATGGGAGGATAAGAGAAAACAAATCTCATGGGACCAGAAGGCACGGAGGGCTTGTAAGGTGTACTGAGGCAAGGAATACCCATGTTAATTAGACAACAGAAATGAATGAGCCTCTCTTTGCTTAGCCATGCTGGTTCAAAAGGCACATTCTGCCAATGGCTTGAGACCCAAAGCCTTTGGAGCAGGGCAGAGGGCCTAGCACAGCCTTGAAGACGCCAAGGCCACCGCCCTGCCATGATGAGGCATCAGACGAGAATGCACGTTGATTTTTTCCATGATTATTTCTGATGTCCCCAAACAGGCTGTAAGTAAGTTCTTTGAGAGAAAAGACTATGGCCTTCAGTAGTGCCTTGTACCATCTGCCCTATAGCACTGTGCCACGGTGGGCATTTAATGAGTGCTCGATGATTGACTGATCCAAAGACACATTCCATAGAAACCTGGATGAACAATGCACTTTACAGAATAGCCTTCTTGAGGCCCAGCAGTTAGGCCGGCCAGGACGGAAAGGACCATAGCCTAGGTTTCTTGGGAGGTTAAGTGTTACTGGCCTAAGCAGGATCAGGAGACAGCTAATTGACAGCCCAGGAGAAAAAGCTCTACTCCATTCTCAAGAATCCTTTGGCTCAGTCTTAGACCTACTGTTCCAAAATTGGCTCTTAAACCTTGAAAAACAGGTTGAGATGTTTGAGCCTACAAAGCTAGAAGGGAGTCCTTGAGGGTCCATGGTAGGGACATTCATAAGATGGGAGGGCTCTCTTGACGGCTGATCAGTGATATCACAGGGAAGATGTAGCCAGGCATTCTGACTATGGAAATGAGGAGAAAGCCACCAAGGCTGGTGACTCCAAGTGTCTCTGGATGCTGCTATTCCCCCATGTGCTGAGAGACCAGCAGGAGCTGGGAAGAGGAGGCCTCTTAACTGGGAACATTTCATTGATGTACTCTGAATGTGTAAGACAAAAAGACAGGCAGTTTAGACAAAGACGGCAGATCTGCGTGGTTTAGCATGTGCAAAGGAGGTCACTTAGCCCACTTTACCTCCTGGCTGGCTTCAGACACCTGGACCGTACTCTAGCTTTACATCCTGTCTGGATTAAACTGTCCATCGAGGCCATCTCACCATCTGTCTGTCACCTCTGACCTGGTCCTTCCACCTGGATTGGTGCCCTCTACACTAGACCTGGACCTAGACCTCCACCCTTGGGACATTCAGATCCAGTGCAGGAAAATTAACCTACTTATCTTTAGAGCTCCTGCCCTATGGTCCAACCCATTTAACTGCTGACTGAATGTGTGCAAGCTAGCCCGCCCTATCCTCTGCCTGTCCCTAGACACTAGACTTTGCTTCATCCCACCCTGGCCATCTTGCCTGCTGCCAACTGCATGTTTTTCCCTCCGCTTTCTACACCCCTTGAATGTGGTGTTTTCTCCTATTAAAATGGAAACTCCTTGAGGGCAGGGACTATGTCTTTTTTAAAAAGTATATTCCCAGTGCTTAGCACAGAGCCTGGCACATAGTAGGTGCTAAATAAAAGCATATTTGCTTCCTCATTCAGCAGGAGCCTAGTCTGAGTTGTTCAAATTCACTATTTGGCCAGAACGTAAAACACATTCACACGTAACACAAATATAAAAACACACTCCAAAGCAAAATGTAAATGAATTTCAAATTGTCAGTGTAAATGAATTTTGAGTGATCATCAGCAGAGATCACTGAGAGGCAGGCTACTGCACCGAATGCAAGTGTTCGTGGATTTCTTTCTCGAGGGCTGCCATGTTTTTTTCATGTGTGGACTCTTTGCTCTATTACATGGGGAGCCCTAAGCTTTGACCCAGATCTGAAAGAGATCCAGAAGGGCTGGAAATAGTACTTCCTGTCCCAAATGAACTTCTCTGACATCTTCACAGGATCCTGCTAAATAAAGTTAAGCTGACTGAGTTCCTTTTTAATTCGTCCTCCAGGCATCAGATGCCTAGTGTTTTTCTCTCACATCCTGCACTGAAGTGACAGGCCAAGGTTTTAGGATTTTGCCACCCTCTAGGTCAGAGGGAAGTGTAAGGTCAGGGTGTGCCACTGGACTCAGTGCATTTCATGCCTGGAACACTCTCCCTCCCTACCCCTGCCTTTCCTTTAAAGGTCACCTCAAGTATTTTCTTCCCTTGGGAACCTCTCCTAATCCCTCCCACTACTTGGGCCCCCCAGATTACCTTGTCATTTTTTTCTATCCATACATATGTACATACTGTTTTTCCCCTCTCTGCCTCTCAATGTGAAGTCCTTGAGGGTAGAGGCGGTTTAATTTTCCCCTTTGGGTCTCCAGGGCCAGCCCAGTGCCTGATATACAGCAAGCATTTCATAAATGCCTGTTGATTGATTGAGCAGGATACAAGGGTTCTGAGAGGTGATTCAGTCTCTCATTCAATGCCAGCATCCCCTCTGCGGTTCTCAGGGCAGGTGATCTCATCGGTCCTCCACTCAGGAGCCTCCAGGGGTGGGGACCTCTACTCATTCCATTGTGAAAGATGTCTGATTATTAGAAAGTTCTTCCTTCTTTTTGTCATCCCTCGAGGGGAGGGAGGAAGTGTGGAGGAAGCTGCTGCTTCCTTGCTAGGGCAAGATGGGGAAGTGCTGAGAGGCCAGAGAACATTCTGAGCCACTTGTAGCACCCACAGACAGGCCCCATGAAGTGCGACCCGCGGCGTTCAGTTGGAGGACAGAGGCCTTGCTGACTCTCTTGAGTCACTGGCTCTGGCATCAAGGGAGCGACAGCATGGTTTTCCCACCCCTCCCCCAATGACTGGAAACCCTGCAAAGACAGGGACTGTTTCATTTGTGTCTCTGTAGTCCCTTAGCTCATGGATCTGATTGTATCTCCTCTGTGCACATTGTATGCACCCATTCATGCACGTGTCAGAGTGTAAGCTTTTTGGGGCAGGAACTCTTCCCTTTTGCTTTAGTGTTTAGCCAGCACCTGGCAGGCAGAGATTACCAAGTGCTTGTTGTCTGACCTGTGACCTGAATGCCAACACTCATAGAGAGACAGAGCATTTATTAAAGACTGTGCCAGGTGCTGGGCTAAGCACCGGGGATCTACATGCTAGCAAGGAAGATGGTCCCTGCCCTCAAGGAGTCTGCATTCCAGCAGAAGAGCTAGAAGGCGGGATGCACTTGCTGTGTGCACGGTGGGGACTGCTGAGCCTGGTGGTGGCCATCCAGGACCCAATGGCTTCAGAGTGGAAGGGTCACCAGGAATGTGGAGAGACACAGGGTGAGCTTCGTCTTTCTGCTCAGATATGATCATTGGGTATTTGAGTCGTCACCCCTGGGGCCTTGAGGACTGGCCAAGTCTGGGGCATCTATTTCTGCTCCAGCGTTCCAGAGAAAAGAGGTGACAGATACAGGTGCTCTTCCTTTGGAACCTTATTGACAGTGGAGCTGGTGTGGGCAGGGCCTGGCCTAGAAGCTGGGTGTTCTCCTGCAGCTTGTACGGGATGGAAAGGAAGGAGACTCACCAGTCTGGAAGAGGTTCAGCTCACACTCCAAATAGTCGAACATCTCGACTGTCAGCTGGAAACTGGACCAGAGAGAAAAGAGGGGGCTGGTTGTAGCCCCAAGGATAGGTCTTTTCTTGCCTTCCCCTGCCCCAGGGGTGGGGACCCTGCAGCCTCGAGGCCACATGTGGCCTTCTAGATCCTGGGTGGGTACGGCCTTTTGACTGAGTCCAAGTTTTACAGAACAAACCCTTTTATGAAGGGGACTTGTGTGAAGTTTGAATTCAAAGGGCTGCACTTAAGGACCTAGAGGGCCACATGTGGCCTCGAGGCCCCAGCTCTGCCCCACCCCGTTCCCAGTGTGTGCCTGTTCCTCTTACAACAGAGGCAGCTTCTCTCTTACACCTTGCAGCAAGATCCAAATAAAAGGGTTACTCGGACCAAGGGTAAAGAGATTGAGGCGTGAGCCAGGAAGGAAGTGTGGCAGCCCCGAAGGCACCCTTCCATCCATCAGGGCCAACATCCGTGGCTGCCCTCTGTCTCCCCATCAGGATCCCAGGCGGAGAGGGCACTCACAAGCACATGGGCAGCCCGTGTCAGGAGGAGACAGGAGCTCAGGGAGGGAGGGAGGGTTACTTACAAGTTGTTGACATCGCTCTCTCCTGCCTCATCCAGTTGCCGGTCACTCATCTGGAGGTTGCCTGGGAAACGGGGGTTCTGGAAGGGAGGAGGCCAGAGCATCAGCTCAGCATCCTTCCCTGGCGGGGGGCTCAAGTGGGGCCATGGAGTAGAGTGGTTAAGTCTGCCGGGCCCTATCATGATGTCCTCCCCCTTCTCAGGGTCTGTGAGGGGTCCTGTGTGGGTGCCCACATACGGAGACCCTTTTTTCGGATACATTCACCAAGGAGAATATCCAATTTGTATTATCAGAGGTAAATTCTCTCCTCCATTGCGCAGGCCCACAAAAAGGCTGCTCCCCAGTTTATTTGGCTCTTCCAAACGCCGTGAAACCATATGAGAAAGTAAAGCCATGACATAAAGCCTGGGAATGTGTTCGACTCCCCCATGTCTATACTGATGAAGTAGAGCAGAGGATTGTGGGTACCCAAAGCAGCTGATTAAGGCAGCTTGGTGGTAAGGTGGACTTGGAGTCAGGGAGACCTAAATTCTAACCCTGCCTCAGACGATTCCTAGCTATGTGACCCAGGGCAAGTCACTTCAGCCCCTCTGCCTCAGTTTCTTCATCTGCAAAATGGGGATAATAGTGACACATCCCTCCCAGGGTTCTTGTGAGGATCAAATGAGATAATATTTGTAAGCCTTAGAACACTATAAATGCCAGCAATTATTAGAGTGATTGTCCATTGCAAATTCCTATCTTAGGCTGGCATTCCCCATCCCCCTCCTGATTGTGGGACCCGGGCTTTGGCAGTGGAAAACTCATTTTCATGTTAATCTACCAAAAGTGAATTAAGAAAGCCAATGTGCTTTGGGGAACATCTTAGGCCACCCGTCCTAACCCTACAGAAATCATTTTTGGACGACTCATCGTCTAGTCTAGAGCCGCCTGCAGCAGTGCTCTTTCATTAATGTGGCGGGGTGATTTTGGAGGAGATTCGGGCAGTGCGATCCAGTGGATAGAGGAGCAACCTCCGAGTCAGGAGGGCCTGCCCCTAGCATGTCCTGCCTGGCTGACCCCAAGCTGGCTGGGAGGTTTGTGCTTGTGGGGCTCCAGGTAGGCGGAGGCCTGCGACTTGTCTAGCAGTCACTGGCCTGCCTCGGCAGAGAGTGTTTCCCCAAAGGGAGCTCTCTACATCACCAGGGTCACAGGTCCCCAAAGACTGGCGGGAGCAGGGATTCTTGGTAAAATCATTTTCAAAATGATCTTAACAACCCCAGCAAAAACAAAGGAAAGGCTTCTGTTCCCTCATGGCAATGTAGTCAAAGCCATCTCTGATAAGTACTTGAACAAACTAGCAGCCACTTCATGCCTCGGTTTCTTGCTGACCTTTGTCCTCTTCGGACTGTGCCTGCAGAATTGCAGGGGCTGCTGCACCGCTGGCTGCCGCTGGGACATCTGTGTCCTGTTTTCTCCGCTTGGCTCAATGATATTCTACTGCTTTTGTATATCCTACCTTAGGTGGCCATTTCCTAACCATCAAATGTATCCTTTGTAGATTTTTGGGGGTATTACAAAACTGCTATGAATATTTTTGTACAAATGGGTCTTTTTTTCCTTCTAACTCTGTCTTTAGGGTCCACCTGCCTGAGTGGTAGAATCAGTAGTTCAAAGGATATGAATAGTGTTGCATTATCATGTATTACCAGACTGCTCTCTCCAAAAGATCAAGCCAATAAGCAATTCCACCAACAATGTAAGAGTGTGCATGCGAATGGGGATGACTAACTGTTCCAGGGCCAACAACAGAAGGTAAGATAGCCACAAAGGTGCCCTCGGCTGACACTCCCCAACAGAACACAAGCAGCCGATGGCCGGACGGTGCAGGCGTGAGCGGCTTCCCAAAGCATTGAGGAGCAGCCACTGCTGGGATGGAGCAGTCATCCCGCTGTGCCCAGAGGCAGAAGGAGAGATGGGGATCCCCTGATCCTGAGGGCCCCAGGAGAAAGCGCAAGAGGGCGAGGCTCACCTTGGTGTGGTACTCCATCTTGGTTCTCAGCAGTCGGAGGTAGATGCTGCAAAGCTGGCCATAGCCCTCGCTCAGGTGACCCTGCCGCAGAAAGGAGAGAAAGAAGGTTCGGGCCAGGGAAAAGATCGAAGGGCTCTCAGGAGGAGGATCTCAGAGCGAGTGGATCCTACCTCTCCATTTAAAGATGAGGAAGCCGAGGCCCAGGGAGGGGAAGGGACCTGCTTGGGACCACAAAGCTAGGAAGCATCAAAGGTCCTCAGCTCCTCAGAGCTCTTTCTTTTGTAGTGAGGTGCCCACTTTAGGGCTCTTGGGCCCCCCACCCAGAGTAGCCCTAACCTGGAAGTGGGCACTCTGCCCATCTGTATATTGGAGAGAAAAAGGGGACCCTGGCTTCTGAGGGGCTGTTCTCTGGAAGCAGGAAAGCATTTTGAAAATAGCGTCACAAGGATGTGAATCATAGTCTTAAGCTAAGTGTTCGGGCCTAGGCTGTGAGGGTTCAAAGTCAAGCTCGGCCCAGAGGATTCACTGAGTCATCTGTTGAGCTGACAAGGCTCCCCTTCTAGAAAAGCCAGGGTCGATCTTCTCTGGGCCCTGCCTGGTCAAACCTCCAGAATCCTGAGCACCGACCCAGAGGGGGCTGGAGAGAGTCAGGCAAAGTAAGCCGGAAGAATGTTTTCAGCTTTTAACATTAAAGGAGGGTAATGCTGGCCCATGCTGACTCCTTGCACAATGAGACAAGAGGGTCAGATCCTGGGTGATGTGGGGGCGAATAAAGGGAAAGAGAGGTGCTCTGTCACTTCCTCCACCAATGCGCTTTCATAAAAGGCTCTCTCTGCGCCTGGCACTGGGCTGGGCCAAAAGCAAAGTGGGCCCTCCCCTCAGGGAGCATGTATCCTGTCAAGAAGACAGCATGTGCACATAAGTGTATTAGTCTGAATAAATATAAGGTAAATTGGTAGAGGAAAGAGGCAGGCTCAGGAAAGAGCCCATATAATCACAGGGCTCAGGTCCAGGCCTCTTGGGTATTGATGCTATGCTACCGTTTGGTAGAGTCCTTAGCACGTCCATATTCTTGGGGAGAGCTAGTTGGGGCTTAGAAATGAGTCTGTCGCCTTGTACCCGTAGCTAAAGGGAAAAGACAGGGGAATGACAAGGCTCATGACCTTTAGAGCCAGAAGGGGCATTGGAAATCTCCTTCATACACCTCATTTTACAGATGAAAAGATATGAGCAATGAGGGAATGTGTTTTCCTGGATTTAGCGTATTTGTTATAAGGATTTTGTTTTTCTTTTTAACTGAGAGGGGAGGTGGGAGAGAAAATGAATGCTTGTTAATTGAAAAAAAAGTTACATAAACCCCTTCAAACTTTCTCTGCTTCTTTCCCTCTCATTCTAGACACACCCATGCAGATGCGCGTGCGCGCACACACACACACACACACACACACACACACACACACACACAGAGGCAGAGAGCGCTTAAGGCCACCATTATGGCCTCCCCAGGCTGAATCTGCCCAATTCCTTCCCTGATATTCATAGGACATGGTCTCCTGCGCCTCACCATCCCTCTAGCAGCAGGGCTAGGATTCAAACCCAAGTACCCCTACTCCCAATCCAAAAGAAGAGACCTGTTCCCAGGATGCAGAAGGAGACATGTTTTTGTACATGACCAATACGAGGATTTGTTTTGCTTCAACCACGTCGATTTATTACAAAGGTTTTGTCCTGCCATTTTTTTTTCCATTGGGGAAGAGAAGAGATGGGAAGGAGAGAAAATAAATACTTTTTAACTGAAAAAAAATTTTTTTAAAAGAAGACCCCAGTCCCAAAGGCTGTCTCCAAACTCACCCACATCCTGCTCATGTCACTTAACTCATTTTTGTATCTCAGGGAGTCTTTCAGGACCTGGGGAGAAGAAGGGAAATTACTCTGTGTCGTTAAGAGGGCAGCCAGGGTTTTGGGCGGGGAGAGGAAGGAATGTGGATCTGCAAAGCTGGACAAAGAAGGGGAAGAAGGCACTCAGCCCCTCAGTGGGGACAAAACAGAGCAGGTCACGGTCAAAGTAGCAGAGCACTAGGGAAGGGGGAACCTGACAGGCCAGGGCCACCAGCCCTCCTTCCCCACCTCCGTCCTCTTGTTCCCAGGCACAGGCCCTGCTGACTCACATTGGGATGCCCGTCCCGAAGGAGCTTATGAAATACATGGCAAAACTTCCAGCAGAGCACAGCGTTGCTGGACAGCGGCAGACGGTTCACCACCGACCAGAAGGTCTGTGCGCCTTTCTCGTGGTGGGTTCCCAGGATGCACGGTGAGGAGGATGTTAAGGAAAAGATGAGCATATGTCCTTGGCACAGGCAGGGAGGCTCCTGGGAGCCAGAGGCTTCAGTGGCCTTTGGCTACCTGGTGGTTGTGAAGGGTCATGGTCCCCCCCAGCCCTCTATCAGGGCACCTGCTCCCCATCTCTTCTTACACTCTAAAATGCCTTCTTCCAGAGGCCCCATCTACAGGAGACCTTGTATTTACTCCCTTGGATTTTGCTGGAAACAGCCCTGTCCAGGGCAGCCACAGTACCTAGAACGTCCTGCCTTCCTACCAACCCAAAGGGTTCCTCAGGTCTCAGTTGTTCCATGGAACCTCCCTACATTGATGTAAGCAGAGCTCAGAATGCCACCTGCCCTGTCTGTACACAGGACACCTGTGGCTCCTCCCTCTGCTTCCTTTCCATAAGTATCTACAGGGCCAGCTACTATCTGCTGCCCTGATCCTGCAAAGGTACAATGACATAAACATCACTGTTCATTCTTACCTCGTCCCCACTTAGTGCCTCTGCTCGAGGCCATCACCTCTTGGAAAGCAAGGATCAGGTCAAGGTGATATTCTGACCCACAGAATTAGGTAACTTATAAAGGCCTTTGGATGCTGCTGCTGCTGATCTCAGCTAAAAGTATTCAAACCTTTAGATGAGGAGGGGTCACAGAATCACTAACTTAGAAATAATATAATCCCGGCCTTTCTTTTTACAGATAAGGAAGCAAAGGCCCAGAGGAGCCAGATCGAGCTTCTTCCTCAAAGTTATTTAGGGAGAAATTAGCACAGCTGGCATTCAGAGTCACACCTTCTGAGCCTAAACCCAATGTACTTGCCACTACATGGCCCAGGAGGGCCGACTCAAGCATGTGGACTTCTAATCTGTTGGACTGGCCCTGCTGCCACTCCCCTGTGGGCTCCCATCACAGCGAGGCTCTCCCTCCCCTAGACCACATGTGTTGAACCCCTGGTGCCCCTGGATTCAGATGCCTGGTGCAGCCAGAGAACACAGGCTCCAAAGGGGAAAGGCTGCCTGAGGGGCAGACAAGCCCAAGACCCTGGCTGGGAGGCTCTCCACAAACTTGGAGCAGTTAACCAAGCCCTTGACTTGATTTCATGATCATCTGATTCTTCAAAGGCAGAGGAAACTGGAAAGGAAACAGCTCTTCTAAGTCTGATTTCTGATCAAAGAGGAGGAAAGGGCCGCACAGTGTCTCCTTCCATGAATATCTACCCATGGCATGGAGGGGCTCCAGCGCACTGCCAGGGTGAAGGAGGAGTCCTACAGACTGCTGCCAACCTCAGCTTCCCTAGCGGCAGAGATCACAGGGCACCGCCGGGAGCGGCTTGTGTTGTAGAAAGGATTTTGATAACTTTCAATACAACTGATTTCCTTTGTAATCCCATGTATTTTATTTTATTTTATGTATTTAAAAACTATTCTGTATTTCCCATGGTTTTGCAGCTTCCTTTTGTTAACAGCCATTAATGGAATTCTGTACAGAGATGCACACTAAAAGTCATTAGTCTGTGCAAAGCGTGTACTAGAAGTAAATACATTCATGTCTACCACTCTTTAAAGAAATTGCACCTGTTATCTTTAAGTGGGATTGCCTTTCCCATTTCGTACTCCTCCCTCACCCCAAACCCTTAACCCCTATTCAGGGGGAGGAGGAGGAGGCTCTTAGAAACTCTAACTTCTACAATTTGGGAGAGCTTTGCCATATATAAATGTATATGTATGTATAAATAGACTTTTTCAGGCATGGGAGAGAGGACAAAAGAAACTGCATTATAAAAGTACCCAATATACAAAAGAATATGCACAATTCAATAAGGATGTAGTGAAGCTCAATATCTTTTTTGACTTGTCTTTTGCATAGCTGTATGCTCTTATTTCATAATGTGACTTGCTCCCTGATTGTGTGAAATTATAGAGAGATATTCAGTACCACTGACCGTGTTTTCATTATACTGCTGGATTAAGTTATTTTACTGAGTTGCTCTCTTGCCAATTATTGTTAGTAAACTATGTAATGGCTTAGGATGGTGGTCATGAGGTCAGTGTAAATTTTTTTTCATTTACATGTTTCCATTAAGTAAGTTTACTGAAACCTTAATAAAATATTGGCTTCATCTAAAAACAAAACAAAACAAAACAAAACTATTCTGAGAAGGGGTCCATAGGCTTCAAAAGACTGCCAAAGCTGTCCACAACACCAAAAAAAAGATAAGGACTCCTGCTACAGAATTTCTCTATCAGTATTACCTATCCATCCATTTATCATCTTTCTCTATTGTCTATCTCATCTATTCCTTTATCTTATCTATTTCATCTATCTCATCTATCCTTCATCTATCTCTATCATCTCTTCATCTATCTCATTTATCTATTCATCTATCTCATCTATCCATCCATCCACCACCCATCTATCTATCTATCTATCTATATCTATCTATCTATCTATCCATCTATCTATCTATCTGTCTGTCTGTCTGTCTGTCCGTCCGTCCGTCCGTCCGTCCGTCCGTCCGTCGTCCTGTCCGTCTGTCTGTCTGTCTGTCTACCTATATCTATCTATCTGTCGTCTAACTATCTCTTGGAACAGACTCCACAAACAGACACTTACTGAGGCCCAGAACTCAGTGGGAGGAGAATGAATTAGACTGTCTTTGGGTAACTTCGAAGTCTTTTAAACGATTTTTAAGAAGCCTGGTCTTTTCTCTAAAACAAAGGTCCATCTTTTCGTTAACATTTCATTGCCCTGTAGGCATTAGATGGCTGTGAGTGGTAGGACACTAGAGTGACTAAAGAATTGAAAATGATCATTACCCAGAGGTCAATGGAGAGGGGTATGGGTGGGAGGGGGTGCACCACCTACTGCCCTCCCCCCAGGGTTATTGTGAAGATCAAATGAGATTATATCTATAAAGTGCTTTGCAAACCTGAAAGGGCTTTGTAAATGCTAGTTATTATTATGAAGTGGTGTATGTGACAATGGGCCTGGGAACAGGGATCTTCGTGGCTTGGTCCAGGTGAGGAAAAGCCCTTTGTTGGCAAGAAAACACAAGGGAAGAGGTAGAAGGGAAAGCAGAGGACTGTTCTGGCACAAGAGAATGAAGAACTTGCTCATGGTGCATAAATAAGGAATAACTGATGGGTGGCCCATGTGATAGACCAGTATAGAATGAGAGGAAGGCCTCCACCATATTGGGTAGATCTCTCACCGCCATGATGAAATGATGGGAAGACATGACCAAGTTGCATGGGATGGACAGGCATGGATGGGTTGACATCTTCATCTTGGAGAGAATGCCCACATCAATGAGGTTTAAGGTCCATTTGAATATTTGAAAGTCACGGGGATGATGAATTAAATTTGCTCTGCTTGGCCTGAGAGGACAGAAGTGCTACCAATGGGTTACAGAGAGATGGCTTTAGGATCATCGTAGAGAAAACATTTCTAACAATCAAAGTTGTCCCAGAGTGGATGAACCAGTTGGATGGCTGAAGGTCTCCAGTGGAAGCTGAATAACACCTGGTTGGGGGGTGTCCTATTCTGGTACAGGTTGCACTAGAAAGCTTTGGCTGTTCCTCCCAGCTCAGAGATGCTGTGATTTCATTTTTCCTGGCTAAGTCAGGAGGCTTTTTCTCACTCATCACAATTCAGGAAGGTCTGATGCAGGGACTAGGGCCTTTCAGATGCCTTCTCTCCTGGTGGGGCCTGGGTGTCCTCAGAATAGCAAGAAGGATGTTGTAGACTGCTGAGAATTGCCTCAGTCCCAGCCTTACTCTTCCCTGTCTCCCCAGTTCTGTTCTGTTCTCCCCTTCTGGACCCTTCTGTGTTGGACCTGGCCCTGACTAAGTGTTTCAGCCTCTCAGGCAACCTCCTTTTGTTTTTTCAGGGCTTCTGGTGCCGGCTTTCCTGCGTTCTACCTTGTCCACATGCGCCCGAGACTTCTGTCTGCCAGGGATGCTGTCTACCTTGCCACATGGATGCTGGTGGGCACTCCCTGGACCTCTGCCAACTTGATGGGGTCTCTACATGCCCCTCCTCAGCCCTGGCTTGCTGGCTCCTGTGGGGGGTTTTCCATCCCCCTTTCTGGGGTTGCTTGCTTCTTAAAGGCCCCCGTAAGCAGACCTGGCTCCTCAACCGAGCCCCACCTTGCAGTTCTGAAGGACTGGAGGTCACCCATTCTTAACCTGAAGCATCCATTGGACTCAGCCTCCTAATCCTACAAGGCAGAGGCCTTCAAGACAGCCATAAGCTCCTGGCTGTGCCAAGTGTGTGGCCAGCATGGTCAAACCTAAGACAAAGGCAGGGTAGGAGAGCTCGCCCTCGGGCCCAGGGCCTTGAAAATGTAGCTGAGCATTTCTTCTGGACCCTAAAAAACCCCATGGAAAGTTCTTTAAAATCTCTCCAGAGGCAGGGACAGGGTGGGAAGGCAAACGCTGGGGGGGATACCCAGGATCATATGTAAACTTGGGCAGGGGAGTCACCCTGGAACCTCTAAGGCTCCTTTCTAGATTTAGCCTTCTCTCCTCCTGAAGCCAAGAATCTATTCAGGCCCCAAGCACTGAGGCACTTCAAGCCTTGCAGAGACTAGATCCAATCACAGGAAGGCCCCTCCCCCACCTCAGCCCCCCAAGCCAGGAAGGGGATCTCCAGGCAGAAGGCCCCTATCCCATCACCTAGCCCTCCAAACTGGGCAGGGGATCTCCAGGCAGAAGGCCCCAGTCCCGCCTCACAGCCCCCCAAGCCAGATAGGGGATCTCCAGACAGAAGGCCCCCACCCCTACTACCACTTCCCACATGTGGACCCCCTGCAGGATTCCCTCCATCTGGGCAATGTCCAAAAGGATATTCCTGGCATGTTTTTCCTTCACGGCCACTTCCTGGGTATTAATAGCTTTATTGATGCTGACCGTCTGAAAAACAAACAACAGAGAAGGGGGGTGAGATGAATCAGTCTGAGAGTGGCCCCCGAGGTCCCCAGACCCCCATCCCTGCCCTCTGCTCCCCAAGCCCCTTCCCAAGGCTGGGCCCCAGGCAGAAGCTGGGGCTGGGGGGGCGGGGGCTGGGCTCCCAGGCCAGCTGGCTGTGGCACCCGGGAGGGATTTACTGCTGGCCTCTTGTTAGCCTCAGCTGCTGCCCCTGGGCTGCCACTCATTCACTGGGCACAACAACAGCGATTAAAGCGGCCACAAAGAGAAGCTTTTCATTCTCCAGGGAAACATTATTCCTCTGGGGGCAGAAGGAAGAGGCAGGAAGGGCCGGAGGAGAGCTGCTCCCCCTCCCATCTGTCCTGAGCAGATGGAGCCTGTCCACTGTCTACCTGTCCATCCTGCCAGGCCGCTCCTTCCCTCTAGCCACGCTGCTGCTTCCAGGAAGCCTTCCCTGACTAACCCGAGGCAGCGGCTCTGCCCCTGGCTTTAAGCATTCCCATTTGCTTGGTCAAAACAGATTCCACGGAGGGAGGGACGTCGAAACTACTGACAACAAAAATACGTTTTAATGCACTGATCACTTCCTGTCTGTCCCCTTCCGATTTACTACATCATAGCACATCACGGCCCTTGGAGGCCGTCCAGCCAACACTGACATTAGAGATGAACAAACTGAGGCCGGGAGCGGCTGGCCTGAGGTCACAGTGTCCCGCCTGGGAGCAGAGTCAGCTGTGGGGACATGGTGGAGGCTTGGCCAAGCCTTCTTTATGGGCCGGCCTTCCAGTCCACCGATAAGCCCCAGGCATTCACCAGCCATGGCAGACCAGAGACTCTTCAGTCAGCGCTGTGACTTTGTAGTGACGTTTATTTGGGACACTTTGGGACATTTCCTTTTCAGTATATCCTTATAGAGTGAACTCCCAGAAGAGAAATCATTAGGCCAATGGGACAGTCAATCTTATGACCATTAATTATATTGAGACCTAGACTCAAAATCAGGGAGACCTGAGTTCAAATCCTGCCTCTGACATAGGCTGGCTGTGTGACTTTGGGAAAGTCACTTACCCTCCCCGTGTCCAAGGTGCAGAGGAGGTGCTGATAGGTATCAGTAGGGAGGTTCCTTACGAAGAGTTCCCTTCCCTAATGAATCACAGGCTCCTTCCCTGCTTTTGCCTCTAACTGGTTCATACCAGTTTACAGTTTCACTAATGATGTAATGGGCAGCTAGGCGGTGCAGAGGAGAGCAGAATCAGGAGGACCTGAGTTCAAATACAGCCTCAGATACTTACCAGCTATGTGACCCTGGGCACTTGTGCCTAGCACTACACCTGGAACATAGTAGGGGCTTCATAAATGCTTGTTGACTTCTCCAGCACTGTATGTAACCTCTCTGCCTCAGTTTCACCATTTGTAAAATGGGGCTTAAAGCACCAATTTCACAGGGTTTCTGTGAGGATCATATGGGATACTCTTGGTAAAGTGCCTCAGGAATCTCAAAGAGCCATTTAGAAGCGAGCTCTTTCTTGTGATTTATTCAGCATTCCCCAGCCACTGGGCATGAAAGTTGCTTCCCGTGGTTTTGTTTTTTTTCTTTCCCCAATAAAGCCAGTCTGGATGCTTCTGCACAGATGAACCCCTTCCCCCTGAAGTGATGTCCTTAGGACAGATGGACAGCCTGGCTTGTTGGGTCAAAGGAGCTGATCAGACTGTGTGTCCTCTTACATCCTGCCAGACTGCTGTGGCACCGACCTGGAGTGTCACCCACAGTGTCAGTGGAAAGGGCCTGTTTCCCTGCAGTCCTGCCATAATTGAATTTTATCCCTTTTTAAAAAGCTTTCTGGGGGCAGTCTGGTGCTTTCCTGACTCTCTCTGCCTGCAAAGATCTCTCATTTCTCTGAACTTTCAGAGTCTATTCCAAAGACTCTGACAGTTGGTATCTCAGTCCCTCCCTCCAAACAGACTAATTAAGGTCCTCTGTGGCAGAGAGGGGTCACTCCCCACAGCTCCAGCTACAGTTAGGTCTACAGTTAGTCTGTGGGGCGTGTGGCCTGTCCTCCACCTTCAGATCCGGCTGCTGCCTCCCAAACCAAGGCAAAAGCTGAGTTCTGAGGGTGCCTTGGGCCAGCCAGTGAGAGGGTGAGTCTGGTGGTCCCCCAGCTGACTGTCTTGCCTCTGGAGAAGCTGGGGCTAGAGAACATCCCCCCACCTCCCAGGACTTGCTGTTCCCAGGGTTTTCCTGGAGTCACGGAGGCCTGAGACCATACAGTGCTTCCCCTGAAAGAGCAGTATTGTACACCGCTTCCTGACCCAGCCCTTCTGTACCAGGCTGGTTCCGGAGGGCCAATTAGCAGCAGCCACACACAGGAAGGACGACTTTCTCTTGGGCATCCCTCCTACTTCCATCCTCTTCCCCCTTGAGGCAGCCTAGATGGGGCTGCAGCCAGAGGGGGAAAAATCACCCCACTGTTTTCTTATGGGAAGCAGGGCATGGGCCCTGCCCACTCAGTGCCAGCTGGGCTCTACCCAGTCACGAACACAGCTCCTGGCCAGGGCCCAACATTAGGGCTGCCTCCTGCATGCCCAGGGCCAGGCTGGCTCATTAAGGCTTCAGGGCATGGGGTAAGCAAAAGGGAAACAGCCAGGGCCAGAGGCTATAATAGGGCCTTATATGGGGGTCACTTCAGTCCTGAGGGACCACAAATAGTTTAGAAAAGATTGCTGGCAGGTGTGTGTGAGAAATGGAGAAGAAGGAAGAAAAAGAAGGAGGGAAAAAAAAGCAAGGAGAGAGGGAGACAGAGATAGAGATAGATAGGAGGGGGTGGAGAAAGGGAGAAAGAGAGAGAGAGAGAGAGAGAGAGAGAGAGAGAGAGAGAGAGAGAGAGACAGAGACAGACATACTCTGGATGGAGAGGAAGATAGAGGGAGAGGGGGAGGAGAGAGAAGAGAGAAAGAAGGAGGGAGGGAGAGACAGAGGAGAGAGCCAGAGAGAGGGAAAGAGAGAAAGAGAGAGAGAAGAGAGAAAGAAAGGGGAGAGAAAGAGAGACACATTCTCTGGATGGAGAGGAAGATAGTGGGAGGGAGGGACAGAGAGAGAGAGGAGAGAGAGAGAGGGAAAGAGAGAAAGAGAGAGAAGAGAAGAAGAAAGAGAAGGCAGAGAGGGAAAGAGAAAGAGAGAGGGAGAAGAGAAAGAATGAAAGGGGAGAGAGAGAGAAAGAGAGAGGGAAGGGAGAGACAGAGACAGAGATAGAGAGAAACAGAGAAAGGAGGTGGAGGAGGTAATGAGAAAAGAAATCATACAAAGGGGGTTATGGAGGAAGATCTTCAGGGAGGGCCATCACTGAGAGAGACCTGGGAAGAGTGGAATGGAAAGGGCCTTGAATTTGGAGTCAGAACACATTGTGGGTGGGCTACCTCGGTTTCCTTTCTGGTAAAATGAATGGGTTTTACAATATCCCTGTCCAGTACTAACACTGCATAATTCTGTGCCCTTCCAAGCTCCACCCCCCCACACACGCCTCGGCCTTATTAGAATTAGTGGGTCTTTCTAGCCTTGTGCAAATAGTTCACAGAACCATTTGAGATCTGTGCGAGAGACCTAAGCAGCCATTTAGCCCAGGAATTCTTAACCTTGTTGGACCCTGATGTCTGGTGAAGCCTCTGTTCACACCTTCTCAGAATAATGTTTTTAAGAGCATAAAATAAAATAGGATTGTAAAGGAAGCCTTTATCTAAATATACATAAAAAAGTCCAGAGATCCCAAGTTAAGAACCCTTGATCTGGTCCAATCCATACCTGAAAAAGACTCTCCACACTGATATAACCAAGAAGCGGCCTCCACTTTTCTACTTCTCCATTTTCTGGTTTTTTCTTCCTATGTGTCCTCCCTTCTGCCATTTTTCTCTTAGAATTACAGGATCATTGGTCTTGAGCTGGGAGGAATTTCAGAGGTCATTTAGTCCAGCTCCTTCTTTAGAGATGGGGAAACCAAGGCACAGGCAGTGAAGTGACTTGCCTAAGGTCACAAAGGATGTGTCAGAGGTAGGATTTGAACCCAGGTCTTTCGACTCTTTCCACTGAACCACACTGAGCAGCAAGTCTTTTTCAGGGTCCCAAATCTGCGAACGATCTCTTTTCCTCTGAGGTCCTTGGCTACACTGATTCATTCATTCATTCATCCATCCATCCATCTCTCAATCAGTTAATAAGCATTTATTAAGCCCCTACTATGTGCTAGGCACTGAGAATACAAATAACAGGGATGCAAACAATGGAATAATCCTAAATTATATGGAGCTTCCATCCTACCTGGGGATGTACTGACAGGTACATCCATCCACCCCATACTTTTACTAAATGTCTATTATGAACAAGACATGACACTGAGTTGGCACAGCCCCTGCCCTGTGGAGCTTAGAGTACAGGAGGGGAGACCAGGCAGGGTGTCAAGGTCCTGAGCCCCTTGACTCGTCCACCTCTCTGTGGCACCAGCTCCATCCCCCTGCCTGCAAGAGGCTGGGGGGGGGCACTGCTGCCCCAACAGAAGTTGTTAATGCCGAGATGCCAAATCCAGGAGAAAAGCCGGTTCTGGACCTCTCAGCCCTTCCCCCCCATGCTGGTGGGTGGCCCTTGGACAATTCATAGCCCCCTTCCTCAGCTTCCCCCAGAACGAGCCTCCTTGCTCAGCCTCCTCAGAGCCTCAGGGGAAGCGTCAGTTCCGTCAGACAATTCCCCTTCCCCAGGACCTTGGCTGGGAGCCCGACTGGGCTGTAACAGAGTGTGTCAGAGGTAAATGCTTCAGGGGCACTTGGCTGGGTCTCTCTAAGGAGATACTGTCTAGACAGGCTCCCCCTGCCCCCACAGCCGGCCCCTAATAGGCACTTGTCGAGTGGTGGGGGGTGTGGCCCAGCACCAGGGCCCTAACCATGACACACCATCTGGTCAAGGCATCTGGGCTGGAAGTCTGAACATGTCGAAAGTGAAGACAGCATTTCCCTTACTAACCCATCAATCTTTCCCAACTTCCTCATGACCAAAAAAAGATCCCCTGCTCTGCGACTTCAGCAGGTCCTCAACCGCGTGACGGCTTTCCACTGGGCCCTGCGACCAACATGGACTTGGCTTTACACCATGTCTTTTCTAGGAAGAGCTCAAAGCAGGATGGGGGTGCCAGGTTACAAGCAGGAAGAATGTCCGGACTCTGCTGCTGACCACCTGTGGCGCTGGACCTCAGTTTCCCGATCTGTAAAATGAGACCTCTAATGTCCCTTCCAGCTTTCCCTATGATCCTATAATCCCTCCTAAGAGGTCTGGGGGCAAGGACCACATTATATGGCAGCCTTACCCAGCACAGCCAGCAAGGAGCCCTATACAGAGTAGGAGCGGCCTGCTGTGCCCAAAGAGATGCCCTGTGGCATCCTCAGGCTTTGCCCTTTGCCTCCCCTTCCCCTCTCAGCCTGAGCCCTCGTCGCCTCACGCTTCCAGTTACGACAACAGCCTCTGACTGTCCTTTCTGCTTCCAGCCTCTCTCCATTTGAGTCCACTCAGGGTAACTCCAAGAACAGCCTTCTTCAAACATGGCTGTGATTATCCCCGATTTGGAAATCCTCAGTTCCTCCTTTTTACCTCCTGTTCTGCAGCAGAGGATGTGTGATTTCACCAGTGTGGGGTAGTGCCGATGAGGCTGCAGCTTACTGCCATACGGGTGCTAAGAGATCACATGAGCTGCCCAGGGTCACACAGTCTGTATGCATCAGAGACAGACCTTGGATTCAAGTCTCCCTGAATACTCTAAGGACTTTGTCTCTCATTGCCTGCCACTCCTTGGCACCATCTTTTCTCTCCTAGGCCAGACACGGGAAAAGAAACCCTGAATTTGGGGTCCTGAGTGCCAACCCTTGGCTTGGCATGGTAGAGTGGATGCTTAGAACCAGCTCTGGGTGCAAATTCTACATCTGCTGATTCCTACCCATGTTACCTTGACCCAATTTCCCATCCTTAAAAATGGTGAGGCTGGCCCGGGTGACATCTAAAGTTCCGTCTACTTCGTGGTCTATGGTCCTACCTGTGTGACTGTGGCCCAGTCACTTCCAGGCCCCTCAGCCTCCCGCTCTGTAAAGGGAGGGGGCAGACCAGACGGTCCAGTCTTGCTTCACCATTTCCTACCTGCCCCTTACTCCCTTTGGCTCTCAAACTGCTGCCCTCCCTACATGTTGGCACCATGCCCACTGCTGGATACTGACTCGGAAAACCTGGGTTCAAACCTTGGTTTTGGTGTTTACCCAACCTCTCCAGGCCTCAGTTTACTCATATGTCAAAGGAAGGTGATGCACTAGGCTAGGCAGCCTCCGATGTCCCTTTCCATTCTAAATCCAGGACAGCTGGGTGGTGCAGTGGGTAGAGCACCTGGTCTGGCCTCAGGAAGACCTGAGTTCAAATCCTGCCTCAGGCACTTACTAGCTATATGACCCTGGGCAAGTCACTTTATCTCTGTTTGCCTCAGTTTCCTCATCTGTGAAGGGAGGGAAGAGGGATGGAAAGGAGACCAGAGAGACTAGCAGTTAAAATGTTCCCAGGGGCAGCTAGGTGGCACAGTGGATATAGCTCTGGCCTTGGAGTCAGAAGGACCTGAGTTCCAATCCAGCCTCAGATACTTTATACTTACTAGCTGTGTGACCTTGGGCAAGTCACTTAACCCCAACTGCCTCATCAAAAAGCAAAATAAAATAAGATAAAATAAAATAAAATATTCCCAGCCACAGCCAGCTGAAGAGGAATCAAAAATCCCCCAAATGCCTAATGAAATCACAAAGGGAAGTGGGACTTGATTAGCAGACAACATGTCTTCTGCTCACTTGTAGGGATACTGAGGATATCCTGACGACTGGGACACCTGGGAATCCTTGGAGGGCAGCCCTGAGCATAAAGAGAAGGCATGATCTAACGGTGCTTGGGCATCTTCAAGGCAGGCTGATGGAAGCACAGCTGGGGACCCTTCGATGACATCATCCTTCAGCTTGTGGGAATTCTCTGACCAATTCAAACAGGAAATCCATGAAGGGCAGACCTTGAGTTGGATGGCTTCGGACAGGCCAGGACGGTTCCTGTACAGCCAAGGCTTCTATCGCTTCCCAAGACCGCAGGACCTCAGTTGGGAGGCCCCACAGACGGCACGTGGATGGGAACCTCCATTCAACGTTCCTGAGGGGTCATCACCCAGTCTTTGCTTGAGGATGTCTAGTGAGATGAAACCCGCTATCCACCATAGGAAGCCACTTCATTTCTGGACAGTGTTTATTATTAGGAAGATCTTTACATTGAACCTGAATCTGTGTATTTAGAATTTCTCCCCACTGCTTCTGCTTCTGCTCCCCCAAGGCCAAGCAGAACAGGTGAAGACCCTCTCCCACATGAAATACTCTGAAGACATCTCCCACCCTGGACACACTCAGTCCTATTTCAAGCTGTTCTAGGCAGAAAGCTCACTACATCTACTCAGTATGGGTAGCGAACTCAGCTAAACTCTGCCGGGCAGAGGTCTCCTAAGGCATCGGCAGAAAGGGAAATGTCCTGGGCCAGGGCTGTGTCCAGAGATTCTCAAGCCTGTGGAAAACTCTGGGTGCCAGAGTCCTTACCTGGCCATCACTTCAGTCCCCAGTCCCCCATTTGTCCAGATCCCAGTCCATCCCCTCTGCAGGGCCCAGTAAACAGAATCACAGACTGGGGTTCAGAGGCAGAAGGGATCTTAGGAATCCTCTAGTTCAATGCAATCTACAAAAGTAATGGAATATTCTTATGCAATAAAAATGATGAATGTGAGGAATTTGGGGAAATGTGGGAAGATTTGTATGAACTGATGCTAAGTGATGTAAGCAGAACTAGAAAAAAATCTGACATGATGACTGCAGAAAGCAAACAAAGAGGGCATGAACAGGAAGCCCAAGTGTGAGTAAACTCCTGGGGAGCAGATGATACAACCTATCTCCTGCCCCAGAGCAGAGGGAAAGGGGATAAGCAGGACAGAATGTCCCATACAGCAGAGACAGAAGGCACTTTGGGCCTATCTAGCCCACGCCACCTTCACTTTATGGGTGCGGAAACAAAGGTCAAGGAGATTGACTGACCTATCAGATGGGATTGCTTGTATTAGAATGTTCTGTCCTGAATTTTTTTTCCTTGTTACAAGAACAGTTCAATTTGGAACGGCCTATAGATTTTTTCTTTCAAAAATAACTAATTAAAACAAAAAAAAATCAATAATTTTTTTTTAAAAAAAGAAAAGAAAAACCAAAAAGTTACTGGAAAATAGATAATGCACCATAGCACTCTCCTCCCAGCATCGAGGCAGGGCATTGGAAGGCTCTTAGATACGGTCCCTGTATTGCGTGTTTTTTGTTCACTGCTCTCCTTTATCAAAAGGGAGGGTTTGGTTCTCAAGGGGAAGGACAAATATTCCCAGGAATAATTGTGTTGTTTAAAAAAAAACCCCCAAAACAAACACCCCCCTTCCCCATCAATAACATTTTAATAAAAAAAAAAAGAAAAGAAAAAGAAATTTGGTTAAACCTCTTCATTGAATAGAGGAAAAAGAAGTCCCCAAAGATGTCACTTGCTCCAGGTTACATGGTGAGGTGGTGGCAGAGCCCAGGTCAGATCTGTGTCTCCTGCCTCTCTGGCCCCCTCTTCAATCCCAATCCCTGGTAAGTCTTCTGAGGCCAGCTGCACTCTGCTGTGTTCTAACGAGAAGGGCAAGAATTCAGAGGCCCAAGGCTCAGCTTCATGCCCCAGCTGTCCTTGGTCAAATCACCTGATTGGCTCTCCTAGTCTGGCTCCTCTTTATAAAACGAGATCATAATTACATGATCTATGCCATCGGGTTGTGGCCAACTTAACTGACCATTGTGTGCAGGTGCTGGGCAAGACGGGCGATACA